TTATCAAAATTTCTTGCCTAAACAAGTTTTGATTGAAAATTGATTCAATTTGGGTTAATGAGGATATGGGATCTCAAAGGGTTATTATTTATCATTATTTAATATTATTATGATTATTATTAAAGTATATGGATTGGGTGATAAAGGGTTGCTTACGAAAGTCTATAATTTTAATTGTGGAATTTAGTATTTTATAGAAATTATGTGTAAAAAAAATTTGGTTTTTATTTGAATTATTTTTGAGTCTTTATGAAATATATGCTTGAGAGTTTATTTTCTATGCTATAAATAGATATTTGAAATTTTGAATTAAGGAAAGGGATATTATTTGTATAATACTTATATAAGGGTACGAACTACACCATCATATGTACCTTCCCTGGTCACTATACCTACACGTGGCATTGCATTTTCCAGCGTGTGGGCTTCCTTGGTTATGGATACTTGGAAATTGTGGATATGGTTTGGATATGTTGGAATCCGGGCACCTTTGACGGGGTGTTACCGTAGACCCTTAGTAGGATAGTCTACTCATGTAGGACTTGTCACAGGCGCACGAGTATTGAGAATTCTACTGTGTGTGCTGGTTAGCCCAGTTCCCCAGATGGACGGCTCATCCCTGGCCACATAGTTGTTGAGGAGTCCTTCGTGGGGTTTAGCCAAACGATTCCTGCATTGGATTGTTTTCCCCGGTACATGATGTGTACTATCATATATGTACCTCCCCTTGAATACTAATACTTGTAAACAGTGGACATGGATACTTGGATACATGAAAATGGATAGCTGGTTAGTTTGCGGGTGCATGACTTGTCACAGGCACATGAGTATTGAGGATTATGCTGTGTGTGCTGGTTAGCCCAGTCCTCCAGATGGACAGCTCATCCATGGCCACATGGTTGTTGAGGATTCCTCCATGCGATCTAGTCGAGCGATCCCCGGATTCAACTGTCTTCCCTTAGTACATGATGATGGTGTGAGGTGTAATATATATATATATAGGTGTATTCGTTTTCGGTTAAGATTCTTGAACTTGTGCCTCATGAGTACTTTGCTCGGGCATGAATGTTGACATCATGGTTTGGAAAGTGTTGTTCGGCATCATAGCCTTGGATAGGGTATGGCTGCGGGGATGAACGGATAAAAGGAAATGAACTATTAAGTGTTCAGTGGATGCCTTGTCGAATTTGATGTTGTAATTGAATCTAAATTTAATCGTCGGCATTACTTTAAATAATCGAATATTATCTGAATCGTGACTACTGATTGAAGAACTACGTGTGGCTTGATCACTCAGTAAGGGTAGTAGGTAGCTTGGGGTCCCACCCAGGTGCAGCCACAAGATAAACCATATTTTTGTGGACTTTCATTTGGTCATTGAGACAGAATCCTATTTATTAGACTTGTTAAGTTGGCTTTTGAATTTGTCAGTGACTTCAAGCCCGAGCTTGTGTAGGGAAATCTTTATCTATTTATAATTGAACCCTGTTTCATTTGTAAAATGAATCCTGTTAGTTATTCTCTGCTATCATCCATTTTAGGGTTGATTGTAAGGCCAGAGGCCTATTATGTAAATTGCATGTTATTAACTTGTGCATGCTGCCAGTTGAGTTATAACTGTGTTTTAATAAGTTTAAATTTTTGAAAAATTTCCATTTTTCAGGGGAAACTGCCGAAATTTTGGCAGAAAGTCTTGTGCCCCTTTTCCTTAATTTGGAAAAGACGCTATAGTATTAGTAAGTGGGCTCGAAATCAGTGTGATGTCAGAAATTCCACAGGATTCGTCTTCGATTTCGAGGAATTCGGGGTAGGTCCTATCACCCTGCACACATTGATCGGAGATCCGGCAACACTCCAACCCATTGTCGAAGCTGAGCTTGTAGCCCAGATCGTAGTGTTACGACAGGACATAGCGAAGATGCAGGAACACAACATCTTTTTGACCTAATTAAATGAAACACAGAATCAGCTCAATCAGCAGCAAACTCAGAACATTCAAACTGATCAGTCTTTCCAGAGCGTGCACACTCCCAATGGGCAAAAGAAGGGAAAGGGTGTGAGGAATGCGATGCCAGCCGCTGGCAACCACCACCGGCCACCACCACTGGACACCAGCCGCCGGACTATCACCACCGGCCACCTGCCACCACCATCAGGGCAAGTTCTATCACCCTACACACATTGATCGGAGATCCGACAACACTCCAAACCATTGCCGAAGCTGAGCTTGTAGCTGAGATCGTAGTGTTATGACAGGACATGGCGAAGATGCAGGAACACAATATCCTTTTGTCCTAATTAAATGAAACACAGAATCAGCTCAATCAGCAGCAAACTCAAAACATTCAAACTTATCAGTCTTTCCAGAGCGTGCGCACTCCCAATGGGCAAAAGAAGGGAAAGGGTGTGAGGAATGCGATGCCAGCCGCTGGCAACCACCGTCGGCCACCACCATTGGACACCCGCCGCCGGACTCTCATCGCCGGCCACCATCGCCGGCCACCTGCCACCACCACCGTTGGAGCGGTGGCCTAATCCCAAAGAAAAAAAGGGGCTCCAATTGAGCCTTGGGCGTGTAGAGCGAGAGCTTAGTTGAGCTATGCGACATGCTGTATGGCATGGTCTTAAATTTTTTATCCACCAGTGGAGTGGGCAGAAGACCACTTTGTGGCGATGGGGTAGATGAACTCGAGAGCACCGCTGAGGTAGAAGAAGGTTCAGCATCTCCAGCCTGAAAATGATTGATAAGCAACTTAACAGAGTCTTGGAGTTTGGTGATGGCAAGGTCCGTCGTCGCACGATGTGTGTGAGCCTATACCAACTCGTCTTTGAGGTCAGCGCTGAGTTTGGAGAGTTGGGTTTCCATGCCAGCGATATTGTCAGAAACTTTGTCTTGGATCGCATGAAATTGTTCTGCAAGGCTGGCCACAATTTGAGGTGCCATGGCAGAGAGCAAATGCAAATGAAAGTAAGGGAGGGCCTCTGATTACCAATTGATGTAGTACATCCCGTAGGTTTTAGATTAAGCACTCAAACAATAGAAATAGAGAAGAATATAAGAGACCAGGGAGAAGAAATAGAGATCGAAAAGACAAGATAAAGGACAGAAACAGTAGAACAAAGAAGAATATTGAAGATTGAGGAGAAGAAATACAGATCGAAAAGACAAAATCAGAGAGTTCTAGGAAAAGGTTTACTCAGCATTCAAATCTGAATTTTAAAGAACTACATGGGGGTATTTATAGCAAACTAAAACCTAGACAAGATAAAAATCCCTTGCTTAAATAGAAATCCTAACCCAAAAAAATATGAAACTTAAAACTAGAAATCTGGATAAAAAAAATTAATATTATAATAAAAAAATTAAAACAAACTTCAGTAGCAAGATTGATATGGCTTATCAATCCTGAAAAATGCAGAGCATAAAGTAAAGGAACACATAGAGAATTATTTTCAGTGGTAAAAACCCACCTATGAGGAAAATCCACGAGACTCCTCGGTCCAAAACAAATTCACTATAGAATGATGATTACAAGAAGTACTCACACACTTATCCTAGACGCAATCTAAATAATGTTTCCCGACTTCTTCGTAACCCAACTTTTGTCACGGGATTATCTTTAGACACTTATTGTGTTGAACACAATACTGGTCACAATTGCTTCAAACTCACCGGAGACAAACCACCATCACGGTCTTGGTGCCCTCAATCGTATGAGTCACCGAACATGCAAACGAAGGCAATATGAATGATGAAAGTATTTGATAAATCACCAAGTAAACGTGGAGTACTTGATGACTTATTATCTCAAGGATATGCACAACAACTTTTGTTAGGAAATTTAGATGCTCAGCCAAAATGTCTAAAATCTGTATTCGAAACAAAGCAGCACATCCTATATATCTTTATACATACCTATTCTCCTTTTTCCAAGAGAATTGCATAAAGCGAAGAGATCAAATCTTGCCTAATCAGATTTGATTCTCTATACAATATCGTCAGCTTATGCTTTCTTTAAAATAACTTCCGATCCCATAAATTGTTATACAAGGAAACAATATATACCAAGATGAAACAATGAAACCAAACAGAATGTGCTCTCCAAGTCAAAGATGAAAAATGATAGTTTAATTTAAACAAAAATAAAGTCCAACTAGGAAAATAATCTCAAGAGATAAAATCTAGGGAGCTTTAGTTTTAAAACACAATATAGTTTACTAATTTGGAAGATAGGAATACAATTTCATATAATTAGAGCAACTCCACCTATTTTCCCTTTGCCATGGCAACGGGGGGCTAGGGTAGCCACTATTCACGTGAATAATGGTTGCCCTTGCAAAAAGGCATTTCCGTTTCCACCCGTTGCCATGGCAAAGGGCAATTACTATTCATTTTTTTTTGTTTTTTTTCACAAATTTTTTTACCTCAATAATTAATTTGGATAATATTTTTGGGTTCCTATGTGTCAATACTATTCATATCTCATAATCGGATAAAATTTTCAATTTCAAATTTCAGATAAATTGAAAAAAAAATTGGCTGGTATTTATAGAAAAAAATTCATTAATTTTTGGGTATTTTTTAAAAAAATTTCTGAATTTTTTCCAGTATTTATTGCAAAAAAATTGGCTGCTGTTGGATTGGAGGAAAAAATCCGATCGGAAAGCCCAGACGATGCCATGTGGCAATAGAAAAAAAAATAAAATGAGTAGGCTGACGCCAACCTGGAGTCAGCAATGACATCAACCTAACCCTCGGGCTTGAGCTCGGACTGAACTGGCCTGAGGGCTAGCCCGTCTTCGTGGGTCCCACTCCCCTCGGGCTTAGCTCCTCGCCCCCACCCCCCCCCCCACTACCCTTAGGCTCAGCTCACCGGTGGAGTTGCTCTTAGCATAAGGCCAAATACCAAAATGTAGTACCTAATTTTACAAAATTATCATTAAAAAATATCAAAATTACACACAATGCCACTTCTTCTAAGACAATCATACTGTGCCACATGTCCATATCTAGCAGGCCACCACCGTCGACCACCCGCCGCTGGCAACCACCACCGGCCACCACCATTGGACACCCACCGCCGAACTCTCGTCGCCGGCCACCACCACTGGACTCTCAACGCCAGCCACCACCGCTGGCGACTCCAGCCGCCGACCACCACCATCGGACTCCCGCCGCCGGCCACCTGCCACCACCACCGTTGGCTGCCTCCGCCCGTCGCCAGCTTGCCACCGTTTGCAATGGACCAACTCCGTTGCCTTTATTCACCTTTTAAAAAAAAAAAAAAAAAAAAATTTTTTTCATTGAAGGGACTTGAACCTCGGAAGGCTCACTCACAAACCACTACACCAAACTTTATTTTGTAATATTTATTTAGTTATACAATATTTATATAAACATTCAATGGTTTTTTTAAAAAAAAAACAAAAAAATTATTTCAACACTTTTTTACACAAAAACTGCAAATAAAAATAGAAACTATAACAAAAATACAGTGTAGATATCAATTATGTTAAAAACAAAAAACAAAAACGAAAACAGCTACAAAAACAAAAATTAATTTTATTGAAGCAAAATGGAGGAACCAAGATGAAAGTACTAAAATGGAAACTGCGATGCAGAAACAGAAACTAAAATGTAGAAGCAGAAACTGCAATGCATAAATGTAAACTGCAATACAAAAATGGAAACTACAATGCTAAGTTTGGGTAAAAATGCTTAACTCTAGAGTTAAACAAAACAAAACAAATTTTTATTTATTTATTCAAGACATGTTGGTAAAATACTTTGTTTCTGGCACCCAGTTGCCTCCAGTCATCTGACGTAAGCACACTGATTGACCATCCGTTACATGGATCATGTCGAAAGCTAGATAAAGTGAGCCACAAAATTCGTATTAAAAAATATATATATAAATTGATCTTCTTATACTTACTATGCACTTAGTGTTTGTGCAATCTTTGGTGGGATTCGTCTTGTGTGGACATATTTTTTGTGCTTAATTGAAAAAGAGTTCATTTAACACATTTGCTCCTTGATGGTAGACTCATTTGATGCCTTTTTATCTTTCACCATGACTGTGGTATGCCTCTACTGTTCTCTGTGAGTTTGTGAGTCTCGTGTGCTGTCGTGTGTTTGTCCCTGACATGCTTTGCTTCACATGCGTTCAAGACAGCAAAGGGTTTGTTGCTTCTTTCATTCTTTACTCACAAACTTGGCATGTTTATGAATGGAAAATAATTATATTTTCAAGAGAACTTTGGGTCTGCATCTACAGTATGTTTTATGTCTTGATTGTTTTGAGCTTTCTGTCTTGAGTGTATTGCTTTTGTTTTTGTATGTTTTGGTTCTTAACAACTTCTCATTATTCTTTTTAGTTCTCTATTTTCCTGTCGCTTATCCCAAAAAAAAAAAAAAAAAAAAAAAAAAAAAAAAATTTCTGTTTGTTTTCAAGATAAAGCCTCTTACATGCTTTATTGGTTATTCTCTATGTCTTTATATGTTGGGAATGCAATCTGATTTTTTTATTTTTTATTTTTCTTTCCCTCTTATATATGCTCCCTTATGTTCATTCTTTGCCCTTTGGATTTCCTGACAAAAAGGGGGAGAGATTGTGTTATGGAATTAAGGGGGAGTTGTGTTGTAATTCTGCTTTGAATTACATTTCTTCTCCCACATGCTTCACTGGTTTTGTTGTTTCATAATGTGCAGGGATTCAGGGCTTCAAGCTTAGAATAAGAATTCATTTGTTAAATCCCATGTAATTTCTTTTGAGTTGTAATAGGTGTTTTGTCTAGGAAATGCCAAAGGGGGAGATTGTTAGTATGAAATTTGTATTGTCATTTCCTAGACTCTAGCATAGGTTGGGAGTTAGTGTGTGAATATCGTTTACTAGACGTTTTGACGCAACACATTCAATCCCAAGTTTCCAAAGCATGACTTGACCGATATGAGGAATCTGATTTCAGGTAAATCATGACATAATCATGCATTCATTATAGGATTCCTAGTTGGAGTTATTTTCACTCAAGTATCTTTATGTTAATCTTATTTTTAATAGGATTAGATTTTATCTCTTGAGATTACTTTCCTAGTTAGACTCTATTTTGGTTTAAGTTAAATTATTAAGTTTTCATCATCTTGGACTTGGAAAGGATGTTTGAATGAATATCCTATTTGGCTTCGTTGTTTACTTATTGATATACACTGTTTTGTTGGATATCAATTGATGATTGGAAAATCAACCTCTATAGTACAAAAGATGACGAAATAGAATAGGACTTTATTTCAATCAAATCTGATTTGGCACGTTTGTGATACCTTAGTTTTTTGAATCATCTCTTGGAAGATAACAACACAGTTGTATAAAGCCAAGGCGTGCATCTCCTTCTTGGATACAGCTTTTGAGATATTTGTTTTGAGCATATAGAATTCTAAGAAAAGCTGTTGTGCGTATATTTGAGATAAATCATCAAGTGTTCAATGTTTACTTGGTGATTTATCAAACACTTTAATCATTCATATTGCATTCATATGCATGTCGGTGACTCATACGGTTGAGGGCACCAAGACCGTGGTGGCGGTTTTCCTCCGGTGAGCTTGAAGCAATCGTGGCCAGTATTGCGTTCAACATAAGGAGTGTCGAAGATCATCCTGTGACAAAAGTTGAGTTACGAAGAAGTCGGTAAACATTATCTAGAATGTGTCTAGGATAAGTGTGCGAGTACTTCTTGTAATCATCGTTCTATAGTGGATTTGTGTTGGACTGAGGAGTCCCGTGGATTTTCCCCAGAGGTGGGGTTTTACCACGTAAAATAATTCTCTGCGTGTTCTTTTATTTTATGCCCAGCACGTTATAGGATTGATAAGCCATATCAATCCTGCTACCGAAGTTTATTTTTATTTATTTGATTAGAATCTTAAATTGGCCTATTCACCCTCCTCTAGGCATTTTGAGTCATCCTACAGGTATTTTCATATAGAACTCAAGGTATAATGAATTTGCAGCTGCAACCGCAAGATCATATCCAAATAACTACAAACAAACACAATCAATCATAACCAGCCCCAATATAAATCATGCCACTACAAGATGAGGGCCTTTTGACCCAAACCTCAATACACATCTTTTTCCTCGCATCGCTTCAAAGCTGGCATAGCCTCCCCTTCAAAGCTGCATATGATATTCCATTAAAAAAAAAAATCAATTAGTGTATGAAACTGGTTAGTCAGGCTATTGAAATCATCAAGTACGACCATCTAACAGATTGAAAATCCCCCAGATTGCCATTGCCCTTTTGACTAGAAGAAGGCTGAGAAATCCCAAGGCTGAGATCAAGGTTATGGCCACTGCCTGCCTTTACAGCAAAACCAAATTCATTGCATTCCATGAGTGGCTGGTGGGGGTTTGTTTTGTCATCTTGTACGTAAGACACAAAACCAATATGAGAAAATAGACATGGGTTTCATTTAGTACCTTCAATGCTTGCATCTAAAACCACCTCCCCTTCATAGATGCTAGGGTCAACAAAGTTGGTAACTACTGCTGCTTCTCTTCATGTGTTGCATTTGATGCCCTCCTTCTCAAAGACCCTGAAATTCAGCAAAATCAAATATACATTTAAATCAGGAATTTTTTTTTTAAAGCCATAAATTCAGCTGAAATTTGGCTTCAGTTAAAGGGGGCTTTGGTTCTCACTTTTTCTCAGGAAATTGTGCCATCCTAGCTTCCCATCTACCAACAGCACCACCACATTTGGGCAGAGCTACACCTCTGTATTTTGAGTTCCCACGTGAGGCTCTGGTGCTTTGGCGACGAAGCATGTGCACAAATTCTTGTTTATTCAGATGCCCCAGCTGCAGTGAAGGCCGTGGTCGTCTTTGCTGCGGGGAGAGAGGGAGAGAGAGAGAGAGAGAGAGAGAGAGAGAGAGGAGAGAGAGAGATCTGATCTGATGAAAAAGAAAAACCAACGAATTTGTATCAGTCTTTTAAAAAAAATGGGCATAATTGTCTTTTCAGTGATTAAAATAAGGTGGGCCAATGAATCTAGGCCTCCTCTTTGGCCAAATTCAAAACAAAATTTCATTCCCAAGTATTAAAACCTAAACAGAAATATTGTTTGTCTCAAATACGAATTAGTAAAGATAGTCATGTCTAATACCTAATTTTTCTTAAAATCTAATCTCATTAAAAATAAGACTAATATAAAAGCACTTGAGTTAAAAAAAGAGTAATGCTACACTTACCACATTTTTATCCCACATTTCTATACCACATATTATATGCCACATCAATTAAATCAATGAAGTGTATTTTAATTAAGGCAATTAGAAAAACAAATACTAGAATAAATCATAAAAGAAAAGAAAATATTAAATAATTTTAATTGATGTGGTTGTCCACCTTAATTGCCACATAAGATGGTATAAAGATGGGGCAGCTAGGAAAATTGTTGCATGTATTATAGTTTGTTTCATGACTTTTTATTACAAAAGTTACGTGGAAAAATTCGTTGCCTTTTATGCCTTGTAAACTGCGAGTGTGTCTGCAATTTTGCTATAGATATGCGACTATTCAAATAAAAAGAGTTGCATTACTTGTTTTGATGAAGGAACGAATACTTTCAATAATGTCACAATGCTTGTAATTAAATTTGTGTATTTAATTGTATGATAATTTTTGTATTTTTATATGCGGTTAAAATAGAGCAATTAAACCTGATTTTTTCTAACATATATATTTATAATTTATTTGCTGTGGAAATCATATGGGCGTTTCGATTTTCTCAAAAGATAAAGCTCTTTTTTCCTATGCTATGTACATAACGGGACTTATTACAATGAAGGTTATTGGTGCTAAATGGGAAAAAAGAAGGTAGGGCCTATGCATTGTGCAAATTATTCGGTATATTAAAGGGTTTAATAAATGTTGTTTGGACAAAAATATTAATTTGAAGCCAATTGAAAAGGGAGGTCGGAGTAAGCACAGTGTAATGTTCAATAAATGCGTGATGAACCCAAAAAAAAAATTTTATTTTTAAACCCAGATCATTACAAATAAAGGAACAATCATAAATAAATAAAAACTTGACAGACACTGTTCAGCATACACTTTTTTTCAAGATGTTAATTTCTTCCGGAACATACATAAAAGGAGGAAAAAAACGCGCGCGCACACACACACAAAGGAAGAAGAAGAGGGAACCCTAACTGAGAGCTATAGCAGTACTCTGATTCTGACCTTTTGAGCTACAGCATAGAGCTCACAAATCATATCACTCAATAATAGACTAAGGATATATAATAGCAGCACTCTTATCCTGACCTTTTAATCTTCTTAATTGTCTTTGAAATGTATTTAAAACCTTGGGAAAATCCGTCATACAAAGGAAATTGCGTGAGCCCAAACACAGAGACAGGAAGAAAGGCAACCACATAAATGAGGGACGTTGTCCAAGTCTTTTGATGATGAATCAAGAGCACAATAGTAGCAGTGAAGGTCAGCATGGTGGCTACCAGCGAGAAGAATAGAAGGGCGAATCCTAAATGCAGCCTGAAGGGAAGAGAATGGTGGAAGTTTTCGTACTCAAACGGGGAAGTCAGGATAGAGAGAAACGTGCCCAAAGAAGTCAATGAGCAGATGAGCGAGATAGTGTCCGAAATGGCGAATGTGATGAAGAAAGGAGAATGACGGAGAACAGGAACCCCTCTGTTATCATTCCCCCCGGGAACCGTAAAGGCGGCTGCATAGGCCACGGTGGCCACCAAAGCGGCCACGGTCGAGCACGACTGAGCTGTCTCTTTTATCCATCCTTTTGCCAACGTAAGAAGACTTGAATGCTTACTTTCGAAGAGCTCCTTCGCTGTCACTCCCTGATTGTTCCGGTGCATGAAGTAATGAGGTGGCATTATCTTTTCCACACGCTGTCCACAAATGGAAAATTGTTAGGATGAACCATTTTGATCAGGGTAAACATAACTAGTTTCATTTCATACTTGATATATAATTATAAATGGCTCTTAGTCCAATGATACTTCTCTTTGCAGTGTTCAAAGATAATTATTAAAATTAGGGAATTAGGCATATATATAAATAAAACTCACTCACCGCCATCCAACGCAATTCTTCTTGCAATTGAAATGCAGGACCACTTACCCATTGAGCGTCTACAGAGTAAAAACCTGTATCTGCAGCGTGGTGCAATATGGTGTTCCCATACCTATCAATCCTGTTAGCCAATCTTGACGTTGTCAATTTTCTCTTTGCTAAAATGTTAAAGATGGCTAGCCGACGATGCTTAATGGCCATGTGCAGAATGTTTTGTTCGTTGTCAATATCGTGCACATCCACGGATTGAGGGTGAACCTTCAACATCATTTTCACAATTTGTGATATTCCGGTGCATGTTGCTATAAGCAATGGGGTATATTTATAAGTAGATTTAACAGTTTGTGATATTCCGGTGCACGTTGATATTCCATTTTCTTTGCGAACACAATTATCAGCACCTTTTTCCACCTCTGAATACACCAGAGTAAATGTCTTGATGTTATCGGTTGGTTCTTCATATTTTGCCCATGAGTAGTCCTCCTTCACCAGCAAATCAATGAGTTCCGATAGTATTTTTCGATTTTGCATTTCCTCCAACATATTATCGATTCGTCGCCATCCTAGTAAGTTATAATCATTATATTATATATGCATCCCTATTATTATTCAGGAGAGATATTGATGAAGAGAAGGAACAAAGAAGAAAAGAACAGAGTAAAAGCTGCTGTAAGTATGTGCATCCGCATGCATCCACATCCATCAAAATGACCATATTGGGTAAGCCCTAATTTCAAACCTGGCTGTTAGATTGGTTTTTCTATTTTATTTTTAATTCTCTAACTCTTTATATTTGCAGTTACATTTTTTTTTCCCAGATATTTGCAGTTACGCTAAACATGATCACTCCCATTTTCTCAACTTACATTCCTTTTTGTTTTTAGTACTTTTTAATCAAGTTTGTTTTGTGCTTCTTTTTCTTTTCTATTCTACCCTTATGTTGAATTAAGGTTTTAATAACTGAAATTAAGAAAAGTTAATAGAAAATAAAAAAATAAAAAAATAAAAAAAGAAGCACATCGTGTCTTTCCCACTTCTCCTACTGAAAGCTACTCTCAGAGCAATTCATGGATTTCTCCTACCCAAAGCAAATACTTTTTAATTATTGGTTAAAGGTTATAGATGAAGTTTTGATGATGAAGATGATCAAATTAATTGTCTATGTTTAACAATGATCAATATGCAAGTTTGGATGATGAAGATGATCAAATAAATAATATTCTATTGGACTTCAAAGAAAAGTATGAAAAACTGCACATCCTTCAAAAAGATGATACAAAGAGACAACTATCTCAATTTGTTAGTATTTATATTTTGTTCTCGAATGAATCCATAGGATTATAATTGTTCAGTAGAGTTCTTCTGGTCACCATTTTCTAGTTCAAGAATGGGAGATGCCAGATGCAAATGGATCACTAAAGAAATATTTTGCCTATTTAAAAAAATATGTGGTTGCAAGGTTTATTCCTGGGCATACGTTTTTGTAACAAGTGGACCATATAATTTTGCCTAGACAAATATACAGTGTTAATTATTTTTTACTGAAATGTAGTGCAAATTGGAAAATTTTGTACAGAGAAAAAAAATATATACAAGTTAAGTAAAAAGAAATTAGGTAGGATAAGGGTAGAATAGGAAAGAGAAAGAACAAAATTGATTAAAAAGTATTAAAAAATAAAAGGGAGTGTAAGTGGAAAAAAATGGGAGTGGGAAAATAAGCTCCCCTAAACATATACGTTTGGCAGGTATATCAATACTAACTTATGAACATATTTGTGGGTATATTAGAGTATTTATATTATCATAATTTACCATATTAGAATATATATCTAGGAATATATATATATATATATATACACACATAATTTTCCTATGCGGATCTGGACGTTATTATCGTGCGGAAGTCATGTATTTTCTATTACCCCTCTGTGTTTACAATGGTGTCTGCATTATAATAACATGCAGATATTCGCTTAATTATTCTCTCATCCGAATATCCGCACATTATTACCATGTAGATGCCATTATATCGATCCTCTTCTATTGAAGGATGCCCATTAGGGACACCTATGAATTTGTTTCAATGATCCAAATTCTCTATTTTTTCAAGTCTCCATTCATAGATCATTCTTGTAAAAATTCAAACAAATTGAAGATCATTAAGGTATATGATTGGGTCCAACAAAATACACGAACATGGTGCTTCAAGAAAAAACTATAACAACAAGTATTTATTGAGAGGTCAAATGATTTCAAATTCAAGTGATTTTTTAAATAAGTTGAATCCTAAATGGTGTCAATAGAAGTGATCATTTGACCTCTCAATTTTTAGATATTCTATACGGTTTAGATTTTTTAAATAAGTTCGTAGGGGACCCTAAATGGTGTCCCCTCAAATAAAATTATTTGAGGGATCCCTCAATAGAAGGGGATTTTATATATATCTCGTCTAATGTTTAGATATTCCCTCAAAGATCATCTGTGCAAAAAATAAGTTGAATCTGAAATCATTTGACCACACAATTAGATTTGTTATTTTAGTAATTTCTTGAAGTACCGTGTTCGTTTATTTTGTTGCTTGCAATTAGATGCCTTAATTATTTTCAATTTGTTTTATTTTTTACAAAGATGATTTATGAATGAAGACGTGAAAAATAGACGGTTTGGATCGTTGAAAAAAAAAAATCATAAGGATACCCCAAGAGGTATCTCTCAAATACAATTAAAGTCTAACCCCACACCAGGTTTAACAAAAAAGTTTCTTAGTGCTATTTGGACGGTATTTATTGACCATATTGATGACCCTAGTAGCAACACCCTTTCATATTATGGAAAAATAACTTTTATTTTTTATTTTTAACAAAATAAGTTGTTTTTAAGATTTTATGCAAGGATGACATTATATATCATAGACACAAACAAAACACACACACACATATATAACTTTGAAAGTTTGAATAATTACCCGTAGTCTTCCTTGAACAACTAGACTGGCAAGGCTGACTGATACTGCTCTCCAAGTCACCCTTTTGATTCGGTGGGAAATCATCAGTAGAAGGGGAAATGCCTGAAGGTATAATGAGGGGAGCACAAAGATCAGCATTATCATCATTAGAAAGGCTTGCATAAATAAAGGGGTAACTATATTCTTGCTCCATAAGCTTGGCTTGGACTTCATTCTGAGAGTGTAACTACCAATGGTAATTCTTTTAAGAAAAAGGAAACTACCGTCTATAACTTGTTTAAAACGTAGCAGTTCTAAGCCCAACTTCATGAGAAATAAATTTAGCTAGTCCTCTCTATTGAAAATTTGACTCTGCCATTTTTAGGTTTGTATTATAAATGGTTCTTATGCCATTAATTTCACGGTAAAGGGGGCAATAGGCTGACTCATCAGCATGGCCATTGATAAATTTTTGGGTAAACTCCTAAATTGCTCCTTGAACTTGTACATAACTATCAATTTACCACCTGACCTTTTTTTATTTATAGTAAATTAAGGGCTCGAATTATTTTATTATCAAAGTTCCCCCAACTGTTTAAATTCCCACATTTCATCCATTTAATCTGTCCATTTGAGGGTTATTTTGGTCATTCTCAAGTGGTTTTAATTACCCAGAGTTAAATAGGTCAGTTCTCACATTTCACACACTTCTCACATCTCGCTCAGTTTGGTAGGGTTGGAAAGCCACTATTCCCACCCACTCCATCCCTCCCCTCGACAGCCAGAAACCCCAACCTCATCAATTGAATCAATCTTTACCCAGGCATCTTTCTCCTTCAATTAATCAAACCCAGAAAAAAGTTTACAAATTTATAAATAAACCCAATTCTAGACATGTATTTATAAAAAAAACACAAACACTATTTAAACATAGAAACACACCCAAAATCAACTCCAAAATCAACAATTGTATATTTTTTGGGTGTATTTATAAATGGGTTTTGAGTGTGTGTAATGATGGGTTTTGGGTGTGTTTATAAAGTGTTTTGGGTGTTGAGTTTTTTTATAATTTCAGCTCCCATTTTGGGTGTTTTAGTGAAACTCCCAAAAAAGTTCTTACGTTTCTTTTACTCATCACACCTAGTTTATCCTTTTCAATTCATGAAACCCACTCAAACACAAAATGATTAAACTAAACAAACCCAGCAGCTCATAAATTCATAACTTCAGACTAATGTCTCATCTCAAAAATGAAATCGCAATATTTGAAGGGAAGATTCCCAAACCAGCACACCGAACCATGCTATTAGAAAGAGGTTAAAGAAATTTGGCTCAGGTTTGATTTTATGCTTGACGTGGTCGTGGGTTGCAGGTATGGGTCTAGTTGATTGTCACAAATAATTTGTTTTTTTTTTGGGAGGTTGGGGGGAGATGGGTGTGCTGCGAAATTTTTTAGGAGGGCTAGGCAATGGTGCGGAGGGTGGATGGGGTGAGGCTGTTGCAAGAAGGGGAAGGGGGCTGAGGGAGATATCGACATGGAGATGGTGGCTGTCCAACCCTACCAAACTAGGAATGACCAAAATAACCCTCAAATGGATGGATTAGTGGATGAAATGTGGGAATTTTGACGGTGAGGGAACATTCATAATAAAATTTAATTCGAGCCCTTAATTTACTAAAAAAAAGATAAGGGGGTAAATTGATATTTATGTATAAGTTTAGGGGGTAAGTTGGCAGTTTTCCCTAAATTTTTTGATATAAACCTGAAAAATGGGCATAAATTGATCCTAAAGAATAATAGATGGGTTGTTCCTAAATTGAAATTTTGAGTTTATTATCTAATTTTAGTAGTAGTGTAAAAGCAATAGAGTAGATGGTACATTTATAAAGGAGCATCGTCCATATGCTTTTGCGAAATTTGGGTCGGAACGCAGATGGCATTTGGGCTAGCAATTGAAGACTTGTGAGGCCATTGCTTTCCTCTCCGTTCGCAAGACATGGGTAATTTTTTGCTAACCAAAGAGCAGTCTCTGCATTGAAGGAAAATCATGTTAATAATAATAATGAAGTTCCAATATAAAAATTATTAAACTAACGTTTATTCTGGCAACGTTATATATATTCGAACCAAACATCCAGACATGTACAAACTAAAATTGCAATTGTCAAATTTTGGAGAGGGAGAGAGAGAGACCAAAATGTTGGCCGATGACCGCAATATGAAGAATGGATATTTCATCTTTCTTTCGTTTGAAGTGCAGCTCCTTATCCTCCATTTTGGAAGCCAAATATTCGACAACCTTCGTTTGACCAAAAGCAGCTGCCCTGTAGAGTGGGGTCTCTCCTAACTTGTTCTCAATCTTTAGCACACGTTGATATCCAGGCTCACTCTCAACTCTGTTTTCCAATTCCAAAAAGTGCTTTGCTGCGTTCAGATTTCCAGACGCAGCCACCTCATGAAAAACGGTGTTGCCATGGTTGTTCTGCCCGTTCAACGCAAGGCATAACAAGCTAGGTTCATGATATGCTTTTATCAGTGAAATAAAAAACTCAAGCACTTTCGGCTCGGCGAAGGCTGCGACGTGAAGTGCAGTGTCGTTGTTCATTGTCAATTGGCCAACTATTTCCTCTGTCTTCTTATCACCCTTCTTGTAGAATTTTTTTAGGCCTTCCCAGTTGCCGCTCATGGCAAATTCATATGGCTCCTTCGCGATACTCAATGCCTTTCCTCTACTTTCAATACTTTCAAGCTCAGCATCGCTCGCCTCCTCCATCTCTAGCTATATTATTTTTCGACTCAATTCACTGCTCTCTTTTTTATATAACCACGCGCTCTCCCAGTCCAGTACTCTATGTAGCAATATGTGATAGCAATATTTGCTAAATTTATTTTTCTTTAGCATCACATACCTTGCTTAATCAAGTAACAAAGTAAAACGTACACATGCCGCAGTTCAAATCTTTTAAAAAGAAAAGTAGTAAAGCAAAAGTAGAATAACAAGTTATAAGAAGCATCAAAAAAATTATACTTGTTATAAGGATCAGCCATGATTCACGTTTTGGTACCGCGCTTAGATATAAGCAAAGGTAATGAAGCAAAAGTAGAACAACAAGTTTAAAGAAGCATAAAATAAATTAAACATGTTAAAGGATCAGCCTAATAACAGAGTAATTACGTTTTGGTACGACTTTAGGTAAGTACAGATAGAGGGGAGCCTCTCTTGCAGAACAATAATGTTATGAACCCAATTTTTTTTTAATACTAATACATGTTGCACGCAAGTCATGTCATCTCCCACATCATCTTTTTCTTAATTGTTTTTTTCTTCTTAGAAAACGAAAAAGAAAATCACCAAGAAAAACGATAGAAGAGACCACCCAGCAAGACCCATGCCAGAAAAATAGTTGTGCTTTATTGTTTGCTTACGTGACTTTTTTCTTCGAGTTTTTGATAAATTATTTACGCAATCCGATAATTTCCATCCATGAGCCACTAATCTACTCGCCACCTTGCCAAAAATTGGATAATAGGAGTTGCACTCAAGGGATTCAAACCACCTACCCTGCGCTTCAATACCTGCCAGCGCCACTCTGCATCTTGTTTTGTGATATGTTCCATTTCTTTAATATGGATACATATTTAGACTTGTGTGAAGGTATATGTTATTATTGTGATAATCTAACCTCATCAATAACATGCTCCTCTCATTCAATTTTTTTCTCACAATTTCCCTGTTCATATAAAAAAAAACAATTTAAAAAAAAAACCTCTTTCTCACCAATATCCTGAACCCAAAAGTAATATTATTTTTTGTTTATATTTTTATATAATCTCTTATTTTCTCTTATTGATGTTGGCTCATCTAATGGACACGAAAGAAACACAGTAAATAAGTAAGTCATGGTGTTAGTATGAAAATTGTTTGTCATTTCCTAGACTCTAGTATATGTTGGGGATTAGGGTGTGAAAATATTTTTCTGGAAGTTTTGGTGGAACATATTCAGTCCCGGATTTTTGAAGAAAGACTTGATCGATACGAGGAAATTGATTTCAGCTAAATCATGACATAATCATGCATTCATTATAGGATTCCTAGTTTGAGTTATTTTCACTCAAGCACTTTTATGTTAGTCCTATTTTTAATAGGATTAGATTTTATCTCTTGAAATTACTTTCCTAGTTGGACTCTATTTTGATTTAAGTTAAAATATTATGTTTTCATCATCTTGAACTTAGAAAATATGTTTTAATTAATATCCTATTTGGTCTCGTTGTTTACATCTTGATATGCATTGTTTCATTGGATAAACAATTGATTGGAGTGCAAATGATAAGCTGACGAAACCATATAGGATTTTAAGACTATCAAATTGAATGAATGGCAAGATACACTAGTAAAAAATCACCCTTGCGCGACGAAAAATTATTCGTCGCTAAAAGTCACTTTGCGCGACGAAAATCAAAACTTCATCGCTTAAAACCTTGCGCGACGACAATGCATCGTCGCGCAAGAAAATTTTGCGAGACGAAAAACAATTTGTCGAGCAAAGTCACTTTGTGCAACGAAAAAACAATTCGTCGCGCAAGACATTTTTCGCAACGAAAAACAATTCGTCACGCAAAGTCACTTTGAGTGACAAAACAATAAACTTCGTCACGCAAAGTCCTTATAAAAATATTAAAATCTTTGTATGGCGTAATCCAAACATTTCGTCGCCTAAACCAATTTATTTTGTTTTTTATTTGTATGCATAACACTTAAGAAATTAAACGGTATATATATTTTTATTAAGTAGCTTTAAATTTATTATTTTAGATCAGATCGGATTTTTGTTAGAAAAATATATTATTGTTGTTCGAATTTGGTTTTTGTTAGAAAATATATTTTTTAAATTGACGATCGAATTAGTTCATTGTATTCATATAGGGTCAAAGAGTGTAGCTGTAAAAAATCATCAAAATCGGAGTTAAAATAACCGTTAAATCATGATTTTTCATTTATAACCGTCGAAAAGTTTTGTCTCATTACTTGATCTCTGAATGTTTATTTTTCCTGATTTTTGGTGTATATGATCTCAAAGTATAAACAAACAAGTTTGACGGTTGGATCGTTGAAACTAGTTTCGTAGAATGTGTATGCCATCAAAACAACATATTCACTAACAATTAAAGTTTATTTATACTTTTGTTAAATATAACATAAGATTTTGTGGTATCCACTAGTGTAAATATTTTAAATTGACGATCGAATTAGTTCATTGTATTCATATAGGGTCAAGGAGTGTAGCTGTAAAAATTCATCAAAATCGGAGTTAAAATAACCGTTAAATCATGATTTTTCATTTATAACCGTCGAAATTTTTTGGCCCGTTACTTGATCTCTGATTATTTTTTTGTGCGTATATGATCTCGAAGTATAAACAAATAAGTTTGACGGTTGGATCGTTAAAACTAGTTTTGTTGAATGCGTATGCCATCAAACCAATATATTCACTAACAATTAAGAGTTTATTTATATTTTTGTTAAATATAACATAAGATTTTGTGGTATCCACTAGTGTAAATATTTTAAATTGACGATCGAATTAGTTCATTGTATTCATATAGGGTCAAGGAGTGTAGCTGTAAAAAATCATCAAAATCGGAGTTAAAATAACCGTTAAATCGTGATTTTTCATTTATAACCGTTGAAATTTTTTGTTCCGTTACTAGGTCTCTGAATGTTTGTTTTTTGTTATTTTTGGGGTATACGATCTTGAAGTATATACAAACAAGTCTGACGGTTGGATCGTTGAATGGTGTGTGTATATATATATATATATTTATTTACTTATTAAGTAGCTTTAAATTTATTTATTTTGTACGTATACCACTTAAGAAATTGAATAGTATATACATTTATTAAGTAGCTTTAACCTTATTTATATTTTAAATCGTAAAATAAAATAATTTTATTTTTTATTATTCATAACAATTATTTTTATACATATCGTGCTACGAACCAATTTTTCGTCTCTCAAAAGTTTGCGCGACCAACAGTTCGTTTCGCAAAACTCTAAAAATTTGGGCGGGTACCAAAAATGGGACGCGGGATTTTTTTTATAAAAAAATTTAGACTTTGCGCGATCAATATTTTGTGTCGCTCAAAACTTTGAGCGACCAATATATATTTTTCGTCGCGTCAAAAATTTGGGCGGGTACCAAAAATGGGACGCGGGATTTTTTTTCTTTTTTTGACTTTGCGCGACCAATATACTATTATTCGTCGCGCAAAACTTTGCGCAATAAATATTCCAATATTCGTCGCGCAAAACTTTGCGCAACCAATATGTTTCGTCACGCAAAACTTTGCTCAACCAATACTCCAATATTTTTTGTCACGCAAAACTTTGCACGACCAATAATATTATTCGTTGCGCAAAGTGATACGGTTTTTAAAATGAAAATAACTCCTCCACCATTTTCTCAATGTCTTTCTCTACTCTTACCTCTCCTCTCTCTTTCCCTCTCCCCAAACCCCACCATTTCTCTCACACTCACTCCTCTCACTTAATCTCTCACTCTCACTCACTCTGTCATCTCTCTTTTCACTATCTCTCACTCTCACTCACTCTCTCATCTCTCTATCACTATCTTCTCTAATTCTCTCACACTCACTTCTCTCTCTCATTCTCACTCACTCTCAATCTTGCCAAAAGGTATATTCTCTCCAAATTTTAAATTTTTTTCATTAATATGTGTTTTTGGAGTTAGTTTTGAGTTTGTGTGGGGTTTGGGGTTGAGTAAAGGGGAGGGATTGGAGTTTGGGTTGGATTTGTGGTATAACAATTTTAGGGGAGATTATCCCTTTTTTTTTTTTTTTTCTTTTTTTTTTTTTGTTGGGAATCATCGAGACTTTGACGGCTAAAGTTGAGGATTAGGAAGCTATCAAAACATATCCTCCGCCACTACCACCACAATACGCTTGTATTAGAATTTTATTATTGTACTTTGTTAATTTATGTGTACATTTTGAATATTATATATATATATTTATTGGATAATTTGATCACTATTTTTCATATGTAATTTTATTTTGAATATGTCAATTTAAATTCAAGTAATTAAAAAATATCATACAATTAAATTAAATTTAAAAAGTAAAAATTCGAAATAATTAATATAATTAAATTAATATTAAAGAAATAATAAAACAAAAAGTCAAAAACCAAAATATTTCGTCGCTCAAATATTTGCGCGACATTAGTATTCGTCGCGCAAAACTCTAAAAATTTGGGCGGGTACCAAAAATGGGGTGCGGGAAATCTTTTTTTTTTTTAATTTTTTCGTCACGCAAAACTTTGCGCTACCAATGTTTTTCGTCGCGCAAAACTTTGCGTGACAAATATGTTTTCATCGCACAAAGTCACTTTGGGCGACCAATGAAAAAACTTCGTCGCTCAAAGTCTTTCTTCACGATCTTTACGCGACGGATTCTACGCGACGAAGTTTCTGTTGCACTGAAATTTGTGCCACTACAATGTATTTTGCGCGACGAAATTCTCTTCATCGCGCAAAGTGTAAAATGTAGTAGTGATATTAAGGTGTGGTTGTGGGCCTTCAGGTGCAATGTTCAGAATGAGTTTTGCATAAATCATTGTGTGCATCTCTTTTGGAAGACACAACTTTTGATATTTGTGTTGAGTATATAGAATTCTTAAGAAAAAGCTGTTGTGCATATTTTTCAGATAAGTCATCAAGTGTTCCTTGTTTACTTGGTGATTTATCAAATCCTTTCATCATTCATATTGCATTCATATACATGTTGGTGACTCATACGGTTGAGGGCACCAAGACCATGGTAGTGGTTTTCCTCTGGCGAGCTTGAAGCAATCGTGACCAGTATTGCATTCAACATAAGGAGTGTCGAAGATCATCCCGTGACAGAAGTTGAGTTACGAAGAAGTTCGTAAACATTATCTAGAATGTGTCTAGGATAAGTGTGTGATACTTCTTGTAATCATCGTTCCATAGTGGATTTGTGTTGGGTTGAGAAGTCTCGCGCCATATCAATCCTGCTACCAAAGTTTATTTTTTGTTTATCGATTATAATATTAAATTGGCCAATTCACCCCCTCTAGACATTTTTAGTCATCCTACAGGTAATTTCACATGGGATGCAGACCCAATGACTGTGTTATGATGCTCAAGCCAGTGCTGTTCAATGATATGTCACATCCCGGGATTGGCTCCGCCGTAGCACGATATTGTCCGCTTTGGGCCCCCTTTTCTGCCCTCACGGTTTTGTTTCTGAGAACTCACGAGCAACTTCCCAGTGGGTCACCCATCCTGAGATTGCTCTAGCCCTAATCGCTTGACTTTGGAGTTCTCATGACTCTGTAGCTAGTGAGCTTCCAAAAGGCCTCATTCTAGACGGAGGTGGGCATGTACATATAAGGCACATCACCCACTCTCCGTTGATCGATGTGGGATATTACAATCCATCCCCATTTGGGACCCGACGTCCTCGTTGGCACACTCGCACCACACAGTAGAGTGGCTCTAATACCAAATTGTCACATCCTGGGATCGGCTCCACCGTAGCACGATATTATTCGCTTTGAGCCCCCCTCTCTGCCCTCACGGTTTTGTTTCTAGGAGCTCACGAACAACTTCCCAGTGGGTCACCCATTCTGGGATTGCTCTAGCTCCAACTCGCTTAACTTCGGAGTTCCCATGACTCCGAAGCCAGTGAGCTCCCAAAAAGCCTCGTGCTAGATAGAGGTGAGCATGTGCATATAAGGCACATCACCCCTTCTCCGTTGGTCGATGTGGGATGTTACGTGATAGGTCTTAGGCTCAGACGGAACGAAGACCCACTCGAGCAATAAGTCTTAGACTTGAGCGGAAAATCCTTTGGGGTGGTCAGAATTTGTCCCTCTGCTAGTGCTCATCATGCATTCGATTAAACGTCTAAGAGAGACTTTGTTGTTTTGTCATTGGTTGCAAATGTTGAGGGAGTTTATGATGAACTTGTTCTTTTAATAGTCCTAGCAAAGGGGAGAGGAACTTAGGCTCTTTGTGTTCTTACAATTTCTAAGGAGGACAAGGACTTGTTTGAGGTACAGGAGATTTTCAATTCTTAGTGTTTCGCATCATCAAGCTTGGTATAAATCGACATTTGGTTTGAATGTGTACAGAGAGAGCTTTAAAACCTTGAAGAGGAACAAAACCAGAGGGTTCGTGGATTTCAAGAGGTGATCAATTTGATTTCTGCTTTACATAAACTTGTTGTCTCCCAAAATTCCCTTAATATAATTGTTAGTTTTAGGACTGTTACAATTGGCTTTCCTTGCCAAATGTACACTTTCATGTAATTCCTCTTAGCTCATTTTTAGAAATTAGGCATTGGGTCTTTGCTACAAAGTTGAAGTACATTAAAGAGCTTATGAGGCTACAAAACCAAGGTAATTTGTGCATTCATTTATAATGTGTATCATTTGGAAAATCAGCATTTGCATCCATATACTTTGTCGAGATGACTAGTCATATAGGCCAAATTAGCATTTGCATCCATATACTTTGTCGAGATGACTAGTCATATAGGCCACCATTTCCAGCACGGGATTTTTAACCAAGGCACGTGATTTTGCTTGTTATAAGTCCAATCGTTGGCTGCCAAGTGTCCTTTTGATCTACCAAAATGGCTGGAGCTAGTCTGGACTCATCAACTCTCTCATTTACATTTTTCAAATGGGTATTTAAAGTGAGAGATGGTGCATAAATTAGGTTTTGGTTTTTGGGAGAAGAGTTCATGGGTTCTTGAATTCCTTTTGGGCTTTCAATGAAATTTTATTTCTCAAAATTTTGTTTAGTAATACAAAGTTTTCATATCTCATCACTTTCATTTTCACCATTTTGGAAAACTTAGTTTTCTCTTTGGTTTGTTTGAGAGTGTTTATGGCATAGAAATGGGATTTCAAGATTTCTTTTTGAAAGCTACTTCTTTTTAGAAAATCTGACCATAGCTTTGCACATTGAAGTTTTAATCTCTCATCGTTTTCATTTGCACCATTTTGGAAAACTTGGTTTTATCTTTGGTTTGTTTGAGAATGTTCATGGCTTTGAAATGAGGTTTTGAAATCATTTTTGAAATCTGTTTATGTCTTTGAAATCTACTTCACTCATTGAGAATTTTTTAGAGTAAAACTTTTACATTCCAATCTCTATTTGGCGAGGTTTGAGTTTTCATTATGAGATTTTAAGAATTATTCTTTGAAATCTGTTGTGCTTTTTAAAATCTGCATTAGGGTTCAATCACGACTAGTTATCTTCTTCAGTCTACATCTAGGTTCATTATGACTAAATCATCTTCTTTAGTCAAGATTAGATTCTTGGTTGATTTCTTCAAAAGGATGGTTTCTTGAAGGAATTGACCCATTTTCATCTCATAATCTATATTTCATTTGTTCTGTTTGATTCGGAAAGGAGTTGAGGTGCCATGGGGTGAAGAAGCTAATGGACTAGCTGCCATTTCCATGAAGGACAAGCTACTAGCTCAACTAAGTTTAGAGAAGAAGGTTGCATAGGGAGGTAGAGCTCATTTCCTAAATAGACATAGGATTGTTTGAACTTGTGATTGTTTTTTCTGTAAGAATCTTTTTGACTTAGTGGATGGCTTGGTCTAAGTGATGACCCTTAGTTTTTCCCAATGGTAGATTTCTGGGTGAACATTTCCCTTGTGCTGTTCTTGATTTTATGACTAGCCATACTGTATATGTTTCTAAAATGTTGATGAATGTTCACATACTTTTCACTCTAGTTGTTGCTAGCACAAGGGATGCCTAGATTGATGGATCCTTCTGAGTGCCTAAGTTGTCACGTAGTTATCTTTTAGGCTTGCAGGTTCTTATATTTGATTTGTGATGAATCTGTGCTGGGGTTGTTTGTTCATAGGTCTATGACTAGTAATTGACTAGTCATATTGTTACTAGGAACAGTTAATCATTGTTGTCTTAGATTTGTCAATTGGGATTTTAATTTACCTCCTAAGTACCAATATCAATTGGTATCAGAGCTCCAACTGTTAATAGACATAGAGAGATCATTTGGGTGCTAATTGATATTAGGTGTGTAAAGATAAAAATGGATCAAATTCCTCCTTGCATTCATGATGAGCTTGCTTTGTTTGTTAAGAAATATAGAAGGGTTGTCAAAGATAAAACCAAAGTCACTAAGAATTGTCAAAATCCTCCTAGTTCGTCTGCATGTGTGTCTCAAGTCAATGTTCTTGAGGAGAGGAATTTTTGGATTCTTATGGCTTTACAGAGGACAAAAGTTTGAAGGGTCTTCTAAAATGCTACATATGTGGTGGTGCTAGTCACATTGGTGTGGAATGTGCAAATAACCACATGACAGAGTCTAAAGAGAGAGAAAAGATCAATTAGTGCACAATGGAATGATAGTGATAGTGATGATTCCAACAAGTATATCACTTCAGCTAATGAAAAGGCAAATCATTTTGCCCTTGCTGTTTCTATTCATAACTCCAGACTTGCTAGAGTTCATGTAATTAATGAGGGAGAATCTGATTCAGGAAATGAATATAAATCTGGAGATGATATGCAGGATGACCAATCATACATGGAACTATGTGAAAATTTCAATGAAACTTGTAATTTCAAAGAACAAAATCACATGCTAGAACAAAAGGTCAAAGAACTTGATGAACTTAATGAAACTCTCAAAATGACCAAAAAGAAGTTGAGTGATATCTTGTATGAGAATGAAGTTGACATGTATGAATTGTATCATAAAATTAGCACTCTTGAAAAAGAAAATTCTAATTTGATTGAGAAGTTGAATGTGCTTGAGAATGACAAATCCTTGTTTCTTCATAGACTAACTTTGTTTGAGTTTGACAAGGCATTAGTTAGGCATGAAAAGGTAGTCATGCATGATAATTTTGTGGTTGAAAATTCTATTTTGCAACGCATGGTATTTGAGAAAGATATTGAGTTGCAAAACTTGTTTGAGATGGTAAAATCACTTAAAAACAACATGGTTAAACAATCTAAATCTTTTGATGCTTTACAATTTGAAAATATAAAATTGGAACATGAACTTGAGTTGGAAAGAAAAAATTTCAATGTTTAACCATTGGTGCTGGAAAGATTGATAAAATGCTCAATTTGGGAAAATTGTTTGGTGACAAAAGAGGTTTAGGATATATAGTTGAGTCTTCGACACCTTCATCATTTGCGACAATCTTTGTCAAAGATGTGTCAACTCAAGAAGCTCCAAAATTGGTTCATGATCTCAACTTGTGTTTTGATTCTATGAATATTGTTTCAAAGGGAAAGTTATCTACTCCACAATCCAAATTTGTGCCTACTTGTCACCATTGTGGTGTGAAAGGACACATCCGACCTAGGTGTGATATTCTTATGATTGAGTCTCGAGTTACCAAAGAAAATGAGTTTAAGAGTCATGTGTCATCTTGTATGTGGCTATAAAGTCAAGAGTTTGTACAAGAGGTAAACAATCTTCATTGCAAAATTTGGTTTCCCAAAACCAAAAAGGTTCATTCCTATATGCCATCATTGTGGCACATTAGGACACATTAGACCAAAGTGTTTTGAGCTTAGAAATTTTGAGCAAAACCCTTTTGTTCATTTCAAGAAAGTAAATGGTAACTCACTTCAAACTCAAGTGAATGATCTTCTTTATAAAATTGTCAAAATTCCTAAGTTGATCTCTTTGCTTCATAAAGTTTCAAAAGTGAAGCAAGTTTGGGTCAAGAAGGAAGACCATGTTCTTCTTCATGTTGGTGACTAGTTTCTTCGTGTTATGTATCTAGACTATTCTCTTGTTTATATGTGCTTCATGGAGTCTAAATACATTGTCATGTATGTGCATTTTACTTGTTATTTTCTTTATTTTGGTCTCATAGTTTGACTTTGTGCACATCATTCATCTCTTACAGTACTTTGGATCTCATGTTCATTCAAATTTCATGATGTGTGAGATCTTGTAGATGTTTGACTAATTGGCTTAAGGCATTTTCTTACATAAGAGATCTTGGTGAAAACAATGTCTTGCAATTTGTGCATATTGAGAAGCAACTAGTTGTTTTTTCTCTCAACCGCTATTGATTTCAATGATCTACTAGGTTGTGCAAAATGGATTAACTTGTGTTTTAGGCTTTCATGTTCTTATATTTGATTTGTGATGAATCTGTGCTTGGCTTATTTGTTCATAGGTCAATGACTAGTAATTGACTAGTCATATTGTTATTAGGAACAGTTAATCATTGTTGCCTTAGATCTGTCCATTGGAGTTTTAATTTACCCCCTTCACCTAAGTACTAATTTCAATAGTGTATCTCTATTTAATAAATATTCATGAGCTTTAATCCCCCATATTTGGCATCTATCATTTCTTAGTTTCTCAACTTATAATTTAATTTTGTTTTATACAGATTTCACGTTTATTTATTTAAATTAAAGTTTCTCTTTTCCCTGTCGACTAATGTAGATGGATTCATGGACTCCTTGCACTTGCCTTATCCTGAAAAATTCATGGAAGAGACCACCCAGAAAGACCCATGCCATAAAAATAGTTGTGATTTACTATTTGTTTATCGTGATTTATTTTCTTTGTGTTTTTGATAAATTATTTACGCCATCCGATAATTCCATCAATGTCTCCTCCAATACCTGCCAGCGCCACTATGTCAGAACCCTCAAAATATCAAAGCCGGCTTTGCTAGGAATTATGTAATTATGCATAAGAAAGAAAAATAAAAAATGTAAAGGTTCAAATATAAACGTTCAAAACAGTAAAGGGCCACTTGCAAATATTACTTTATAAAAGGCAATACATATATATCGGATGTGATTCCCTTCTTAGAATGAAAGCTTCTTTTTTGTGAAGAATGGAATATTATATGTTAGGCAAACAAAAGTTTAGCATATATATGGAATAAAGGCGTTTTTCTGATATTCCAAAGTGTTTTCCAACCCATCGGTCGCTATTCATGCATATGCTTCACATCAGCATGCATGAACCAGAGAACAAAAAAGTGAACAGGTTGGGTCATAAGCTAAAGCCCTCATCCTCATCGTACACGTAAATACCAAAATCATATGCATGGAAATGACCAACTTAGCCCTGTTTTTACCTATATAAGCAACATGAAGCATTGGATGGAAGACGTATATTGAAGAGATGGTGGAGCCCAAAAATGACTATATGGTCTGTGCAAAGGATCTCAGAATCATTTGGTCCAGAGACCGTCGTTACTGGCGATGGGTCAAAGACACAGAAAACAGGTAACGAAAACTTCATTACATAACTTATGGTTTTTCGGTTTCTCCAGTCCTATTGAACATTTGAAACAGATATAGGAATAACATATACAAAATATACATATATGCTATCAGTAATCTCAGTCCTAACTTCGATTTCATTGCAGTTACGTTGCTGAACTGTTAAATGTATGTTGGCTAAAAGTGAGCGGAAAAATTGAGAACCCAAACCTGTCACCAGGAACTCAGTATGAAGTTGTACTTGTGGCCAAGATGAAAACTAGAGCTTATGGATGGGATGCTCCAGTGAATTTCAAATTCTCTCCCCCAGGTGGTACACTTGACTGGACCATTAATTTGGAGGATGAGTTTAAGGATAGCAAAGATCAATGGAAAGATATTAAGTTGGGTGAGTTTACTGCGTCCGCAACTCCAGGGGACATCGAGTTTTGGCTGTATAAATATGGTGGGAAATGGAAGAGCGGACTTGTTATCAAGGGTGTTGCCGTTCGACCAAAGAGCTAAGTTGCAGAATATTATTGTAATAACTAGTTGCCAAAAATTCACATTTTGCTTTCAATCTTAATGCCATCTACAGCTTCCTATAATCTTTGCAGCAGTGGTTGTTTCGATTAGCAAGAGCCATGCTGCTCATGATCATTTACCATGTTTAGATGTGAATTTGAACTACAATTCGAACCCCCACCTTTTCCTCCTTAATTAATTACTTGAATTCATAAGATTATTTTCTTTATTTCCTTATTTAAATCATTTAATGTTTTTTCTTATTTAGTTGTATCATTATTATCTACTATAGTTGATTAAATCACACAATCCCAATCTCCAAATGATTTTGGTTATGAACAACGTTGAGCAGTGCCAAACCCATATTATAACTACCAGCACCAACTAATTTTATTTTATATAACTGACATAATAACTACATGCAAAATTATTTTGGAGATTCATCGTTTCATGACTACTCCTTATAATACATATACTATACACATAGACATGAAGACAACAATCCTTTATGCCTACACTCCACCTGCCACAACCCAGCATATATCTTCTCTTTTACGCATCTCACCAGTACGTGACAATTAATAAGTGAATAAATTCACAAATCTTTAATGCACACTTTGAATTGGTGTCTGTATTTGTTCCTCTTTAATATGAGCCAATTAGTTTGGTTTCAATTGTGTTTTGTAGGATAATTAGGTCAAAGAGAAGAATTTTGAGCATAAACGGAAGTTTCTGAGCCTCTCCTACAAAAAATTGTTGTGAAAGTTTCGAACCTAATTTCTAGACCTACTTAATCAAAATTTTAATTGCAAGTGCACGAAATATGTAATAGTACCGCAAGCAAATACGAGATCCTTTCCATATAGAAATTAATTTAAACACTTTAGTTTTATTAGATAACTTAATTAAATTAAACGAAGATTTAACCAAATACGAGATTCTTCCCACAGAAATTAATTTAAACACTTTAGTTCTATTAGTTAACTTAGTTAAATTAGATGAAGATTTAAGCAAAGATAAGCATACACACAAATCAAGATAAGTACACAACTTGTAACCATATATTTCTTCATGGCCAAATTAAATCTTTTAAACTTGTACACATGTTCCTCTTTACTCCCCTGTTGCGGAGTATGCCCAAGCGGCAAGTTCAAATATACTTCTTCATTTAAGTCTCTATGTAGAAAAGCAATCTTTACATCATATTGCTACAAAGGCAAATCTAAAATTGCAGCCTGTGACAAGAGGAACCAAATTCTATTAATCTTGGAAACACATTTGAAGGTTTCCTCATAGTCAATTTCATAAGTCTGATTGTATCCCTTCACAACTAATCGAGCTTTATATCTTTCAATGGACTCATCATAATTATACCTAAAACCAACCCTTCTGTCCTTTTAGTAATATCATTACCAAAAAAATTAACCAAAAAAAAAAGGGTTGTATGTGTCTAAACCCACGTCCAGCAGCAAGCCTTATCTAATATGGATGATAAGCTTTAAAAAATAATAAATAAATAAATAAAACAAGTAAAGCCAATTATCTAATAACCTTTTCAAGTTTCAAAGCCAAAGGATAAAACAATAATCTCCTAAAGGAGTTTAAAAAAAATAGGAGTCTGACCAATCAATGAAAACTCTCAAAAGAGGTTGATGATTCTTGTTTTGGTGGAGCTGATTATTCAATAAAAAGTCCTTCACAAAATTGATCTCTCACGGATAGCCTACAAAAAGCACGGCTATGGGAAAAGAAAAAGGAAGTTTCACTAAAACATTCAAAATGGGGCTGAAATTATAAAAAAACCCAACACCCAAAATACTTTATAAACACACCCAAAACCCATCATTACACACACTCAAAACTCATTTATAAACACACCCAAAAAATATACAATTGTTGATTTTGGGTATGTTTCTATGTTTAAATAGTGCTTGGGTTTTTTTATAAATACATGTATAAGATTGGGTTTATTTATAAATTTGTAAAAGAAAAAAGTGGGGAGGATGAGCAGGCAGCTGCAAAAAGAGAAAGAAAAAAAAAAAAAAAAAAAAAAAAAAAAAAAAAAAAAAAAAAAAAAAAAAAAAAAAAAAAAAGGAAGCCGCGGGCAGGGAAAGAGCTTGGGAGCAAAGCATGATGAAGCAGCAAAAAAAGAAAGAAGACAATCAAAGATGCATTTTGCATCTGCAACAAAGCTCATCTCTTGAAGTCCTTCGTGCTTGGGTATAAAACCCGCAAATTGAACAAATGGATGGTAATCGATGTTGGGTGGCAACCCACAAATCAATAATGCTTTGCCGAGCGAACCCCCATATTTGGGTATAAAACTCACAAATCAAACAAATGGATGGTAATCGATGTTGGGTGGCAACCCACAAATCTCCATGCTTTGCCAAACGAACCTTCATGCTCTGCCGAGCAAACCTCCATACTCTGCCTAGCGAACTTGGATGCTGAATTCATTTTAGATACAAAACCCACAAACTAAATATTAGGAGGAAAATCCATAAATTCCCATCGGATGATAAAATCTATTTTGGGTATAAAAAAAAAAACCATGAATCAAATATTGGGATGAACCATATATGGATGAAATACCCTTAAAAAATATTATATGCCTAAGCTGCAGAAAAGATGGTGTTCCATGTGTCAAGGCAGTGAAAGACGAGGGCAAGCAATTACCCAAGCCCAAAAAAAGAGTTGGCTTCTGTTCAAATTGTGGAGCCATGATATGTTGTGCAATAAGGGACAAAAGTGCCGCAAGACTGAAGTACCATTCTCTCTAATTGCAACCACAGAAAATATCTATTTGCTGGCAGAGTGAAAAGAATAAATCAAGGCGGGGGTGTTTAGTCCACCGTCAAAAACAACCAACTGATGATCTTTATCATAACCCAACATGAGCGATGATCGTGAGCATCACATACTTTGGTTTTGGAGCTCACTTCCAGCAAATGATCCGCCACTGATCATGACCACTTGCAAATATTACTCCATAAAGGGGAATACATAGAAATAGAAATTCTCCTATGCAAACATCTTAATGTTATTATCGTGCGGATGTCATGTGCTTTCTACTACCTCTTTCTGCTTTCCTCCTTATTTACAATGGTATTTGCATGATAATAATGTACAGATATCCGGATGAGATATATATATATTTATATTTATATACAGTCCTTTTTCATTGAGTGATCCATCGAATAATTTTATTTGAGGGACACCATTTAAGGTAGCTTACGAATTTGTTTTCAACAATCCAAACCATTCATTTTTCAAGTATTCATTCATAGATCATTCTTACAAAAAATAAAAAAAATTGAAGGCATCTAATTGCTAGCAACAAAATAGATGAACATGATGCTTCACGAAAAGACTAAAATAACAATAATCTAATTGAGTGGCCAAATGGTTTCGGATTCAAATGATTTTTTGCAGATATGATTTTTGAAGGAATATATAAAAATTAGAGATCATTGAAAAACAATGTGTGGTGAGCCCTATAAGGTGTCCCTCAAATAAGCTTATTTTAGAAATCAAGATCTATATATATATATCGAATGTGATTCCCTTATCTTAGAATAAAAGCATTTTTTCTTTTCCTGCAGAATGGAATATTATATGTTAAGCAAACAAAAGTTTAGCATATGGAATAAAGGCGTTTTTCTGATATTCCAAAGTATTTTCCAACCCATCGGTTGCTAATTCATTCTTCACATCAGCATGCATGAGAAACTGAGATCCAAAAGAACAAAAAAGTTAACAGGTTCACAAGCTAAAACCCTCATCCAAACCTTTAGCGGTGTATACGTAGATACTAAAATCATGCATCATGTGCATGCAGGGAAATGACCAACTTAGCCGTGTTTTTACCTATATAAGTAACAAGAAGCATTGGATGGAAGACGTATATTGAAGAGATGGGGAATGCACAAGAGAAAATAACTAGAGGACAAATAACTAGTAACAATGCATCGGAGAAACCAACCGAAGGAGGGCCTTCTTCTACTGCAGCTCCCTCTGATAATCAGAAGACAGAAACACAATCAGTTAAGTAGCAGCTCCCTTTATCTGAAATGCAAACACCATGCTCGGATGGTTTAATTTTGTATGTTATAGCTACATATATACATATAAGGTTAACTGTTGATTTGCCCCCTGAACCTATACTCAACTTTCGATTTACCCCCTATCCTTTTTTTTAAGAAAATTAAGGACCTCAATTATTATTTTTAGTCAATTTCCCCCTACCAAGGCATGTGACACTTAAATAATTATAAAATAATGTTATAAAACAATAAAGAAATAGAAAACAAAACAAAAACATTTCCCAGCCCCATCCTGCTCCCACCAATTCCTACCCTCCCCAACCATCATCCCCTGGCCACCCCACCATAGTTGGGACCTTAACGCCTTGAATTCCTTAGTCCACCTAACACCCAAGCCGTGTAATATCTGCGTCATGCTACTCAACCCGCAACCCCCACCTGATCTGCCCATGGGAGGAAGGAGAGAGAGAGAGAGAGAGAGAGAGAGAGAGAGACACACACACACACACACACACACACACAAGGACGGATCTAGGCATGGGCTAGAGTGGGCTCTAGCCCAGTGCTAAATTTGGAGATGAAAAAATTAATGTTAATTTTATAAGTAACAAGTTAATTAAAAATAGTCCACCCCTCTTTGTTGAAATTAGCCTATCACAACCATAAGATTTCATCTCTAGAGGCACCCCCACACATCAAACATCATGTTTTTCTATTACCCACCCATGTAAGCTATAACTTTATATTTGAACTTGAGAGTTTAGAAGTAGTAGGTCACCTCCTCTTTAAAATTGTATCAACCTATATCCAATGAGTTCTTTAATATTAGTAAGTTCCTTGCTGCTGCCCATGCTCTGCTGCTTGGTGCGTTAGTTCCAAAGCGGTTCTAGATGGATGCTGTTACCTATGCAGTCTATCTCTTGAATCGTCTACCTTCTCGAATTTTGGATTTCCAAACTCCTATGCAGGTACTGACTCATCATCTCTCTGCCTCTTCTATGTTGACTCTGTCTCCAAAGGTGTTTGGTGGTGTTGTCTATGTTTACCTCCATCAGAATCAAAGAAGTGAGCTGGACCCCTGAGCTCTCCGCTATGTCTTTCTGGGTTTCTCTCCTCATCAGAAAGGCTACCGGTGCTATCATCCTGCAACCCAATGTCTATATGTTTCTATGGATGTTACCTTTATTGAGGATGAAATGTTCTTCTCTGATACACCTGAGCATGTCCTTCATGGGGAGACTAGTAGTAAAGGACATAACTGACTAGATTTACAAGGAGGAGTAGTATTGGATAGTTTGATACAAATGGGAGAACCGATCTAACTTGCTGAACAGGTTGAACCTACTACACCGGCTGAACCTGCTACACTAGCTGAACCTGCTACACCAACTGAACCTGCTATTTTAACTGATATAGTTGCTGTCACTGAATCAATTGCCCCCCATGAAGCTTCTCTAATAGTACTCGATCAAGCTTCTCTATTTTACCGCCTAGACGGAACCGTGGGGTTCCACCTAATCGTTACTCACCAGAAGGCAAAGCAAGATATGCTATTGCCCATTATGTGTCTGATAACAGGTTATCTCTTGAGTGCAAAGCGTTTGTGACTAGAATGGATAGTATTAAAATTCCAACCCATGTTGAGGAGGCATTTAAAGATCCAAAGTGGGCTGAAGCCATGAATATTGAAATGGAGGCGTTGCAGAAAAATAATACATGAGACATTGTTGATCTACCGAAGGGAACGAAGCCTGTAGGATGCAGATGGGTGTTTACAGCTAAATATAATGCAGATGGTACTGTAGAAAGGTACAAGGCAAGATTAGTAGCTAAAGGGTTCACTCAGACATATGAAGTTGATTATTATGATACTTTTGCACCTATGACTAAGATGAATACTATTAGAGTTTTGTTGTCTTTAGCAGTAAACTTGGATTGGACCCTGAGGCAATTTGATGTAAAAATTGCATTCTTACATGGTGAATTAGAAGAAGAAGAAGAAGTGTACATGAGTCTTCCACCAGGGTATAGCGTTATCGGTGACACGAGGAACGTGTGAAAATTAAAAAAGGTGTTGTACGGGTTAAAACAGTCTCCTCGGGCATGGTTTGGCAGATTTACTACATCTATGAACAAGTTTGGTTACTAGCAGGCCAATATTGATCATACTCTATTAATTAAACATAGGGCTGGGAAGGTGAATTTGTTGATTATTTATGTTGATGATATGATTGTGATTGGTGATGATATTGTGGAAATCGAGGAACTGCAGAAGCGTTTAGCATCTGTATTTGAGAAGAAAGATTTGGGCAGTCTAAAATATTTTCTATGAGTGAAGTCACTCGATCTAAACATGGCTTATTTCTTTCACAAAGGAAGTATGCTACGGACCTGCTAGCAGATATTGGAATGCTTGACTGTAAACCAGCTTATACACCTATTATTGAGAATCATAAACTTGTGTTTATGTGGATCATGTCCCAACTAACAAAAAAAGATATCAAATGTTGGTTGGGAGATTGAATTATTTATCATTGACACGCCCTGATATTGCCTATGCAGTAAGCGTTGGTAGCCAATTTATGCATTCACCTAGTGAGGATCATATGGCTGCTGTAATGCGTATTCTGAGTTACTTAAAGTCTGCTCCTGGGAGAGGTTTATTATTTAAGAAAAATGGCCTTTGGATCTAGAAGGTTATACTGACGCAGATTATGCAGGGAATATTACAGATAAACGTTCTATATCAGGTTACTTCACATTTGTTGGTGGTAACCTAGTTACGTGGCGTAGCAAGAAGCAAAACGTTGTGTCTCGGTCCTCTGCAGAGTCTGAGTACAGAGGGATTGCCCAAGGGGTTTGTGAAATACTATGTATAAGGTGGTTACCTGCTGAAATTGGGTTTAGACCGGATGTTGCTACAAAGCTCCACTGTGATGGTCAGTCTGCATTTGAAATTGCTAACAATCCGATGCAACATGATCGAACTAAGCATGTAGAAGTTTATCGGCATTTCATTAAGGAGAAGCTGGAGCATAAGTTCATTTCTATACCTTTTGTGCCTTCTTCGGAGCAGATTGCAGATATGTTGACCCATGTCGTGTCAAAGCGCCAATTTGAAAACTCACTTAACAAGTTGGGCATTACCGATATCTATGCACCAACTTGAGGGGGAATGTTGGCGTGAATCAACGTTCCAATTAGGAATAGAATTTGTTCCTATTCAGAATAGAATCCATATTTTATTGTAATTATCTATTTTGAGTAGAATTAGGAGATTTTGTACATATTTCCTATTTGTACCTACTCTGTATGTAGTATATATATTCCTCCTTAAGAGAAGAATAAACATATATCATGATTTAAACCCTAATTATTTTGAGTTTAATATATATATCGGATGCGATTCCCTTATCTTAGAACATAAAAGCTTGTTTTTTTTTCCCTGCAGAATGGAATATCATATGTTAAGCGAACAAAAGTTTAGCATATGGAATAAAGGTGTTTTTCTGATATTCCAAAGTGTTTTCCAACCCATCGGTTGTCAATTCATTCTTCACATCAGCATGCATGAGAAATTGAAATCCAAAGAACAAAAAAGTTAACAGGTTGCTTCACAAGCTATAAAACCATCGTCCTCATCCAAACCTTTAGCGGTGTATACGTAGGTACCAAAATCAGGCATCATGTGCATGTATGGAAATGACCAACTTAGCCCTGTTTTTACCTATATAAGTAACAAGAAGCATTGGATGGAAGACGTATATTGAAGATATGGGGAATATGCAGGAGAAACCAACTAGTGTACAAACAACTAGTAACAATGCACAGGAGAAACCAACCGAAGCAGGGCCTTCTTCTACTGCCTCTGATAATCAGAAGAAAGAAGACCAAAAAGCTTCTGATAGTCAGAAGACAGAAACACAACCAGTTAAGTAGCAGCTCCCTTTATCTGAAATTCAAACACCATGCTCGGATGGTTTAATTTTGTGTGTTATAGGTACATATATACATATATATGCTTACTTATGCTTCTGATGAAATGTGAAAATTTCTAGTTGGTGCTGAAATTCAGCTCCAAATAAAAAATTTGGGACTTTAATTAATTTAAAGAATGGAAACTTGTTGAAGAAGTTAGAGATCAACCATCTTGATTATGTCAATTATATTTTCTTGACTATTGTTAGTGTTTGTACAAATTTCCTTGGTTCCCACAGTTAGCATTATCACACCCTGTGCAGTCGTATGGTGATGGAAAGTCCAAATCGTTGATGGTGTATGCAAAGGCTCTTGATATCACTTGGTCTGGAGACAGTCGTTATTGGCGATGGGTCAATTGCAAAGAAACTAGGTACCAAAAACTTCAATACATAACTTACGGTTTCTTTCTCGGTTTCTCCAGTCGTATTGACCATTTGAAACAGATAGGAATAACATATACAAAAAAATTAATATATATATATATATGCTATCGGTAATCTCAGTCCTAACTTCGATTTCATTGTAGTGGTGGCAACTTCGAAGCTGCTGAACTGTTAAATGTGTGTTGGCTAGAAGTGCGTGGAAAACTTGCGACCACAGACCTCTCACCAGGAACTCTGTATGAAGTTGTATTTGTGGTCAAGATGAAAACTAAAGCTTATGGATGGGATGCTCCAGTGAATTTGAAATTCACACCCCCAGATGGTGCAGTTCCAAGGGAGACGACAATTAAATTGACGGATTTGAAGGATAGTAAAGATGAATGGAAAGATATTCCGTTTGGTGAGTTTAAAGCACCCGCAAATCCTGGGAACATTGAGTTTTTGTTGTATGAATATGGTGGGAGATGGAAGAGCGGACTTGTTATCAAGGGTGTTGCCGTTCGACCAAAGAGCCAAGTTGCAGAATATTATTGTAATAATTAGTTGGCCTATGATATGAGCCGACAGATGATGATATGCATATGTAATAAATGATAATTAAGAACAGAATAATGAAGCACTTTTAAGTATTGCCAAAACCTCACATTTTGCTTTCAATCTTAATGCAATCTAGAGCTTCCCGTAATCTTTTAACATACTTGTAAATTAGTTGTCTGGGAGCTTTGCACTTTTTCAAGTTTTATAAACCTTCTATTGATCCATTTATTTATTTTTTAAATAAAAAATAAAAACAAGTATCTCTGCAGCAGTGGTTGTTTCGATGATGCTCATGATCACTAACCATGTTTAGGTCAGAATTAGAATTATAATTCGAACCCCCACCTTCTCCTCTTTTTGGGCTGCGCGAAAACCACTGGGCATGGTATTTATTATGATCTTAGAGTAATGTTTATATATTTATTAATTACTTTTTTATATATATATCCTTGATTAATTACTTGAATTCATAAGATTAATTTTTTTTTCCTTATTTAATTCATTTAATGATATTTATTATTTAGTTGTATCATTATTATGTACTATAGTTGATTAAATAAAAGATTAGGGTTTGTTTAATCTTGTTTAATTAATTACTGCACGTATTCTAGGCTTGAGTGTTTGCAAGCTGCAATATACTCAACTTAAAGCACTCGAACAAATCTTTGTATTGATCAGAAAGCAGAGCCGCTTATTCATGTTGTTTACATCATAATCAACCGAGCATATCCTCTGTCCATTTCAATATTCCGAGGTACCGAGCACCTGTCGAAACTCCCGACTGCTGAAGGTCCAAATTGCTAAACCTAATCTCCATGACACGTGTCACCACCACAGCGACTTGCACAAAGTCCCACATCGGAAATCTACACAAACCTCTCACTTTCACTTCCCTATAAAAAGGGAACAGTACTCTAGTAAAAAGGGTAACTACTTTTCTACCTTTTATTGTTACTCTGCAAAAGTTACCCTTCTTAGCTGACTTAAGCATCGGAGAGCCTTCGGCCGGCACCACATCGGTGTCCGAAGCTTAACGACTGCTTCCCCTATTTTTGTCTTCTGCAGGCTAGCCTTTATTGAAGGTCCAGACCCTTTCCCTGCTCAAGGCAAATCCCCTTTTTCTTTAAGTTGACCCTATCCGAAAAAGAGCATCAATAGTTGGCGCCGTCTATGGGAATCGATACTTGAATCCCATTTTTCTCTACCAGCCCAGCTGGCTCCTTCTCCTATCCGGCCCTGTCGCCTCTTCTTCACTCCATACTTAGCTATGCTTACTGAGGATAGCCAGGATGCCCAGCACCATACCCCCCATGGGGGGTACCTCCCAGAGGAGACATTCGGCAGAGGTTAATCTCCAGGCCGAGGTGGAGCTCCTCCATGCCAGTGTCACTAAGATGTCCGAGAGGTATGACCATCTTCATTCCAAGAATGTTGAGCTGGAGCATGACTACCGCATCCTGAAGCGTAACTGGGAGAAGAACTAAGCCCAGGGCTCCCAACGTAGCCTTACCCGGGAACCTGAGCATACCCAGCCAAACCAGCCGGAGCACTCCTACCATAGTGTCCCAATCCAGCCTAGGCCTAGCAAGGGTAAAGGCCCCCTCCATCCAGAGACGACCAAGTCACGGCTCCTCCGCATCTCCCCGCTGAGGAACCGGCCCCATGAACCAACAAAGGTCTACAGGGATTGCAGGGACCGTATCCTGGACCGTCAGACGGAACCCCTTCTTATTCCCGTTAATCTCCAAGATCCAAAGGTGACACACCTAGGCCCCCCACCAAAGCCTACCCAACTACCCCCTGGAGAAGGTATAGGGGACTCGGAGAACTGGGGGCAGGAAACTACCCCCTCAGGCCTCTAATTCGGGGCTCAAGGACATTAAGAATGTCAATGGCATAAGCCGATTTCAAGTCTTTAATTGTACTAGCACACATCGCCGTGTCAACGCCTCTAACATTCCAAGAAACAACAATCATTAAAACAATTGATGATAAAAAGAGAATACCTTAGGGAAGACCCTATTGCATGATTTGTTCAGCTTCATAGACAATAGAGGCATCCTGTTCAAAACACATATCAGTCTCTAAACCAATATCAGATTTGCCATGGCCAAAATCATAATGGTGCTCCATATCAACAGTAGTAGAACTATTCGTTGGGGGCTTAATCTCATTGAGCCTTAGTTGACTGGTGTCATGAGGCTTATAACCATGAAGCTACCCATCTGTTCCTAAAGAAGAATTAGGGTAGAGAGGACCTCACATGTTAAAAGCAAAAATCCCATTCACATCATCTTTGACATCAACACTGCAAACTTGCGTTCTCACCGCCTTAATCACATTAGAGCTGGAAGAGTTATCCACAAAATTAATCTTCCGGTTTATCCTCACATTAGGACCAGACTTCATACCAACATTACTAGTATTAGCCATCCCAACATTAGTGATATCAATAAGAGGTTTTTAAGAAACCCACTCGTAGGATACACGACCACTGGGAGTAAGTGTTCCCGAGGTTTTATTTTTAGCAACACTGTTGGTTGATCCCTTCGCAATAAACTTGGCACTCATCCTTAACTCAAAGGCAACATGGAAGTGAGTAGTGAGATCATTAGGAGTATTGCCTTTTTCCTCCTCATCATTCAGAACATTAAATCTAGAGCCATACTTAAAGTTACCTGTCTTCGTAGCTTCCTAGAAACTCTTCTTAGCCTTATTAGGCACTTGTCCTTACTTAGTTGTCACTTATTATTATTATTATTATTATTATTATTATTATTATTATTTAAATTCCTTGGTTTGAGTAGCATTCATTCTCCATGCTTCTTAGCTGGATTATCAGCATCAATTCTAGCAGGGTGATCAACATTTAAACCATCTACAGTAACTAGAGTGGTGAGCCCTATATTCTCCACAACAACTGTATCTGTTGCATGAGCCTTGACTTTAATAATAATTGGGCATGTGTCTCTACCATGCCCATAGAAACCACATTCAAATCAGACCAGCTGGATTCCCTCGTACACCACCCCATATGTACGACCTTCTACCTTAATGAAAGGGGTGAGTAGTTTAGACAAATCAAGCTCAACACACACTCTAGTAAACTTACCTCTAGCTTGACTCATGGTGTGTGGATCCACCTTCATAGTATTGCTTATCAGATTCCTAATCTTTTCCATAACATCAACTTTAAAGTACTCCACATTCAGGCCATTCATTCGGACCCAGGTAGTCATGTAGGTAATTTTTTTCCTCCTTGGAATCAAAGCCAGGCTTCCACTTCTGGGTTACCAGATATTGCCCATCAATTTGCCAAGGGTCACCAGTGAGAACATAATTCATATCCTTCGCTAGCAAGAATTTCACAACATAGTAGTTGTTCTCAAGATCGATTAAGCTCATTGGCCCCTTGAGAGCCCATCTCTGGAGCAACATGGCCCTAAAAAATGTGTAGGACACGGGGAGACCCATATGCTTGATGATTATAGCATTTCGCCAGGGACGATATAAACATTCATTGATTCTGTTTGAAAAGTGGATTTAGGGAATTTTCCCTTGCTTTGTAACAAAATCGTCCTCTCCGATCTCCATACGATCCCCAACCATACCAAAATCACTAGCTACCTTGTCTTTGAAGCTCATTGGAATATAAGGCAATGATAGGGGGGTTCATCAGTATCGGGTCCACCACCATCTAGGGTCTCTTGGGTGCGAGCTTGCTTCCCTCTTAGGGGTGCCCAACCAAACTAGATCCATCCCCACCCATAGAAAATACGAACTCCAACATTGATGCTGCCACCAAGAGTGGTGGTAGCAGTCGCAGACTAAGGAAAGCACAGGGGAGAGAGAAAGCGCACTTTTCCGAGACTTTGATGGTTTAGATGTTCTTTGAAATAAGTTCATTAAATTTTTTTTTCCCTAAAGTGATCAAATTTAATAAACTCAAGGGAATATATTCAAATTTAATTATCATCTTCGTAGAATTTTTAAATAATAAACTCTTGATAAATTATTGATTATCAACTCTTCTGTTTTTTTATATTATCTATTAGGAAATAATAAACTCAACGAAATAAATTTCCAAAGAATAACATAAGAAATCACTAAGATGCAAAAGACAAGGGTAAATGCAAAAGAAAAACAATAGCAATATCAAAGAAACAGAACAACGTAGATTTAAAAGATAGCCCACAAAAAATTAAAGCAAACCCAATAAGATTCATAAGATTTTAGGGAAAACCCAATTAGAATAATAAAGGAAAGAAGCTTTACCCAAAGCATCCAATTGTTGCTTCTTAGTATAACCAAGTGGTCTGCTCTGACTTTCTTGATGGAAGTGGGTGAAGCAGAACCTAAAATGGAGGAGGATGAGGGGGAGGAGTTGGGCTTTGAGGTTGAACTTGGTGGTTGATGATGGAGTTGAGCTTTGAGGTTGAATGAGAACGAGGGTGAGAGCCTGAGAGGGAGAGGGAGAGAGATGATGAGAGGGAGTTGCTGCTAGGGTTAGGAAATGAAGGAATGAGAGAGAAGAGATAGAGTAGAGTCCATGAGATTTAGTTTTGGAGTCCAATCAAGTATAGAAGGGTGCCATGGTGAACTTTTCAATAACCACTGAAGCCTTGCCACATGTAAATTAAATTAAACAAATAATAATTTAATTTATAATAAGTCCAGTTTGGTTTAAGACATATTACAAAACTCCTAAATCGCACATAAACTAAACCAAATTAGTTCGGTTTGATCCGATTTTTCAAACTGTTGACCTTTTTTTTTATAATCAAAATCAAACCATACCAAACTAGTATAATCGATTCTTTCGGATTGATGCCCACCCCTACAGGCAGAGATGCTAATAATATTTATTTAACGGTAAACTAGCCCCTTGGCACATGTGTGGATTTCTTTTTTCTTTTTTATTTTATTTTTATAATTAAGAAAATATAATATGGGTAGTTATGTTCCATAAAAGTAGGACCTATTATCTAATTTTGTTTTTAATTTTAAATTTTTTAATATGAAAAATTGTGAATTTACCATATTATTCTCATTTAATTAATAATTTTAATCCTTAATGTTTAAATTAACCAGGGGCATTTTCTGTATTTTGAATGTTTCACTATTCTCTTTCTTTTGCTTTATATATATATATATTTATATTTAATGGAAACTGTATATATATATATATTTATATTTAATGGAAACTGTTCTAAAAAAGACACATGCACCATTTTGACATTTGAGCCAATGTTTTTAGGATTATCTACTGTAGACGTCCCTGAATTTGGCCATCAGTTGCAATTGGGTATGCTTTTTTTTTTTTTTTTTTTTTTTTTTCTTTGTTAAATTGATAAATAGTTCCAATTGGGTCCTACCATCCAAGTCTGTCCAAATTGTCCATAAAAATGAGGGTTAAAGCGTTCTTTTGAGCTGCATAGGTAATTGTTTTAAGGGTTTTAACTGTAGACGTCCCTGAACTTTGTTCCTAATTGCAATTGGATCTGTGAACTTCTTTTTGAGGCAATTACATTCTTTAACTTGACAAGTAATTCCAATTGAGTCCTACTGTAACAGAGTCAAAGAGCTAAAAACTTAGTAACCACAAAAGACGGGTTTGAGGCAAAAGTCGAAAACCGATGGCTCACGAAGAACTTCTTGATCTTCTCCACGCTAGCGGCATTGGTTTCAAAGGTGTTGTTGGATTTGACCACGTCGACCAACGCCGTGGCGTAGCTGGCTACTAGGTGGCTTTCATTTTGGCTCCAAGGGCTCCGCCGCTATTACGGTGGCAGTAGAGGAGGAGAGCTTAAGGGGATGGGGTTGCAAGTGGGTTCTGGGTTCTGCGGGTTGGGAGATGGGGGTGGGTTGCAAGTTGGGTTGCCATATGGGTTTTGAGGGGGTGGGCTAAGGAGGAGGGGAAATAAGTTACGGCATGACTCAATTGGAACTACTTGTCGAGTTAAAGGATGTAATTTCCTTTAAAAAAAGTTTATGGACCCAATTGCAACTGGAAACAAAGTTCAGGGACTTCTACAGTTAAAACAATTACTTCTGCAGCTCAAAAAGATGCTTTTACCACTCATTTTGACTGACAAATTGATAGACTTGCATGGCAGGACCCAATTGAAACAACTTGTAAAGTTAAAAGATGTAATTGCCTCAAAAATAAAGTTCATGGACCCAAAAGCAAATGGGGGCAAAGCTCAGGGACCCATGTTTTTAATAGAAAACCCGAAGGTCGCTTTCAGCATTGCAGTGTTCTCCTTCTCTTTATAACCTTTGAGGCTGAAACCCTAAAATTGCTTCTTTTTCACGCCGAGCAAAATGTTCCACTGTTTATTTCTTACAGTCTTTTTTTTCTTCCTTAGAAAACAAATTTAAAATTGTTGATTCTTTTGGCTGAAAGATGGTTTTTGATTTACATTATTTTTCGGTTCAAGTATGATTCCCGATGATGAACAAATTGAAAAAGCTAAAGAGCGGTAAGCGTGGTTGTTTTCTTCATCAGCCTATACTCACCACCACTGTAACCTCTCTCTCTCTCTCTCTCTCTCTCTCTCTCTCTCTCAAACATACATACATACATACATATATATATACTCAGTGCTGTTGAGTATACAGGCTGTTGATGAACGCCACTTGCTTCAAACCGTGAATGATTCGTTAAAAGCTATGAGATCTGAGGGCGTTTTGATAGATCTCACTCTATACAACTACCCATTCGGGGATTTAGCCTTAAACGTGGTTAAAATTTGCGGAACTAGTTACTTTTACCCTTGAATGTTCATTTCTGCCCCAAATTTCCTCGCTTTCACATTTATGCTTTTGCTTTGCCACTGATTGTTTATACTGCTCTACTTCTGAAATGGATTTTTGTAAGAACCCATTTTTGTTACTGCGTGTTAGGCATTTGATGTTAAGTTGGCCCAAGATCTGCTAATGTCCGTGACTATGGTTTGTAAACTACAGTGGCATATTTTTTTAAGTGGATTTTTGTTTTTTCATTTTGTCATATGTAGTGGGTTCCTGGTATCGTTAAGTTGGATTGTAGGGGAATGATGATATATGCACTGGGCTCTGAGCAGTTTGTAACTGCGATTATTGATGGAAATGCAGCCTAGAAATATGACCCTTGTAGAAATCTTTAACCTTGCTGTGATACAGGTGTTCCAACTAACCCAACGTTGATGGTAGTGATGCTGTGTTATGATCAGATATGCTGTCTTTTTGTCTGTTCTGTGTATCTCCATGATCTACTTTTAGATGGCCGTTCTTTTTTGAGTTTTTAACAAGGTTTTCTAGTGTAGCTAATTTGCTGCCACAGCAAGATGGTCCAATTTTTATTAGCCTAATGATGGAAAACTCATTTTTGGAGCGGTTCTGTGGATTATTGTTAGGAGCCCTTTTCTATCATTTTTGCTGTACTAGCCATTATCATCATCATAAACACCATCCTGTCTGTCTGTCTGTCTGTCTGTCTGTCTGTCTGTCTCTCTCTCTCTCTCTCTCTCTCTCTCTCTCTCTCTCTCTCTCTCTCTCTCTCTCCCCCTCCCTGTTGAAGATGTGAGAGGCTCGTAGTGATAATCCAGTGGTTAACCGTCAATGACCAGATATAGCTATGAGATCTGAAGGCTTGTCCAGAGACATTTGTTTTTCCTAAGATATGGTGATTGAATCTTAAATCATTTTTGTTCCTCAGTTATTCTATGGTTGTATTTTCTTAGTTTCCACATATTTATTACACTCCTTTATTACATCCTTTATTTACCATTGCATCGAAGTTGCGACTGCGTTTCGTTGTAGTAGTGATGCCGTGTTAACGATCAGATCTACTCTTTTGTCTATTCTGTGTCTCCATGATATAACTGTAGATACCCACTGGTTTTTTTTTTTTTTTTTTTTTTTTTTTTTTTTTTTTTTTAAAAAAGCATGTTTCTAGTGTGTGTTGCTGTCTCTCATGGGATATGGTTCAATATTTTATTTTTAGCCTAATGATGGAAGACTCATTTTTGGAGCGGTCTGCGGATTATTGTTAGGAGCCTTTTCTATCATTTTTGCTGTACTAGCCATTGTCATCATCATAAACACCATCCTCTCTCTCTCTCTGTGTGTCTCTCTCTCTCTCTCTCTCTCTCTCTCTCTCTCTCTGTGTCTCTGTCTCTGTCTCTCTCCTCTCTCTCTCTCTCTCTCTCTCTCTCTCTCTCTCTCGCTCTCTCTCTCTCTCTCTCTCTCTCTCTCTGGGTTGGAGATGTGAAGAGGCTTGTAGTGATAATCCAGTGGTTAACCGTCAATGACCAGATATAGCTATGAGATCTGAAGGCTTGCCCAGAGACATTTGTTCCTTTTATGATATGGTTATTGAATCTTAAATCATTTTTGTTCCTCAGTTATTCTATGGTTGTATTTTCTTGGTTTCCACATATTTATTACACTCCTCCTTTATTATGTCCTTTATTTACCATTGCATCAAAGTTGCAACTGCATTTTGTTGTAGTAGTGATGTTGTGTTAACGATCAGATCTACTCTTTTGTCTATTCTGTGTCTCCATGATATAACTGTAGATGTCCCACTCGTTTTTTTTTTTAACTGTGTTTTCTAGTGTAGCTATTTTGCTGCCTCAGGAAGATGGTTTAATTTTTATTAGCCTAATGATGGAAAACTTATTTTTGGAGCGGTTCTGTGGATTATTGTTAGGAGCCTTTTCTATCATTTTGCTGTACTAGCCATTATCATCATCATAAACACCATCCTCTCTCTCTCTCTCTCTCTCTCTCCTCTCTCTCTCTCTCTCTCTCTCCCTCCCTCCCTCCCTCCCTCCCTCCCTCCCTGGCTTGTAGTGTTGAAGATGTGAAGAGGCTCATAGTGATAATCCAGTGGTTAACTGTCAATGACCAGATATAGCTATGAGATCTGAAGGCTTGTCTAGAGACATTTTTTTTCCTTCTAAGATATGCTTATTGAATCGTAAATCACTTTTGGTCCTCAGTTATTCTATGGTGTTTTGTCTTCATTTCTACATATCTATTATGCTCCTCCTTATTTGTCCCTTATTGACCATTATATGGAATTTGTGACTGCATTTCGTTTTAAACATTTGCACTGAGTAATATGTATTTCCCATAATATCCTTCCCAAGGTGCCCTTGAAACGCTAATAAAATTAATGTGATGGAACTTCAGTCAACTGCAAATAATAGAGTGTCCTGGAATGTGGTTATTTTGACGTTGTCAACGGCACAGTTAAGAGTTTCAATTGGTTTGTTTTTCTTTTGGTTTGGTGTGACTTTTTGGCAACTATTGTATGAAATTTTGTTTGCTAGTGCTAGTTTAGATATTTAAGGTGTATGGCTAACTGTATGAGATTCCGTAGATTAAATTGTGTTTGGTGGTAGATTCCATTTTAGTACTCCATTGATTATTGTAGGTTTGAGCATATGAGACTTTTAAAAAACAACGCTGTACTAATGATCAGATCTAGTGTCTTTTGTTTATTCTGTGGCTTTTCAAGTTCTACTTGTGGTCGTCTGAGTTTATATTTCTTGCCTTTTTTTATTTTCTAGGATTACCTTGTAATGTAATCAAACAAATTTGCTGCCTCAGAAAATTGGTGCAATTTTTATTAACCTGGTGATGGAAACTTTTTTTTTTTTTTTTTTTTTTTTTTTTTTTTGTTATGTATTTTGTATATATATAAGACAGCAGGTACCTGAATAGTTTTTTGTAACACAGTTTCTTATTACTTTCAATGAGCTTTAAAATTTAAATCTGGTTTTCATTTGTGATGTATAGAACTGTTATGAACTGTTTGAGTACCTTTGAGCTTACTTGATGTCTCAATTTTTTTACAAGATATATTTATATAAACTAAAATCTTTAGAATATTTAAGAATATATATTAATTTATAATTTATATATTAATTATTTAATTTAAATGTAATTTAATGGTGTCAGGCATTTGATGTTTAGTTGGTTCAAAATCCGCCAATGTCTATAACCATGGTTTGAAGTGGATTTTAAAATTTTCTTTTCAGTGGTCTGGGTTAATTGCTAAGTGGGACTTTGGTGAACAATGATACATGCATTGGGCTTGGAGCAGTTTATGACTGCAGCCATTGATGGAAATGCAACCTAGAAAGCTATATATGACCCCTGTAGAAATCCTTGCATTCCTGTGATACGAGTGTTGCAATGTTGGGATGAAATTTTTATCTGCTAGTTATAGGTGTATGGCTGACTGCATGAGATTCCATAGAAGTAAATTGTGTTTATCTGGTATCATCGTCCTTTTATGTGAGTTGGGTAAATAAACCCCTTTATTTTCAAATTGGGTGTTCGGAACATGGTGTTGATTGACAATCTGCTCATGTTCATGGCTATGGTCGTATTTGTGGCAAATAATTTATAGTGAATTGGTATTAAAATTGAGTGATGTGTGCATGCTCTGAGCTCAGAGCTGTGGTTATTGATGGAAATGCAGGCAGCTTAGAAAACTATATATGAGCCTCCATGAAATCCTTTTGCTTTTCTGTTCGCAGGTGTTGGATTTAAAATGAAATTTCTGTTTGGGCTAGATTGGATTCTTAAGGTATGGATTGGACTTTGTAGTATTAACCTGTGTATGGAAGTGGATTTTGTGTGATTACAATCATCGGATCAGTTGCACTCCTTTGGCCTGATGATGGAAAACTCATTTCTGGGAGCAGTACTATGGATTATTATAAGTACGAGCCTTTTCTATCATTCTTTCCATTCTAGTCCTCATCATCATCACCACCACCACTCTCTCTCTCTCTCTCTCTCTCTCTCTCTGTGGCATGCATGGCCGAAGATGTGAAGAGGCTCATACTGATAATCCAGCAGCTAACCTTCGATGACCAGGTATAGCTATGAGATCTGAAGGCTTGTGCAGAGACAAATTTTACGTATGTAGTCATAACATCCTCTCTAAGGTGACCTTGCAACATGGATTCAATAAATTTTATAGTCAACTGGAAATAGTTGTGGTGTCCTGTGATGCAGGAGCATCTATTAGAATTTGCTATTCTAAGTGGGCATCAGCCAAAAAGGCTAAGTTTTAGTTGTATTAAATTAATAGGTTATTTTATTACTTGTTTTCCTATTCTTACTAGGATTTGGATTTAATTTCCTGTCTAGGTTTTTAATTTCCTATATCAATTAGGTTTTTTATATTCTAGTATAAATAGGCTATTAAGAGACTGTTGTATTTAGTTTTGTTGATGAATATAATTTCAGACTTTAGTCTATAGAATTTCTATTGGTGTTTTGCCCTAGAACTCAATTATCTTCGTTCCAACTTTGATTCTACTGCTTTATCCTTCTATTCTCTGTATTTTTGATATGTTTGGGTCACTGGACAGCAGCTTATAGCCGCTGCCCTGCATCAAGTGATTTTTACAATGGCACTCTGATCTCATCCATGGTTTTGTTTTTCTTTTGGTCTGGTATGTACTACAAGTGGGGAACTGTTATGTTTGATTTTTGCGTATGTGCGCTTTATAAGCATAGACATTTGCCCAATGATGCATACTTGTGTACTTTGATGGTTGATTTGATTGTCAGTATGAGCCTTGATGCTTGTGTTTTTGAGTTGTTGTCGTTGTTGTTATTGTTGTTGTTGTTGTTGTCATGGCAAGGCTGTAAATGAAAATCAAAGCCCACCATTATTGATACATTCAGGACACGATAAGATCTGAGGGCTTTTTTTCCTTTCTTTTCTTTTACTTGGGTAAGTGGTGTTGGGAAATGGATATTTGTCGGTTTACACGTTGAAGGTATGCTGGCAAATGTCTTTGTTATCGGTCTTATGCTTTGTTGTTTCTATTCTTCATCATGTTGATTCATATGTGATAACAAGTTTGTTGTATCTATATAAATTTTCCTTTGGTTTTAATGTTGAAACCAATTAGCTCTTTCAACATGACAATGTGCAGTTTTTTCTCATTATTTTTCCTACTCTCTCTCGTTTAGAACTCTGTGAAGTCTGTTAATTCATGTGGACTGGAGGAATTTTATAGTTGCAGTCTATGACAACTTGGGTGTCTTTTTTGCTTGTATTTCCATTGGCTCTCATTTTCACAACTATTTGCTGCCTCTTCCAGCATTAAAGGTGTATGCTTTGACTCTCTGGTTAAGAGTCCCTGTAATGTTTGTGTTTGACTGTGGGCTGTTTAGGTATTGTTGGGTTACAGTCTCTGTTTTGGCATTGAGGTTTTTGCATGCTTGTAGTCCCTGTGAATTTTGGCCTATAAGTTGTTGCTTAAGTACCTCAGTCCTGGTAGGGTTTAGTGTTTTTGCCTTTAGATTAGACAGCGGATAACTAGGTTTTTAATTTTCCAGGGCTTGCGAACAATTATGACAGATTTTTTCTGCTTCTGTGTTTTTTTAAAGTTGATTTATGGGATTAATCAGTCTTGTGCTCACTTGCCAAATGATTTTTCCCCAGCTTTATCTGATTCTATACATGTTTTGTCTGTTATGATAGTTCATCTACCTGCACCTATTTGAGTTCACCACCCATGGTTAGCTCTTTTTTTTTTGGTTGAAAACCCAGAACTCCACTTTGTCAGCTTCCAAACGGGGGCCCACCTGGCAAACCCTACAATTTTTGGGCGGCAAGGAAATACAAGCATAATGCTTGGTAGGTACCTTGATGAGTGTCGAACCCCTGACCTCTTTGAGGGTGGGCCCAAGTAGTCCCAAACCCACTGGACTACAACTCATTGGTCCCAAGGTTAGCTCTATGATGGATGACGAAATTTCATCGAGCAGCTGCTTGGTTTGATCTATCATTGGCCTTTATAACCCCACAACCCTCTCTTTCTCCTTTCCTCTATCTATGTGTGTGTATGTGTGTGTATGTATATATCTTGGTTGTGGGGGATGGCTTTTGGTAGATCCCATTAGCATTAAGCTGTGAATGATTTGATGGAATCTATAAGTTCTGAGGGCCTTCTCACACTCTAGTTTCTCTAAGAGCTTTCTGTATCGAAGGTTGCTGAAACTGCTGAGTTCAGTGTACCCAATTTGTTGATATGAAAATAGCCGCATGTGTCCATCTGAATTTGATTGATTTTGCACATCATGGGGATTTGGATTGTTTAGGATTCAAAATTCACTCACAATTGCAATTTTTTTTCACCACTGCAGCTGTGTATCCATTTTTTTTCTCTTTTTTGTTTTTCTTTGGCTAATGAAAATGCATAATGACTGTTGAAGCAAATCTATTTTCATAATTCTTGTTATCATGTGGTTTTTAGCACATCTATTTCAATCAGCCGTTTATGCTTTTTCAGGTTTATGTGGATGCTGAAGTTTTGAAATTTGAACGGTTTTCTGCTAGGATGTCGATTTTTATATGACAGCACCTCCTTGGGTAATTATGAGCTGTTTTGTTTGCTCAATTATATTTAAGTTTGTAAAATTGTTCTTGTAAAAGATAGTCATCAGTTCAATTCTCACTCCCTTTGCATTCATCAATTTATCCATTGACTGCGGAGTATTTATATATATTTTTTGTTAGCTGAAGTAATTTGCTATTTCCTTCATTATAAGTTATTGTATGTGCTGCAGCTGTATTGAATTCATATATGGTTGTTTTCTTTTGGATAATGCGTTTGTGCATTCTCTGATAATATGCCCGATGATGCAAATCTGATTTCATGGATCAGTGCTTCACTTTAAGCCTCCATTTGTTACACCACTGTGACTGTCGTCAATGTCTTCTGCTGCTGCTGCTGCTTCTTCTTCTTCTTCTTCATGTTTATTATTATTATTATTATTATTATTATTATTATTATTATTATATATGGCGATAATCCAGTGGTGTTCCTGAATGTTGATCGGCTTTCAATGAAGTTTCACTGTCTCAAATGTCTGAGGGCCCAAAACTTCATTTGGCTATTTAATTCATTGACAGGCCAATGGATTTTACCTGTGCTGTCTAAATGTGTCCCATCTGTTAATTAATGAAATACATTTACAAGGTCAATGACAGAAAATTATAGTACTCTCATTAAAAGACCACAATAAAATTTTCACCAAAAAAGACACCAATAAAACAAAGAAAAAAAACACTATAAATAATAAATAATAAATAAATTATTAAAAAAAAAAAAAAAAAAAAAAAAAAAACTATGCTAGTTGTGGTTAAGCCGCATTACTAGGCAAGGAGTTCCTTCCTATGGGCAAGAGGGAAGTGCTATCCAGTCCTAAACTACTGCTTGCCTCTTTTTCCGTAAGGAGATACGAGAAAGATACTCGGAAAAACTTGTGAGGGAAGTATATTAAATTTGTTTTGTTTTTGGTCAGTAGTGAGCTGTAATGGCCCACATCATTGCTAAATTCTACTGACCAGTGTCGGTATATTTCGATTGCCAACTTCTGTGTGAATATTAACACGTAAAACTAAAAATTATATGAATCTCGAATTAAAATCTGTGATTTGTGAAAAATTAAGAATTAGAGTAATTAGAATGCTAATTTCTGTGTGTTTATAAACACAGGTATAAAAATTATATGAATCTTAAATTCAAATTTGTAATTTATTATCTGAAAAATCAAGAATTGGATTAATGAAGTGGTGAATCTCTCTTTTATTCCTTGTTAAACCCAAAGCTTTGACACGTGGAATGACAAAAAATAAAGTTAAATAAATAAACTACTGCCGACGTGTCCATCCTGACGCGGACGCAGCGTTCTGCTTCTCTTTAGAAATGTTCTACCTTTTTTCCCCTTGATTTCTCATGGATGTTTTTTCTGTTTGGTGAGAAGAAAGTATGGGAGTGAAGAGTTACCTTCGTTTCCTCGCGTATCTCTGCCATTGATTTTCTTTGTTAGAAATGTACAATTATGTTTCTCTGTGCTTTCCCTTTTCTGGGTTTTCTAATTTAACCAAGAGAACCAAAATGGGGTCTCAAATTTAGCGAAGAGAACAGTCTTTCTCTGGTTTTCCCAATTCTCAATGGTCCTCTGCCTCAACCAAGAAAACCCAATTACCTTTAAGATTGATTTTTCACTTCTGGATTCATCTCTCTACATCTTTCTCAGAGATTTGGGTGTTTCTGTTTTTTTATAACAGAGAGATTAAGGAGGCTCTTGAAATTGGCAAAAGTCTGAAGCTTTCGGCTTAAAAAGGAGGTAAAATCTTCGTATTAAAGACTTTACATTTTCTTGAAGCATTTTTCAGTTGCGAGCTCCTAATTATTGCTTAGTAACTACAGACTGCTACACCAGCAGAAAATTTTGGGAGAGAGTGTGAATGAGTAAAGGTCTTACATTTCCCATGAGGCTTAAATTGCTTATGTTCTAGTATTCTAGTATGTGTTGCAACTATTAGCATATACAAATGTTTTTTCTACTAAGGATTACGTAGAATACAATTACACTTGAATTAGAGTTAGATTGTATCAATAAGAAAGCTTTTCTGAGTTCTCTTTGGCTACTCTGCTACATTTTTAGAACCGTAAATTATTGTAGAGTAGATTCTGCCATTAGAGAATATAAGACATTTTTTTGTTACTGATATTAATACTAATATGATTGAGCCGGCAAAATTTGAAAAACAGAAGACATTTCTGATTATGTGGGTGGTTCGTCATGAACTGTGATTCATCATGTGAAAATCCCACATGCATAAGCTGTCTTGCATTAATATTTCTTTTGATTTAAGAATATGGTGTTTCCATCTAACTCTAAGCTTGATTGCTCATTGCGTGTCCTGCAACGCAGTTTCATTTTTTCCACAGGAGGAGGAGATGGAGATAAACAAAGAAAACAGGAAACGTCCTTCATCAGACTCTCTTGTACAGCAAAGTCAATGGCAACTGCACAATTCTGACCCCCCAACAGTTGCCTTTGCTCGTTCTATGGATCTAAATAAAGAAAACAAGAAACGCGCTTCATCAGACTCATTTTTACAGTGGAGCCAATGGCAACTGCTCGATTCTATCCTTCCAACAGGTGGTTTTGCTCACTCTTTTGGTCTTGAGGCAGCAATCCAAGCTCGCATAGTGTCTTGTCCTGAAGATCTCCAAACTTTTGTAATCCATCTGTTGGAGAATACTGGAAGCTTACTCCTTCCTTTTGTCTATTCTACAACAATGTCGCCTGATTTTCAGACCAGGTGCAAACTCGACAAAATGTTGGATGCAATGTTAACTAATGAAGTGAGTAGGAAGGCATCAATTTCACAAGGGTCGGCATTGATGAGGGTGGCTGCATCCGTGTACTCAGAAATACCATCTCTTAAATCTATGAGGGAAGCTTCTTTAAGTTCTGGGGTTGTTTCTTTTCACCATGCCCCTATGTTTGGGGTTATATGTGGTCTGCTCGGGTTGGACAGTGCTACTTCTCAAAGAGCTTACATGTTTATTACAATGAGAGATGTTATATCTGCTGCAACAAGGCTCAATTTGGTAGGGCCCCTTGGTGCGGCTGTAATGCAGCATCAGATTGCTCCTGTTGCTGAAGCTATACTGAATCGATGGAAGGACCGTCCAGTTGAGGAAGCATGCCAAACTGTTGCTTTGCTTGACATTGTACAAGGTTGCCATGCCTACCTGTTTTCTAGACTGTTCTGTTCTTGAAGTCCCCAAATAAATGCATCAAATGGTGGAGCCTGCTTGAACTTTTCTTAATCTTCTTTAGGAAAAGCTTCATCCAAAGGCTGAGGAAGCATTTAATTCAAAATTCTCTTTTCAAGATGTGGAAATTCCTAGTTACAAAGAGAAAATATGTATTACTCAGTTTCTTTCTGGTTTTCTTTCAACTCATGACAACAAATACAGAACAGGAAATTCAAAAATCAGACCTCCTGAAGAGAAGCGCTTAGATAGATGCACGTATTTATGGCAACATGTGGCAAACAATTCAGAACACTCATGGAAAATCATCCACATAAAATATGTCAGTCAACATCTTTTTGTTTTTTTGTTTTGGTCAACTCAGTCAACATCTACTTCACAGATTTTCTTCCTTTTCAATTTACTGTTGCTGACAGTAATTTTCTAAATTGGAACAAATCTGTCAGGTTTTGGCAATCCATAACAATGACAAGGGTTTATGGTTTTCTTTCTGGTTTTTCATAACTTGTGAGAACCACTCCAATATCCGCCTTACTTTACCCTCATTCTTTTTCATTCATTCTCGTTATGAATGTGACCGAACTTGGATCTTTTAACTCTAGTTACATCCAGTCACACAAAAATTTCAACATGCTATTTTTTTTATATAGAACCGATAGTGCGAGAGGGGAATTAAACCTAAGATTTCGGGTGAAGTCGTCTTTTAACCACTTGATCTACAAGTTCTTTGCTTTTATCTATTTTTACATTACTACAAGGTTTGCTAATGTTACATAGGTTAGGGGGTCCTAGTGTAATTTTTGGAACGTTACGAGTTTTTGTGTAAACATCACAAAATTCATGCGGTATCCGTTTAATTAACTTAAAAAATAAATCGCGGATAATCAATAAATAAATCGCAGCAACACCATGGTGTTCCTACAGAGAAACTGAGCCATCCTCTGGGTTAGGGTTTGCATTTTGCAAAGAGAAAGATGGGGAGGATGATATTGAATAATGCGTTGAGGTCAATAGTGAACGCGGAGAGAAGAGGAAAAGCCACTGTGGAATTGCAACCTATCTCCACAGTCATGTCTTCTTTCCTCAAAATCATGAAACATCGAGGTAAACACCTCCATTTTCTTCTCCTTTTCTTATACGGGTTCTGTTAATTAATGCTAAATTATCCAACTTTTCGGCATTCGTATGAATTTTCTGCTTCTGGGTTGTTGTAAAGTTAGTTTTGTTGAGAGGGTTTTGAAATTGGTAACATTGTAGTGATTAAGGATCTCTATAACTTAGCTAGTATGGCTCTAGGAACTCTTTTTTTTTCTTTTTTCCAGTGCTTTCTGTCATGAATAAGATGAATTATCATATGTTTTGGAGCTACTTGGCTTGAAATAAACTGTTGATTTGGAACTGGAGTGAACTTGGAGATGATAAAAGGGAAGTTTTTGTTTTTGTTTATTTTTTCAAACATGGCGTTGCTTCAATTGGAATCTATAATCTTAAATCTTCTTTTTGTCCTGGCTTTGAAAGTAATTGGTTGTGACAAAGCAAGGTTACCTTTCTAAAGATTATGCAACTGGAAAAGACATCATTTCTAAGTATACCCGTATACCTTGTATTGATAATGCTTAGGAATAGAGGAATTTCTTCTAAAGTTTGGATGACTTTCAACAGCTGTTATAAGAACTATGTTGGTAAGCAAAGAGGGGTTTTGTATTCTCTGTATATACTAGATGAAGGGGCCTTCTATTGGGAAGTTGTTGAACGTACAGGAGAAACATAAGTAGCTAATGAAATATTTGGCCATGTAATCATTACATTTCTTGTTTGGTTTCTTTGGAGGAGGGAATGAGAAATCCATATTGTCGCCAAATGCTATTTGTTAGTTTGTTGCATGTGTGCTGTTTCTGAGTGTGGTATCGTTTCGATCAGGTTATATCAAGGATTTTGAAGTTTTTGATCTGCATAGAGTGGGGAGGATAACGGTTCAACTACAAGGCAGGGTTAACGATTGTCGAGCTCTCACTTACAGGCAGGATGTCAAGGCAAAGGATATTGAGGAGTACAAATTCCATACGCTTCCAACGCGCCAGGTTTGTTAACTTCCTGATCCCTAAAGATCTGGCAAAATTCTTGATTCTTATTTGTCCCTTTTATTACTGAAACAGCCCGGCTGGGAAGGTCTGTGTGTTTACTTTATGTCATGGATCAATGTGTTCAAGAAAGGTTAACATTTTATGGTTTTCTCCCCCCCTCTCCCTCTCCCTCTCCTTGCAGTGGGGTTATGTTGTGATCACAACTCCAGATGGTGTCTTGGATCATGAAGAGGCTATTCGACATAATGTGGGTGGTCAAGTTCTTGGCTATTTTTATTAACATCCTGTGGATGGGAAGAGAGAAAAGGTTTTCCTAGTCTTCTATGATGAGAACCTGACTTCACGAATGAGATATGTGTTGTTTGGTTGAATTTAAAAATCAATCAATGTGAATCTTGCGTACTGATGATTTAGATCAATGGAAGAACATGATCTTGGTTTCTCCTCTTCAAAACCCATACATAATCACTATTGTTGCATAGAAACAGGACAGAGAATGGTTATATTTGAATCAAATGAATTGGAGAGCATGCAATGTGAGAATGAGACATAAGTTGGAAAGAAGGGAAAAAATTGTTGGACTGCATGGCATTGTCATTATTTATTTTTATGGAGGGAGATGTGTATGTCAATTGAAATACGTATAATTGTGGTAGAATGAGATGTGTACATGTTGGTGGAGGACTGATAAATTATATTGTTGTGGTAGAATGAGATGTGTACGTGTTGATGGAGGACTGATAAATTACAGAATCGATGAAGTTATTTTTGGTCGAAACAATCAACGAAGTTAGAACACAGTAAGAATTTTATGATCTCAGTCGCATTTCCAAAGTCTAAGTCTCGCCCCTATTTTTGGGGCTATGGGCTGGTCCGATATAATGGATGAGCTCAACCTGTTCCGTTGTGTAAGAGCAGCTCCACCGCTGCAATGAAACTGGGCAAAAGGCCCCCCCGGCAAGCCCAAGCCAGCTCCAGCGCAAGAGAAGAGGCCCGGGCAATCGATGGGTCCCACCAGCCCGGGCAAGCCCAAGGACAGGTTTCGCCTGGGCTTCAGCCCGAGGGCGGTGACGTCAACACTGACGTCATACCTGATAGAATCCAACGGGCATGCGCCACGTGTCGCAATCAAGACGGCCCTCGTTTTTTTGGCTAAAAAAATTGCTACAAAATTCTGAAATTCTTTTTAAAAAATACCAAAAAATTCTGGATTTTTTCCCTATAAATACCTATCAATATTATTCACTTTTCACACCAAATCTTCATACAAATTCATCTCATTCCAATATTTTTCACTTTCCACACCAAATTATCTATTATAAAATTCCATTTGTGCAAAAATACAAATGGCCTCTTCCATCGAAGCCGAAAGGTTGTAGACAAACATTCGAAGAGGTCAAAATCTTGGCAAGGTAAAGAAAAAAAAAAAAAAAAAAAAAAAAAAAAAAATTTGTTTTATTCAATTTAATGTCATTATATATATATATATATATATATCTTGCATTTCCAATTTCCTTTTTTTTTAAAATAGATTATTCAAGAGAAAACAAAAAAGGGGAAAACCATTACACATGGCTCCTCAAGTGAACAATGCCCACAGTCGGTTCTAGTGGTGCGTTTCGTGTCAGAAATAATGTCACTATTACATCATTCGAAGGAAAATACTCACCCACGTCGTGATCTGGTGGAACCGCCTCAACCAATGATGGAGTTGTCCTTGTATTTCATTGTGTCGGACTATGAGGACCAAGAATATTTCAATTGTATGATGAGTGAGATGTGAATTTTATAATAAATATGGACACGTGGCAACCGAAAATTTTATCCAAAAATTTTATTTGAAAATTTTATCCGAAAAATGTTATCTTAAATTTTATTTGAAAATTTTATAATAAATAGTGACACGTGACAACTGAAAATTTAATCTAAAAAGCTTATCAAAATTAATGGTTTAAGTATAAAAAAATAGAAAATAAAGTAAAATGAATAGTATTTGCCTTAGCCTTGCCCTTGCCCTTTCCTTTTGGGGTGGAACCACAAATGGTAAGGCTACCACTATTCATGTGAATAGTGGCAACCTTTGCCCTAGACTTAGCCCTTATGGGTGGAGATGCTCTAAAGGGTAGGGGTTTGGCCTTAACTTTTATGCTCATGAGTAGCTTGGCCTGACCGGATAATTAAGTTAATAATAATATTTTTATAAAATAAGCTAATATTAAATATAATCCCAAATAAAGTCCATAAATTCAACATAACCGAAATCCTAAATTAATTTAGTAGCCTAAATGAACCTTACCACCACCAACTAAAGAAGCATCGACGCTGCCACACCCACCACCTCATAAAGTCTTGAAGCAAAAACAAATTTCATAACACATGGTTTCTTGCAATCTAACTGCGCATAAAAGCAAATAAATTTGTCAAACGAACAATCCTAGCCAAAAAAAAGGGGTGATTTGCAACCAACTTCGTCAAATACAAGATAGAACTAAGTTTAGAGACGATGAGTATTGCAGAGTGAATTTTCGGAAAATGATTTGATTGAGGACATAGCCCAAAAGAGATTATGGGGAACTTCAATTTGAGCATGACTCGAAGAAATCAATACAAAAGGCTTCTTATTCAAAACTTCCAAAGACTTATTAACTAACCCAAAGAAAACGGAAGAAGGAGAGGGGAAAAAGGATAGTGATGCTTCTTCCTCCCCCCTCTATGGAGTGTTTTCTTTGGGAAGAAGAGTGCTATGTTTTCTGGGTGGGCTTTTTTTTTCTTTCTATTTTTTTGTTATTATGTTTTTTTAGTATAAGTAATAATCTAAACTATAGAGAGAGATATTTTTTAATACAAACACATCTATAATGTCATAGAAAATCTGCAAGTCAAAACTTTTTTTTACTAGACTAGACTATGTTAGCTTGGGTTAAATTTGTTTAAGCTACCTTCACGAAAAACTTCAAATAGGGTTACCCGCTAAAATCCTGAAACCCCTATTCTACCTCTATAGCCGTTATTCCAGTAGTGACAAATTCGCGCCACCTTGTATTCCCGAAGACCCTATCAATTTGCAGGAGGAAGATGTTGGAGGCCAAGAGTCTGAGCAAGGCGGTGGTGCCGTCCTCTCTCATAGAGAATCCTTCTCCTGGTAGCCTCCAGTCCACTCGCCTCGCTCTCCATGTACTCCCCAAAACTCTATAACCCTAACCCTAACTCTTTGGCTTTCTCCAAAGTTCATTTTTGGTTTTATTATGCAATTATAATTTCGTTGTCAGGTTAGCGAGGACTGCTCTTCTTGTTGGGTCTACATCGCCTCCGGTTGCCGGATTTACAAACTCCAGGTATATGCCTGCATATCATAATTTGAGTCTTTTTGTTTTTGTTTCTATTATGGTTTTGAAAGTTGGATACTTGCTTATTTTTTATTAAGTTTATTGTTGGTATAGTCTTCATGGTGGTGGAGCTCATATCTAGTACCAAATGATTTTTCAGAAAGGGTTATAAAAGAAGAATTATGCCAATTAGTGGGACTGTATAATTTGGGTGTTTTTGATTGCTTGTAGCTTTTAAATATGAGAGGCATGTCTAAAATTTGATTTGGACAATTGTGAAGAAACATGAGTTAGATAGCCAAGTTCAAGTGAGAAATGTTTGTTTATGTTCAATATGTATTAGACATTTACCAAAATGTAAGTATGACATAATTTGCTCATATATTACTAGTCAAAGTGTATGGTGGTTAGGCTAGAAGCTTTATTTTATTTATTTTCTTTGTTTTTACTAAGATTCCATTGGAAGATTCTCTGATCAGCGAAGGAAAAGAAAGCCTTCTGATCCCAGTACACACTGAGGTATGCGATCTCATGAATTCAATCACAGATATTCAGTAATGAGTATATTATGTGTTAATTGTGTCATCAACCCAATGAATCCTTGAAGGTTATGAACTCTTTGATGGTTAACCGCTGCCCTCATCGTTCAGAAATTCAGAGTATAGTTCTTGCTGAAACTGAAAGTAAGTGATTGTTGCAGTCAGGTTTCATTTTTTTTTTTGTTAGGTCGCATTCTTTGGAATATTATCTTTTGACATTTTGCGTTGGTTGTCCTTGTCCATGACATCATTGTTAAATTTTGGGACCTAACATATATAGAAGAGATGAGGGTACATGGTACTTTTGCACATTACTCCTCGTCTTTGACCTCTTATTTTTAAGGGTTTTGTGCACTTCTTTTATTATCCCAATTGAAGAGTGGTGGTAACATTTTGTGGAATAATTTCTTAGGCCTTTGACCGTTTTGATGAAAGAGCATGACCAATTTGCACATTTTTATAGGATTAAATGTCAAACTTAGATGAGGACATTGGACAGAATTTGGCTTCTCAAAGTGTTTATCAGAATGCACAAAAGCCTTTTGAATGTAGAAAATTTTATCCTGAGGCTGACTATCTCATTTCAGATAATGGAGAAAATTCTTAAAAAAATGTACAAATATCATTTCAGAATGGTTTTGGACATGTGCTCTTTTAAAGAAAAAAAATAATGGTTTTGGACATTTGTGTAATTTACTTATAGTTTGCTATCTTGATATATAAAAAAATGCAGGCACGGGCTATTCAGTGTTGGGAACTGTTGATTCTTATGGTCATCTTATTGTATCTAAACTAGATACTACTGGTAGAGGTGAAATTTTGTATTTAAGTTTTGATTTGTGGTTCTATTCTTGTTCTGGGGATTTGTTGGGTTTGTGGAATGTATGCTCATAAATAGAAAGAAAAATGAAGTTGGTGGCCTCCCGGGGAGATGATTTATTATGAGTCCTATTCAACCAAATCTCTGCCTTAAATTTTCGTAATTTTTGGAATAGTTAGCACACAGGTTTCTGCTTACCTTAAAATTGGAGAAATATTTTGTTATCTTTTTGGTAGGTTAAGTTGCTTGGTTACCAATGGCATGCTGGTCTCAAGGATGCAGGCTGGTGGGCCTTTGGTTTCTTAAGTTGCTCTCACCTATCCATTTTGTAATGAATTTTTGAATTTTTTGTTTATGACTAAGAATTTCATTCACTCACATATAGGAATGTTAAATCACCCATCTTTCGAAATGATGATGCATAAAAGTGGGGTGTCTATTCATGGTTTGACTTGATTGTCCTTTTTCTGTTATTTTGTGCTGTAAGTGATCTTTGCCTAATTTAACCATTCTGTCTTTTAGTTTTCTTCAAAACTTGTTTGTTTTATGTAACTTTACTCTTATACTTTTATCCAAAAGTGTCTCTATTTTGAATCCACCTTATGAAACAAGAAATTAACCATAAATAAATAATGACTCAAAAGATACAGACAGAGAGTTTATTTTTCATGAAGACTCTGTAACTACACTTTGCTACTCTTGAGCAACTACCTAACTACCCTTTTTGAATTTCACCTATGAAAAATAAAAAACAACTGAAAATGAGTAACCAGAATTGCTTAAATATGGAGTAGTACGTAGTTTAAGGCAAAAGGGACTTCCCATGAAAACTTTAACCTCCCTTTCCCATTCATGAGTAACAAAATGCCTAAAATGCTTTAGCAGAAGGTAAAAAGAGTAACTACCCATTAATCATCTTGACATTGAGATAGTGTTACAAACCTGGAGCATGTGGAAGAGGCTAGTACAAAAAATGCCCAATGGTCATCAGAACAGATATTAAAATTTAAAATTCCCAATAGGGTTTACCAAATGCATCGGTTTTTTCTCCCCTTGTATTTTGACTAGATACATTCTATGCATCATTTTACCAAGAAAGTTAGGCAGAATATTACATCGTCAATTGAATTATGTGAAATGGTTTAAACTATGCGCATATTTCATTTTTTGTTTGGCTTACTAATTGTAGGATTAACCTATTAAATTCTCAGATGTAGAGAGGCTTACTTATTCAGTATTGCCTCGTGATTGTGGCATTGGAGAAGGTGGTTGGGCGGGGCTTTGCTTCAGTCCAACACAATGGTCTACGGTACTGAGTGCTTACTTCTATTTTTACGCTTAATCTGAACTTTTGCATTATGTTTCATTAGTGAGTAATCAGCTGAGAATACCATAGTTGAACCATGTTCACAAATATAATATGAAGTGCACTGTCTTCATTCTTGATAATCACTTTAATATGTTGAACTCTGTTTGTATTAGATTTTATTTTCTAGTGTTTTAGTTGTTTCTCATTTACAATCAAGATGATTGAGATTTTAAGAGTCTTTTTCAAATGAAACCTTGTTTTTTAAGGTTATTCATTTGTCTGTAAAAACCTTTCATTGTCTTCTTAATTTCTTTTTCTTTTTTTTCCAAAGGGGATTTTTTTTATTTGTGTACAGACTTTTTTTGACACAGTTCCAGTATCGTTAAACTCTTGGAATTACAAATCAAAATCATTACAGTAATGAGAATTTATATATATATATATATATATATATTAAAAAAATAAAAATAATAATAAAAAGAGGTTTGGCATTGTAGGCCCAAGTCTTATTCAGAGAAGCTGAGTTTATAAGAGACAAATGATGTGCAGACTACTATAATTTTACATTATAAATAAAAGTTGGAAGGAAACTTTTATTAGTCATATGGAGATGTCATTCCTAACGAGAAACAGGACAGATCTGCTTTTGCCTGTCCCTTCCTTTCTGAACATTTAATTAACTCAATAATTCTTGGGAGACTGATTTGTTCTCTGGTTAGATTTTCCTACCTGTACTTTTCTATCACTCTTAATCATCTCTTATTCCAGGCAGCTGTTGCACGTAGCTTCTGCAAAACCATTGATGTTTATGACCAGGACATCCATGTCAGGACATTATGTACGTAAGTGTTACAGGTGGTGCTGGAATAGTTTTTTTGTTATGTCTAGTGGAATTACCATCCCTGACATTATTTAAAAAAAAATTAAATTCCATATAATTGTTACCCTTGTTTTGTCAAGAACCTAGAGAGTTTGAAGAAATCACTTCAGCTGGGAAATTCATAAATGCCATCTTCTGAGCCCTCAAAGGGAGATTGGTGCCACAAAACCGAAAGTCTATTGATCCCATACAGTCAATGCTAATGGATGCTTTTCCAACATCACATAATTTTATGGTGTTGTGCATTTGTGTTCAGCATTTATTATGAACTAATCAACAAACAGAGAAATCTTTGTGACCAATATTAATGATTATACATGATTTCTCATTGCAAAAAAATTTCCCGGCTTGAATTAAATCTTAAAATTTATTTTACACTTCACTACAATCAATGTGATGGTTTAATATGCTTTCTACCAAGCAAAGAAGTGCCGAAGTTTCCTCACTGTGATTTGTAATGTTTTGAAATGTAAAATATTATCACCTCTGGTTGTTTCTAGAACTGCCATATTGTCTCAATTTACTACTGCATATTATGCCAGGATGAAAACAAAAAATTAATTAAAGAATTGAAGGTGAAATCCCTCTATTAGTCAATATTGGTTTTCTATATTTTGAATAATTATATTGTCATGAAAAGTTGTTGGCTATCCGGCTTGTATGACTAGTTAATGAAAAATGTGTCTACGTAGATTGCGTACGTGATTTGTGTGCACCTTGCCCAAAATTTTCATTTCACCTTAATGGCTGACTGATCACAGCTATATTCAATGTAGGTTCTGCAGCTATTCAGAAAACCTATATGCATTACCTAAGATCCTTATAGAGCTTTCAGTCAACTTGTGTACTTTTATGTAAAAAGATCTTTGTGGACCTTTGTTGTTAACATAGCCATTTTACAGACTCTGGTACCCATCATCACTGAACTTCACAAAAAGTTCGCATTATGGGAATGAGGGCTCTATATTAGCAATCACAGAAGGTTCCCAGGTAGAACTTTTATGCTTTATGCATTTTTAGGTTTTCAAATGTTATCACGAACTTTATTCTTCAGTTATGCTTGAATTGCTCAGCTTCATCTATTGGAATAACTGTAGCTGACTATATGGGACTTGAGAATGAAAGAAAATGGTGGCTGTCTACAACGAATATGTGGTTCCCTTGGTGATGCGTTTTATGCTGTCTGCAGTTCTTCAACCGGGAATATTGCAGTCGGTGGAGCTGATCGTACAGTGACAATCTATGATCCTCGCAGGTTGGTACCATTTGGTTCAATATCATATCCAGGTTATTCAAGTTACTCTTGGTACTTTGATTCTTGTTGATTTAAGATTTTATGTTTTCCTCTTCAGAAGTTAAGGAAAAGAAATAGAGCATTAGTTTGTCTTTTTGCTTTTTCTTTTCCACTCTGCTACAAACTGAGAACTGGAACCTGATATATGATATGTTCATTTGATGTAGATGGTCAGCATTATCAAGATGGGTGCACTGCTCGAAATATGAGGTCAGTTTTAACCTATGCTGCCTTGTTTTTGTTTATGCTCCATTTTACGGTTATTTCTTCACATTTTCACTCAATTTTTTCTCCTTTTTACAGTGTTATTTTTTGCTCTTTCATGTTGGTATATGTGCATTATTGTTACAATACCTAGCTTGCAACTACAGAAATTAAGAATCCACGTAGGTTTTATTGTCTGAAAAGGATCTCGGACTCCATATTCCTTGTTTTCTTCTCCATGTATCCACCCAATCATGGCTATAATATGCCCCTATGTGCACCATACATGACTTGCAAATAAGTTGAATTTGCAATCAACAAGAAATTTGATTCTTAGAAGTGATATAGGGTTTGTTAAAGTTATTGCAATGGCAAAACTAAGGACTGGTTTTGGTTTTTGGATTGGAATTATTAATGATAATGACTGGAATTTTTGAAAATGGATTACCTATGTTACACGCAAATCTCTTACCTATAGACCTGACTGAAGGCCCTTTACCACCACATCATTCATGAATTGTTTGTATCCAGGGTAAAGAGTGCCATGGGTATGGTCAAATGCAGAGTAAATAGGCCGATGTTAATAGTTGACTCCAATCTTGAATATAGTGAACTTCCGCTCTGTTTTTTCAAGCTACACAATTTCATTCTTGTTTCATTCTTTGCGTTATATATAGCTGCTGGAGATAACATTTTAACTGCAGATAACGGGGCTTGCATTCTCTTCAGTTGACTCCGACTATATCTACATACAAGGGGTTGACTATGAGGTGATTTCGGGTTTTTTTACTTAGTGGTAGTTATGTTTTTTTACATGGTAATTTGATTTTTAGGTGAATTATTTTGCTTAACTCTAGTAGTTTATTTCTTTTAGTAATCACCTTAATTATTTTTAACAGATTGGTTGGATGCATTTATCTTGTTGTAAGGAAAAGTTAGTGTTCGTATTTTGTTATGAACACGAAGATTTTCAAACTTCTGATTAGATGGTTCTTAATTTTTTCTGGTATTTATCCATCAGCCACCAAGTGTGGAATCACGTTCGCACATGTACACACTGCTATAAATTGGATCATGGTAAGACAAGGTATCTTTTAGGTTAGTCATTCGTAAATAATTAGATGCTATCCAAATCTGTCCTTGGGAAGTGACGATACCATTGGCTTGCTCTTCCCAACTTATTTTGCGACATTGGTTCTTGCTGTCCAACACAGTTAGTATGTAATAACTACACTGTACCAACTTCCTGGAAAAACAATGAGATCCATTCACTAACATATAGAAACTGTCATATATATATTTAGTAATGTACTTTTCAGTTATATAATTATAACAATAATTGGAATACTAATAAAATCTATAGTTTGAAAGAAACAAAAAATGGAGACAGCCAAAGCTCAGAACTAAGTCCTCGTGGTTTTGGGCTTCCTAAGGGTGCCTAAGCAAATGGCCAAGGGAGCCCTAGGTGGCAACACCAGCCATGTCATCATGAAGATGAACCATAAGACACTCAGGGGTGACAAGCTTTATTTTCATGTGTGGGTCTGCTACAAAACGTTTTTATGATTAAGAGTTCTTCTGTAATACAAAACTTTTTTTAGTTTTGTTAGCGAAGTTCTTTTAAAATTTGATAGAGGCATGAATGAAGTTACTTTGGTTCTTACTAGTTGACTTGTTACTCTCAATTCTCATTGCCCCGCCTACAACTGTGTTTGCAGGTCTTTTGTGGACAGTGGAAAGAAAGCAGCAAGGTATTTTCATTTAGAGGAGACTCAAACTGGCTTGGATTTAGCAAGGTATTACTTCTTCTAATGTTTTGCATGGCATGCATGTAGACTACCCTTTCTTAGGCTAATTCTGTTGTCCTATCAATCAAAAGCTTAAATTGGTCGGATTACAACTTTGTTAATTGTAAATAAACTTATAAATTTTCATCTTCTGTTTAAAATTAAGTTAAAAGGTCTGATGAAATTAACCAAACCAAATTAGAGGGAATTGGTTCTCAATTGGGACCAGCAGTTATCCTTGTTATTTACTCCGTGTTATAAAATTTAAGCAACCCACAGTCCGATATCGAGTTTGAGTTTGTGTTTGCAAAGAAAATCCATATAGTAGTTACTTTTTCAAGTTACACTTAAATTATTGGTGTCTTTCTGCCAGCAAGCAAACATGTTTTTTTAACTGACCGAGGACATCCAGCAAGCAAAGAAAATCAATAAGTTCTTGGTCTACAATAAATAGTGCTCCTTCTAGTCCATCCATACAAAGACAGCGTTGCTGTGCTATATTGTATGATTGCCTTTAAAAATCTCAAACTGTATATGTTATTGCAGTGCCAAAACAAAGATGTTCTAGGTGGATGGTGCGACTCGGGGAGTATCTTTGTGGCCGATGTTGTAGCGAAAGAAAGCAAAACAAGCATGCTGCAAGGTTTTGCCAATGGATCTCCCTAATGCTTTGTTCAACTGTCATCTCTTCTATATAAGATGACTTTCACTTTCGTGTAGTACAACAGAATTGTAATAGCACAACCATGCCCCCCATTAAGCAACGATCCATAGTGACTTCTTTTTTTTAAGTTGTGGAATTTATATTTTGTACATGGAATTTATGGTTTAAGTTTTTCTTCCTTAAAAAGGCAAGGCCAAGTGTGAACCAAATCAAGCATATGAACTGTTTCGTGATTGCGGTGGAAGTAGGGCAGGGTCAAAAGCCCATATCTAGAGCTTGGATCTTGTTTTTATAGTTTTTGTTTTTTGTAACTAGTTGAAGAGCTGTGGTGTGCATGTGGTCCTCTGTTTGAGATGAATGTGTCAAAAGTCAAGGGTCAAGATACCTGGCAAGGTTGACGGATATGGCGAATGGGCTATGCTGCTGTCTGGTTGAAAATGGGCTCCACCCCACCGTTGAGATCCTCAGCTCAGTCTCCATGAAACAGCTTTACCAGTTCCTTAAAAAGTCCCCCTTTTATATTCATCTACAAGTTGCAGAAAGATTATGTTCATAAATCAAATTGATGAAAGAAAAAAATATATATTAGCCCATTTTGGAGACAAAATTTCAAATATAAGGATTTTATTAAATATTAGATAGATAGTTTTTCAGATTTTTAATTCGTAAAATATAGTTGTTTGAAATTCCAAATTTTACGTAAGAGTTCGCAAGTTCTAATCCTCCCTCTCTCGTTCACACGAATAAAAACCTATTTCAAAAATCTTCTGTTTATTTAAGCTTACATTCTAGTCAAAATCCAAATCCATCTTTTCTAAACCATTCAACCCAAGTGGATGATAATTGATACTTGAATGACATCATGAAGAATTAAAATAATAAGTGAATGGCATCACCAAGAATTCAAAATTAAAAAAAAACAATTTTAAGTGAGAAAATTGTCTGTCTCTCAGCAACAGGAAGAAGAAGAAGAGTGCTTTTCCAAACATTTCGTGAATGGCCGCATATAATTTTGACCCTCCTTGATCAAAACGACATCGGCACACACGTCCCATTCCCCAGCATCAAACTCATCTCTGGAAGCTCTTGACTCTTCTTGATCTTGAGTTTGACTCAGTCTTGAGGCCCAAGAAAGAACCATATCATTTTTTTTTTTGGGTATTTTTTAACATGTGCATAGTTGTTTTATTTATTTATTTACAAAGCGATATTCTAATTATTTTAACGTATAAAAGGATAACCAAACCCAAACTCATACGCAAATGGGCAAACACACTGCCTTAATCAACTAGATTAATCCATATGCACATGTGCGTAATTGTTGAAACAGATAATATTTAATTGGGTGAATGATGGGTTCCTTTCTTCGTTTTGGAAAAGGGGCAAAAGAGAGAAAGATTGAGTTTTTCTTTGGTTATTTTGGGCAGAGAGACATATCCCAGATTTATTGTAAAAGGGAGACGTGTGAAAGAGCCAAACATGTACATTTCACAAAAGTCAGTCCCCACGTAGCGGGCCATGGGTACAATATATTCTGGCCTTTAGCCATATAAATTAATATTTCAAGGATTCGAATAAAAATAATTAAAAAAATTTTCTTTTTTTTTTTTTTTTTTTTTTTTTTTTTTTTTTTTTTTTAAAAAAATAGTGTTTTATTAATGAGGAAAAAAAGGGTAACAAGTACAAAAATCGGACACAAGCCCTAGAGGATTAGGCGAGTACTCTACACCAAACTTTCTTTCTTATTATATAAGTAGGGACTTCTATATTCTTATCAATATCAGTGTGATATGTGTGTAGAAAAAAAAATTTATATGTATTTTTTATGAATAATTTTTGCATATCTGTCAAACTGTGATTCGTAAGAATAAGACAAGCAGTGTCCAAAAATAATAATAATTTCGAGGACAGCAACTTGCAATTTAATACAATGATCCACAAGTGGCTGCGTCAGATCATACGTCCACACCACACCACAAGGATATGCCTAATGTGATTATATATCCATGGAAGAAGAGGTTCTAATTCGAAGGAGGCCTTTCTTCTACATATGATGACTTGGTAGATTGTTTAGTCATTGGTCCTATGTTTTGTTTTGTTTTGTTGTTTCAAAAGCCCTATTGTCGTCTTAACATAATTTAATTATCACTAATAATTAACAAATTCACACATCAATTTATATGCAATTATTTGATTAACTCCTCACGTCACATCAACATGATGCAACTACACAAAGTATAAAGTTCTAGGGTGTGACTATTTGAACCCAAATATTCCTCACTATATCCACCTTTTTAATGAAATATAGTTTTCCTAATTTATCCTAGTATAAATTAATAATAAAGAACATAATATTTCAAGCAAGAGACAAACTAACCACAAATATATATATATATATATATCATCACCTTAATTCTTCCTTTTTGCTATACCATTTTCCTTCTAAGTTTCACTATTTTTTCTTTAACCTTAGTTAATATATTCGAGTGTAACACTTCTATAATACATGTACGCGCATATTTCTTGAACTACTTTTGTTTTTTTCGTAGACTTTTTCTAAAGATACGGTAAAATACAATTTTTTTAAAATCAAGAACAAATGATTAGATCAAGCGTTAATGGTAAATTGTTTTTGAGAAATATTTATTACTTTGTATTGTATAATGGAATTGACATCTGTTTTGTTCTTGAAAATTGGAAGCTATAACAAGTGGAGCGTTAAGCTATTAGTATTATTTTTTGGAAAGCATAGCTGGTTTTCTTCTTGGTGAATAAAAATATAAATTAGGCATGTCTTTTGTGAAGAACACTATTCACGATATTTGTAATTGTGTCATGTGAAAAAAGTGATCAATTCCAAGAACCAGTTAGGATACGGTGATATGATGTTAACTTTTTCATAAAGATTTTCGAGATTCCAAACCTTCGCACAAATACAAAATTAAAGGAAGATGAACTTTCTTGAAAATCAAGCATCCATCAACTTCTCTCATAAATACTATTAGGACATTATTAAATTACCCAAAACCCTTTTGTTATGATTTTTTTTCCCCCGATATAAGCGATATTGGGAGAGGGAGTACACGTACTATTAAGATGTCATGAGAGTTCGAACCTGAAACCACTGATAAGGCTAGATCCCGTTAGCTTCATGAGCCTTAACTATACGTTGTTTGGTATTTTATCTTTAGTCCTCAAGTATGTTTCACGAAAGAAAAGTAATAAGGTTTTGGGTTCGAGTTATAACATCTATGTAGTGTGTATGAGTTTAGTATGTTATCGCTCATCTCAATAGAAAATGTCCTATAAAAAAAGTAATAAGAAGAAAAACCCATTATTTGTTTACCTTTTACTTTCCTCTGAGATGCCATTACAATTTTTTATTTTTATAGTTTTGCTTGCTTGATCTCTAATTAATTATCTAAATTTTACTTTCAATGTTTATAAAAGGAAACTAAAGCCATTAGTGATGAAATTGGAGAAGAAAAAACATCCATTTTATGCATTTTTTTTTCTACATGGCACATAATATATTTTAATATTCTGTATTATTTAACAAGATTGATGTGCATGTTATTTTGTTTTGTAGCAAACAAGATCGATGTAGTAGTCATTTATAATGGTATTTATATAGGATTTGACTTCAACTGTCATTTTCCAATTAGAAAATAATAATAATAATAATATAAAATTAGGACGGAGCTAAAAAAAAAACTTGAAATATCTGAAGCCTGCCAAGTGCCAGGCTAGCTTGAGCCCAAATTCTCCGTTTTGCAATCTCCAAGATGTAATTAAAATGGGATAATTGTCATTAAAACTTGAAAACAATGCCTCATTTGAAATAAATGTTTGTTTAGAGATTTAATGTCTTTGGATAATTGAGAGTATTAAAATAAATAAATAGATTTTCAGTGTCCCCTATCAATAATTTTCCTTTGCTTTTGGGAAAAATAAAATAAAAATATTATTATATTCCCTTGTGTTGTGATATAATCTGCCCTAATTCAATGAAGAGGAGACCCAGTCAGACTCAACTCCACGTCCTCGGAGAATGGGGAGCACCAAATCCACACGTGAACTCGTTTTCTTTAATCAACTTGCCTAAAGAGATTCTCCTTGTAAAGTAATTTTTGTTTTTTTTTTTCATAGGTAATTCTCTTATAAAATATTTCTTTTTATAGGTCGAATATTTTCCTTTTTCTCTTCTTCTTGGAATGCATGGTCGGAATTATTATTTTACTGCCCCCAATATTAGGACGACTGTCGAAAAGTCTCACCAATTCACATGCCTTCTCAAGAAAGTACATAAATAGAAAAAGGCGACAAGATAAAAGAAATGGACAATTTTATCATCATTTCCTAAAGTTTGAAAATGTGATCAAGCATTATTTAATTACTTTGTCATTAATCTAGTTTTAGCAGACGTCGTCACGTAGCTAAGACCAATTGGCCAGGATAATACGCTTATGCTTACACTCAAGTTCCTAGTTTCTCTTTAATATTATCGGTGCTTTTGCCTATTTCGTGGTGTATAAATTGAGTAATGGTACGAAATTCTTATCTTTCTTTCTTGGTACAATTAAATTCATCTCTTCGTCTTACCTTTTCTCGTAGGCTTTTATGAATATCTTGTTCTGTCTCGTTACTATATCAAGCCTGTTTTAAAAGTTAAACCTTAAAATTTGTTTAATGGTAGATCCTGTCCCTTTTGATGTTCACAATCTACTATTTACTTCAGCAGTAGTTGATACTGGTGCGGGACCCACACAGCGAACAACATACACACTGGACTGGAATTTGACACTTCTTTTCTTCTGCGAGAGAGGGACAATTTCGTCTGTTCAATTTTTAGACAAGGACACACGTCATTCCCGTCATCTCGTCGGGCCCACATCCCCCGGGCCCCCTCTCACTCCCTTTCTAGAAGGACCCGGTCAGTCAGTCAATCCCTCGCTCCACCTCCAATTTACGCGCCAACGAAGACCCAGCTGTACCGTCCACGTGTACACTCCCTCCGCACAACGACTTCGTCCTCATCCCCCACGTGGCACAACGTCAGCCCGTCCGTGCCCCCTCACCCTCGGCGAACAATAACACACAACCCCCACCAAGCCCAAAGTAACACGAAATCAACGGTCCAGATGCAACTTCATCTCAGATATCCGAGGAGAGAAAGATTAACAAAAAAAGGTAGGTAAATAAAGAAGTTAAAAGGTTGGAGTTCCCAAATATATACATCGTGTTCAGTCCGTGTTTAGTTCGCGTTCAATAAACTTTGATTAGCAGAAAGTAAAGTAAAATTAATTACTGAGATTAAGTTTCCTAATTATAGTTTTAAAAAAAAACTCTTAATCTCATTTCTTCCCCAAACCCCGAACCTCATCCCACCATAAAACGCGGCACTCTCTCTCCATTTCTATCTTACTCTCTCACCTTCTTTTTCTTCTTCTTCTTCTTCTTCTTCCACCTCCATTAAAGCTCTCTGTCTGTAGGGCTTGCTTCAATCCAACCAACACCCAAAACCAGAAAACCAAAAACGATTGAATTTGAATTTTATAAATTTATCAAATTTGGGGGTTGTGTGATGTGAGAGAAGAATGCCAGCGACGGAATATCAAGGGTCGTCAGCTGGGTTCAACAATATTGGCCGCTCGATCTTCAGCCTCCGACGCGATCAGTTTAATTCAATGGAAGCCCATAGCCATATCGGTGGTCAAGGAGCTGTAGACCTCGACTCTTTCCAAACCCACGTCGCTGATTGCTTCTCCCACCTCTCCTCTTCCTCCCAAGACATCCTCTCCCTCCAATGGCTCCGAGACCTCCTCGACGCCTTCCTCCAAATCCAGCAAGAATTCAAGAACCTCCTCCTCTCCTCCATCAACAAGCCCCTCCTCTCCAAGCCCACCGTCGACCGCTTCCTCTCCGACTACTTCGAGCGCAGCGTCAAGGCCCTCGACGTCTGCAACGCCATCCGCGACGGCATCGAGCAGGTGCGGCAGTGGCTCAAGCTCCTAGAAATCGTCCTTGTCGCCCTCGACCGCGACAGGACGCTCGGGGAGGGCCAATTTCGTAGAGCTAAGAAGGCGCTCGTCGACCTTGCCATCGCAATGCTCGATGACAAGGACTCCTCCAACACCACCCTGGCCCACAGGAACCGCTCCTTCGGCCGGAACAACCCGACAAAGGATCACCAGCATCACCAGCAGCACCGCTCGCTGGGCCACTTTCGATCTCTTTCCTGGAGCGTTTCGCGGTCGTGGTCGGCCGCGAGGCAGCTCCAGGCGATCGGAAATAATTTATACGCCCCGAGGCCGAACGAGATTGTGGCCTCCAACGGGCTCGCGCCCGCCGTTTTTACGGTGAATACGATTTTGCTCTTCGTAATGTGGGCCCTGGTGGCGGCGATCCCTTGCCAGGACAGGGGCTTGCAGGTGCATTTCACGGTGCCGAGGAGCTTCGCCTGGGCGGGGCCCATGCTGTCGCTGCACGAGCGGATTCTGGAGGAGTCGAAGCGGCGGGACCGGAGGAACGCCTGCGCGCTGCTGAAGGAGATTCATCAGATCGAAAGGTGCTCACGGCTGATCGGCGATCTCGCAGACTCGGTGCAGTTCCCGATCGCGGAGGAGAAGGAGAGGGAGGTGCGACAGAGAGTGCAGGAATTGTCGAGCCTGTGTGAGGGGATTAAGGAGGGTTTGGATCCTCTGGAACGGCAGGTCAGGGAGGTGTTCCATGGAATCGTGAAAAGCCGAACCGAGGGCATGGATTCTTTTGGAAGACCGAATGAATGAAGAAGATGAGAGCAATCAATTTTTGGATTTGGGGGAGGTGGCGGCGGCGGCTGCGGGCAATAAAATTTGGGTAAGGAGGAGGAGATATGACTTTTTGTTTTTTCTTTCTCTCTTGTAATTTAATCAGTGAAATCGATCAGCAATTACCATATATTGTGTATAGAAATTAGGATTATGCAAAGGAACCTACTTCTTGGAGGTTCATGTTTGCTGTTTTTTCTTCTTCTTTTTTTTACCCTTTTTATCTTTCTGTTGTTGCTTATTTATTTTGCCTTTGTATAATGAAATTTCTGAGCATGCTTCTGGTTGCTGCTCTTTCTCATTTTGTGTTCAATTCTTGCACAAATTTTCGTTTGATCTCGAATGTGTACCGACTACGACATAGGATTTAGGTATTTGAATTTGAATCCTTATATCAATGTACGAAACGAAATCATCGAAATGTCTGATAATGACTCACTCTCTATGATGGGAGCAATCTTTTGGCTTTCTTCGTCATTGGATTGCAATTACTTATACTTTGATTGATTGGTTAATGCAAAGTGAGAAGGCCCCAAAAAAAGAAAAAGAAATGTGCTGTTGATTGTTCTTGGAATTTTCTGCTTGCCATATTGCAATAGGTAGCTTCAACCAGACAATCAGGCTCCAACTTTCTCTTTATGGAAAGGTTGTTATCAAGACTGCTTTTGACTTCCATATGCAGCTCAGTGAGGCTTAATGCATTCTGACCATTGGTAAATTGATCTACCATTTCTAGTGCAGCTGAGATTGATTGGTTTTTTTAATATTATTTATTCTGGTTCCCTCTTATTGCAGGAATTTGACTATGATATGGTCATGTGAGGGCTTCCATATTCTGACCTTGAAAGATGATGAAACCAGAATTTGAATTCTCTTCTGAAATTGACTGCAGGCTTCATTTTCAATTCTTGGTTTGTTTCCCATTCTTGCCAAAGACAATACCCTCCTGATTACTTTGGGCTTCAATTTTTTCCTCTAATGGAAACATATCCGAAGTTCTCAAAGAGGCTTTTGCCTATTTGCCGCAGTGGGGGTGTAAATTTTTAAGCTCCTTGTTTGTTCAACATAGTCCTCTGCTCTTTGGAGCTTGCCTTCTTCCCTTTTGCCTCCCTCCTACGTTCAACCCTTGTATATTTAAGTTCCCTGTCTTTCTCCGCTGTTTCGAAATTAGTATCTTCCTTATACCACCAAAATACTAGTTTTCCTACTGATGCTACTTGGTGTATGTGGTTCTGTTTGATCTCCACCTAAATGCAGCTCTGATACTTTGAAACAGTCACATCTTGAAGTAGCTGGAACAGTCCTGACTCTGCATCAACAGCCAGGATTCTCTCACGTAGCGTTTTTCTAACCGGAAGCCTCTGACTGAATACGTCCTTTCCCACCTATTTTGACTACACCAGATATCAGAGGCATGAGCCAATCTTGTGCTTGATTTGAGCCAATTGGAATTGGTCTTTGAAGATTGCATCAAAGCTATTGTTTAGTATATTTATTTTAGATACACAAAGTTTTTGCAGATCATCCGTCGCTGTCTTATCCTCAATTAGGGTTATGGTGAAGAGTGCAGTTGGTAGCTTATAACATCAATCAACCAAGACTGCAGTTGTAGGTTAGGCACGCAGCTTCTTCTTGCCCTACCTACCTCGTCAAGATGAGAGGCTTCCAGAGCAGTTGACACCCCCTATTGGGAAAAAACTCATGGTGAGCTGTTGCTTCAATGTAGGCTTTAAATGCTAAAAGCTAATTCTTGTCTTTTTCTTGGTTTGGAGCTTAAAATTCCATGTTATGTGTTGACAATGTTTTGCATTTTGGAAGGTGGATTAATGCAGAGATTAGTCATTTGCAAAGCTACCCTACATGGCTTCGTGAGCTGTTAAGCCATTAATAATACCAATGGCTCTTCTTGCTTTTCACGTTCTAATTTCTGCAAGCCAATTTCTGGGACCAGACGTAACGGCATGTAAAACTGTCCAAATTCAATGCTGGCTAAGAGTTTGTGTGAAGCAAAGGGCTTAGCCAAGTTGGCTAGAGCAGATGTGCTCTTCACTCTGCACCCGAGTTCGAATCCCCCCCTCCCTATCGCTTGTATAAATAAAATAATAATAAGAAAGTCGCTTAAGCCTAAAAGTTTGTATAATTTTGATGTGTTGGGCATTTTATATCATGCCAAATAATGAAAATAAATAACAAGAGAAAGAAAAGGAAGGAGGCAAAAGGCTTTTCTAATCTCGATGATGTTAGGTTTTTTTTGTGTGGTCAATTATCTTGATGATGTTAGTTGAAGTGTGCCAGATGTATAATATGTGCGTGCACGTCCTATTGAAAACCGAATACTTGTACCTTTCGCTTGGACCAGGGAATTCAAGACTAATAATGAATTTGCAAATTACAGAACGTAAAATAACGAGATATAACATTAACATAATGGATCATGAATTAACTGACAATCCCAAAAAAAAAGGTAAAGTTGAATATGCAAGAGAGGGAGAGAGGGAGCTGTGAAACACAGAAGCTATCTTTTTCTAGTTCTAATCCTGTTAATTGCTACCATGACTAGGGAAACAATTAGTGCTGAACCTGCAATGATGAATGGAGAGCACAGCAGATTAGATTTTTCCAAACGAGGAGGCGTCTTCTCTAGATCACTGCTCTCTCCTTCTGTACTAATTCCATCTGTAGTCTCTATCTGTTGAGCTTGAGCTTCTTGTTGTGTGGTTATTGTATCTCCTGCAGGTTTTGATGAGTCACTGCTCTCTCGTCTACTACGAATGTCATCCTCCAGCCCCGCATTTCGCTTTTCGCTTTGATCAGCTTCTGGACTTCTCTGCTTCTGCACCTGTCCTTCCAATTTGGGGAGCTCAGAACCCTTCTGTTCAGTGTGATGTATGGTTGCCTGAGTTTCTTGCGATGGCTTAGCAACTTCTTGACTTACTTGAGTGCCTGTATCTTCCTTCATTGTCTCTTTAGCATCCTCAGTCTTTGGCACCTTATAATCAGTTACAATTTGTTCTGTGCCTAATTCCTTTCTAGCAACCGTCTCTTTCTCAACATCATCAGCTTCTTCAATCTTCGCAATCCTTGCCATTTTTGGCTCTTCTCTATTTCTCGATACAGACTTTTCTGTCTCTTGCATACTCTGTATCTTCGAAGCTCTAGCTTCTTCCTGATTTTTTCCCCCACTCATGTCCTTCCCAAGAACTCCATCAGCTACAGTTTCTTTCTTGGACACCTCTTCATCAACTTCTTTTCCCTTGATCTGACGATTTTCTTCCATTTTCTTTTCCTCAGCCTCAACAAATTCTACCTCAACTTTCCCCATAGAACCATCTTTTTCAGGAACCTCTTCAGCTGCAGGTTGTGCCATCTGCTGTGTTTCTAGTCCTTTATCCACCCCATCATCTTTCACTTCCTCAATCCCAACCTCTCGAATACCTTTCTCCGATTTTGGCATGACGATGGTGAGAGTTGATTCGCGTTCCTTAAACTTGGCCTTGATTCGATCCAAAACCACTCCATCCGGAATCCGAAAGACTTTTCTGAAACTCCCTATCTCCACCTCTTTCTTGTACATTATCCATCTTATCATCACCTTCTCTTGAACTGGCTTTTTCCCACTAATGGCAATCTGAGTCCCATCTTCATTTATGTCAATTTCAATATGCTGTCTTCTATAACCTACATTTATCCAAAAAAGTTAGTTAAAAAAACAAAAAAAAAAAAAAAAAAAAAAAAAAAAAAAAAAAAAAAAAAAAAATGCGTGGTGGCAGGACACACACAAAAAAAAAAAAAATTATGAATAAGAGATTAATTAAAAATTAAAAATGATGATGACCAGTTGAGGACGAAGGTAGTTTCGGTTTCTTTCGATACGAAAAGAGGATCGGAATTGTCTTTGGCAATCCGAAAGTTGGCAGAAGAAACATGATCATCCATGGTCTGGGTGATCTTGAGTCTCAATTCTAGATCCATTGGTGGGGTTGATTTTCTTATCAGAAATCAATTTTAGGAACTCCAAAATTTAAACTACTCATTTGGGTAGCAGAATGTGCACGTGTGAGAGGGGAATGTTAATAGAGCCCATATTGTCTTTTATTGAGCATATGAAACAAAGCACATATTCATTGCTTCCTTATATGGCATTCTTGAAGGCGTTTAGGACGGTTAAAATCCACTGCTTTCCGAAATGTGGGTTACCTTGGCGGGAAGTTAACGGCTCTATGTTTGATACCAAAATGAAGTTCAAGCCATGCGTGTTTCAAATATGAACAGGCATGTTGAAGAAAAATGTGAATTTCCTAATATTATTTCATCATTATTGGGAAATTCACATTTTTCTCTTTTTGGTGATTATTTAAATAATGGGGTTTTATTGTTTTACTTTTGACCCATTCGAGACGCGGTGTCTCTTAATTACAATAGCTTACTTCGAGGGAATACCCTTTGATTTCATCATAAAGAAACATAACGTGTGTTTTTTATTTTGCAGTTGCTCCCAAGTCGAACCTAAGGGGTGCCCACGTATGTTTGGGTCTAAAAAGAGATCTACGCACGCTAGCCCATCTACACAAAGAAAGCCCCACAAAAACAGAAAGAACAGAAGACTGAGCTTTGACCCCGAATATCCCAAACCACATCAAAGGCCCATGTCTTTTGCAAAGTGGCAGAGCCATAAAAACATGAAATAAATCAATAACATGGCCAAATAAAAGACAATTGACCACCAACCATATCGATAAAAATTCTAAAGAAGAATTGGATGGGGCAGCTTCTAAATTCTCACCATTTGATCTCAAGCCCAGAGTACAAAGCCAACAGATTTTTTTCTATTTCACAAAGGAAGGAACCCATGTGACTACCTGACTTTGAAAAGTCAACAATTTCAACTATCACAAGAGAGTTGATAGGGAATTAATGAAGACAGATCTTAATAGGCAAATATCTCCAATCTTTTCAGTCAAAAGAAGATCCAAATCCTTTTTTTTTATGTGTAGAAAAATTCTGCTCCAGAGCAGGTTCCATTTCCAAGGGATAAGCAGGCTATATTTTCTAAAAAGATAAGTAAGATGCATGGAGTTGTTCATCTAGAAAATCAAACTAACCATCACAAACAGATTGAATTCTCACAAGAGCAGTTAAAGATCAAAAGAGCAGAGAAGTAATCACCAAAAAAAGAAATGATTATTGATGGTTTGTCTACCAGAATAGATAAAATCTCATTTTTCTTTGACATTTAAAAGAAAGATATTGTTTTTTTAGAAAATTTGCCGCCCATTTTAAAGATTAAAAATCCAACTCTAGCATTTCCTATAAATATAAGAGGAGAGAAAACAACATCCAAACAAAAAAAAAAAAAAAAAAAAAAAAAAAAAAAAAAAAAAACATTAAACTCAAAATAACTCACTTGATATCAAAAACCTTCAAAACACTGAAGCAACTAATAGCTCATTGAGCCACAAGAAACAAGTCAACTACAAATTAGAATCTCTAACTCCAGTTCAGTTTAAGAGAAATAGTCATTCAAAGCGAGATTTATCTCGTTACAAATTTGGTTCAGCATAAGCCAAGTCAAGCAGAGTTTGGGTTTTACAAATATGAAAACCTCAACAAGTTTATGGAGAGCCCTGATAAAGTAGAACAGGTGCCACAGTGCAGTTCCAGCTCAATAAATCATCAAGTCCAACCACTTCTGCCCATTCCAGACTGAAGAGGTCCTAATTCTGCCCATTCAAAAAGACTTCTAGGGCTTGAAATAGATTAAAGCTCTACCAAACTCAAACATTGGTATCGATTTACAGCTGAAACTTGATAGTTGAAGGTGTTGATAGTCCAGTCCAGCACAGGCATACCCAATCTAGCCCAGATCAGAAGCATATATCCAGGTAGAAATGGAAGTCCAACCCTCCTTTTGTCTTTGTTGGAGTTGGTTTTCCTTCTTAAGCTTTGTAAAAGGCAGTTCTGTCTAAAATAGTTCACTTTCTTATCATTTATTCTGGCAAGAACTACCAGTGTTGTATTGTAAAAAATTGTGAAGTCATCGCCAGTCTGAGGCAAGAAAAGAACTTACTTGGGAGATATTCCTCACCCAAATTCACAATCGCTTGTTTAGAAATCAATAACTTGGGGTGCAAGTTATCTATTTTTAAGAAGTCTGCTAGGATTTTCATTGCTAGCAGTGGCACACTCGCACACTAAAGAAAGTTGACTTGTTGACCAGTCAATGGTTTTCGAGGCAATGGGGAACTTTACCCTACCATCATAGGAACAAATCTAAAACGGGTGAACAATCTCTTGCGGGAATCAAACTACTCGTAGATCAAGGATTTGAATGAATTTGATTGAAAAAGTGTTTGAGTGAATTCAGCTGAATAAACCAAAAATTCGATATGGAATTGTGTTTGGGCCAATTTGGTTAAGAATAAACCAGGGATTCTGTTTGGATTTAAGATCTGGGCGGTTGCATCTAGATTGAGTCTCTAGATTGCCTACGTGCCCTTTAGAAGGGATCAAACTAACAAAGTTTGAAAATTTGGAAATTTGGAAATTAACGGGTAAGTGTGGCCTACTAATTTAGAATTTGTGTCTTTGAAACAATTTGGAGATTTTTACGATTTTCATAGGTAAATGACCTATGGGAAAAATTGGATGGTTTTGTACTATTTTTCTTATTATCAATGTCCAAGAAAATAATGCACAATTTTGATGAACCCACTAAATTTCTAAAATTGACATTTGCAATTGGAAAAGTGTTTGGGTGAATTTGGTTAGGATAAAATAGGAATTCAAATTTGGTTGCAGTTGCATCTAGTGGGATGCTAGACTGCCTGCGTACTCTTGACAGAATCAAACTGACATAGTTCCAAAAAGATTCTTTAATTTGCGTGGTTTTGTACCACTTGGGGTTTTGGCTTGGTTTTGTACCACTTGGGATTTGGGGTAGTTTTGTACCCCTTGGGATTTGGTGTAGTTTTGTACCACTTGAGTCTTCACTTGAAGATTTGGGAATTAATGGGCCTTTTTAATTTTGAGGCCATTATTCCATAATTTGTGGATCTGAGACTTTGCACCAACTATTTCCCATTTGGATTTTTAATAGACGAGTCCATTGTGCTTGAGACTTGCAATAGAACATGCCCATTGTATTTTAAACCGTTAAGTCTTAGGATGTTGGCTTGAGATATGAAGTTTGAGCTCATTGGGTCTGAAGCCCATTTTGTTATCCCTTTCTTTTTACAACTTCTTACCAGGCCTGCAATTGTCACGGTTTGAGGTGAGCACTTCTTGTTTTTGCTTTAAACCACCTTAGTCGATAAGCCCAACCCAACTTCCTTGCATTGGTCTCCCTGCACTTCTTTTTGTTTTGTTTTTTAAGCGTCATAGCCCCAGAAATTGATTTCACATAAATTTATTTATGGCATGAAGGAAAACAAAGCTTTCTTCCTTGTTCTCCTTTTCGGTGGTAGAGTCCTTGAATTTATTTGATTCAAGGCTTTGATTTTGATTCAAAGCCAAAGGCAATCATGTGGTAGGCCTTCTTGGATTTCCTTCTTGCTGGCGTTAGGACCTGTTAGGTTGCCGCATGCCAAGAGAAGAAGAAGTGCATTTGTTTCTTTGCTTTTTGCTTGTAGCGAAATCAAACTTGGTGACAAGACCCGACCCAAATTCCACTTTGGAATTTGAGTCGAACCCTATGCGTGTCCGACATCTAGCAGATGCCGGGCACATTTGACCAAAATGCCCTTCTAAGTTTCCTAAATTCTTTTTCTTCAAGCTTGACTCCTGCCAAAAATTCGACAGAGTCTTCCCTGACTCCAAAGCCAGTGAGCTCCTAAAAGACCTCTTGCTAGATGAAGGTAGGCATGTACATGTAAGGCACATCAATCTCTCTCTGTTGGTTGATGTGAGATGTTACACTTGAAGTTGTGACTTGCCCTTGTGATGGGTTTTAGATGGTTTCCACCAGCATATGAGATCAATCCTTACGGATTGTTTTGGGTGCTTTAAGCATCGCCAAGAGAGAGGCCTTGCGGTAGGGGTGGGCATCGGAACCGAAGAACTGATAAATCGAACTAAACCATATTGGAAAAAATTGAAAGAAACCGTGTTAATAAAAAAGTCAAACCCAATTCAAATAACCGAACTGAACCGATTCTAACCGATTCTATACCCCAACAAATCTAATCGGGCCGAACTGAATCGGCCAAATTTTATATAAAAAAAATAATACTAAATTTTAAATCCAATACTAAATTTTAAATCTCATAACTAATATTTACCCAAGCTCAATTTCAAAACATCTCTCTTTTCTAGCCTCAATATTTCTTTTTGTATGAAATTGGATTATTGTTAATTTTCAAGCCAAAATAAATAAATTTTCAGTTGAAATTTGTATAAAAATAATAATTTGAAACAATAAAACAAAAAAAATAAAATTTCAGTTGAAATATGCATAAACTTGTGTAGTATTGGCCCATAGACTTACTTTTTGGTTGCATTTTGGGCCTACCCGAAATATGCGTGTTCATATTAACTACTCTCCTGATCAATCTAAATTCTCATTTTTCAGGTATTAAATTTCGGATTTTAATGTGAAAGCCACTCTAGTTTTGATTCTTTTTGTGTTACTAATCGCACAATTTATACTCCTTTGAACTTTGAATCAATGAAATGAATTTTAGTGCCTGACAAAAGAAAGAGATTGAAGTTCAAGACTCCTTTTCTACACTCTCTCAAGCTCAACTCGAGGTGTTTAGTTTAAGGATATGAAAAGAAAGAAAAGAAAACAAGGGACATAGTCAAAAGTTAACAAAAAAAAGGTTGTCACACTGAAAATTATTACTGAAACATGTTATACTCCCAGAATAGAGTCTACCAGAAAAGGCTTCATCATTGCATTGCATCTGTAATTCTCTTCAGGGCAACAGCATAATCATTTATTTCATCATGTGAATATCAATTAAACTTGGATTCTATGTAGTTCTTCTTCTGTTCACCCTAAGTTGAGAGGTAAGGCAGGCACTATGCCCACCACTTATCCAGCCACAGGCAAACATTGAGTTGTTCAGATCCTAAATATTTTCTTTAAAATTTTCATTAAAAAATATTTTTCTTGCAAATTTATATGGAGAAATGGATCATTTTTCTTGAAGTTTTTATGGAGAAATGGATCACAGGTCATGAGAGTGATTAAAATGGTTCAGAACATCATTCCTTTTCATATTGTTGGGATCCAAAGTGCATACCTCAACAACCAGCCTACCAAATTGCTTTAGGTACCAATATGATGGGTTACTTTAGTCAATTGATTGCTTTATGACTTTCAAATTTTAAATTCTTCCAAAAAACAAGAAAACAGAAAGAAGCAGAAGAGGAAAAGAGCAGGATAAAGTAGAAAAAGAGAGAGTAGCAATTGATTGCATGCCAAAATTAAAGGAGCAAAAGTGGTAATGATTTCCAAAGTAGGGACTAAGAGCATCTCAATACATGGTAAATAATCATCACTCTTAAAGTTACTTCAGACTCAAACACCACACTGCCTCTCTGCTCTGCCTGATCAAGATTTACCCTACACCAGATTTAATTTACTTACACATATTACAAACCATCTCTCTCTCTCTCTCTCTCTCTCCTTACCTTTTTACAGCATCAGGAAAAAAACCACACAAAATAGAGCCATTTCCATTTGAAGAGCAAATAACCCCACCAACACCTGCGGTTTCCACCCACAGTCAGTACAAAAGAAACCCAATCAACATCCCATCAAAACTCGAAGTAAAAAAGTAAAAATAGAACATTTACACAACATTTTTCATTATTAACTGCATGTAGATGTACATTTTCATGTATGTAAGCATATGTGCATACTTCATTATTATGTACTGTGCTAAACTTACAAATGAACAAATTTAATGAGATCAAGAACCTATAATCAATAACTTTACACATACAATACTAATCGAAATTTGAACATCTAACTTAAAATCAATTAACAACGAGCGAATCATTGATCGAAAATTTAAAAAAGATAAGAAAATTGAGGTACCTGCCCCTGGTGGCCAGAAGTTGGTAAAGGACGTATTGTAGCAGAGTCAACTTCACCAGTAGGCAGAGGAACTGCAGGGTTGCTGTTAATAAATGGCATACCACCACCACCACCTTTGTCTGGTACAGCCACTGAAGAACTCACGCTTGGTTGTGGGCTGGGAGAGAAGGAAACTTGGCGAGGGTGGAATGGCCATGGATATGATGGAGAAGATGACACTGCTCCTCCTCCACCCGAGCTTGGTGTTGGGGAAGCCATTGGAGGAAGCTGTGGAGAAGTTGTTGTTGAACTTGAACTTCCTGGTGGTGCTGCTGCTGAGGAAGAGGAGGAGACTCTGATAGCCAGCTTTTGGGTCTCTTGGCATGTTTTGAGCATAGAGCCATTGTTGAAGGCAAAGTAGAAGAAACCAGGGCGTGATGGGTGCCACTTTTGCAAATGTAACAAGAATTTTAGTTAGAAAGCTAAAATATTTTAGACAATTATGACATACCCAGATGGAAACTACTTCTTTTAAGAATTTTCTTGAAAACCCAAGAAAAACAGAATAAAAAAAAAAAAAAAAAGGTTTTGTGAGTGTGTTTGAGAGAGAGAGAGAGAGAAAGAGAGATACCGTGAAGGAGGTGGAGTCAGGTTTGTTAAGAAGTGTGGCTTGAGTGAAATTGCAGAGATTGAAGGCTTTTTTGGTTCTGGAAAATGTAGAGGTTGTGCTGATACTTGTGCTTAAAAACTGAAATACTCAAGACAAAAGTGTTAGAAGGCAGCCTAAGTAAAACAATGCTTAATTAATTCAACCAAAATAAATAAAAGCTTGAAGTTCTTGAATTTGTTGGGGTTTTTCTTTTCAGTTTTAAGTACTTACTGATGGAGTCTCCTACATGAACAGTGGGATTTTTCCACTCTGCAACCCCATCTACTAGTATTGTGGTGGAGTGAGAATGCTGGAAGAGAAAAGAGAGAAAACACAGGAAGATGAAGATGAGCATGGAGAGCTTCATCTTCAGCTTCTCTTTTGATTTGTTTTTTTTGTGACAGCAAAATATTAGATTAGACAGAGGCTTTGGTCCTTTGTAGCCTTGCTATCCCTGCCTCCTGCCTGCTTCTGGGTTTTTGACAAAGAAAAAAGGGTTTTTGAAAAATGTGAAAAGAGAACTGTGAGAGGAGGAGAGTGGCATAGAGACTGTTAAAATGTCAGTGGTGCTTAGCTTTTTCATGGGAAGAGTATGAATGGATGACAGACATAAATGTTGGAGATTGTGTGGTGTGTTTCTCATTATTTTAAACAGTGAAAGGTTGAATCATCTTGTTGGTAGAAAAATTTACCCTTAAAGAACAAAGCTTTTAAGAATTATATATGATTAAAAAAGGAAAAGTTTGAGAAGTGATTATGAGAAGTTTGGGTGGCTCTGATTGTTGATGATGGGCATTATTATTCTAAAATGATTAGCTCAGTGATTATCAACCTGCAGTCTACATTTTCAATCCAAATAAACTAATGTCTTGGGGGGTGAGCAGTGGAAATCACTTTCTTTTATGAGGCCCTTTTTAAATTTTTATATATTTAATCCATAAATAATGTAATTAGGCTCATACTTTGATGCATAAAATAAGGTTAAGGGAATAAAATCTTTAAAGTCTCATTCTTTTCTTTCTTTTTATCTCCTCCTCCTCCTCCTTTCCCCAAATTATATAGTTGTGGTGAGAATGGAGGACCAGAGAGATGTGAGAATCCTCTTCTTGGCCTCTGGCAAAGCCAACAGCAATCTGCCATGTTATAAAGACAAACGGAAAGCAACTTCTCCTTGCCAATTATCAGAGCTTTTGGAGGCTTGATAAACTCAAACTGTCATCAATTCAAACACCCTACTTTTTCAATTTCTAATCTTTTGAACTCCAAAATATACAAAACCAACAAGGAATTTGTAGCTCCACTCAAGAGAACATTTACTTCCACTGTAAAACTTAAAATCAGCAGGATCTCTAAGGTGAGAGCAAAACTTCAATGAGTTCTTCTTATTGCGTAGACGTGCTAAGTGGCAGTACAATCCAATTAAAATGAAAGATACATTTAAATTTTGGACACATCATCATCTTTTAATTTAATTATTTTGCCAATCAGTAGTATCACAGAAAAAACCCTACAAAAGTTTTGGTTTCCATATGTTGTTGTGGTCATCAATCACAATATTAAGTTAGTAGGATGAGTAGTTTGAGAAAAAATTTAATGAAGAAATTAAAAAATTGCTAATAATTCATTATTATTGCTTCAAGTAAATTGCATTTCATACAAGAGTGTGAGATGAGTTTAAAAAATAAAATAAAATAAAATAAGCAAGTGATATTACGAGAGTGAGATTTTGAACATAAGAATTCGAGAGATAGTTACTCTTAATTATTTGTGTTACAAATTCATTAACATTGTGTTTAGTTTTATTGGAAGGGCCTCATGTAATGTAAGTTTTGGCCAAACACCTTGGCATTGCAATGCAAATTGCATAGAAAGAAGAGGAGTGGCGTGGAGGCAGAGAGAGCAACACATGCCTGCAAAAGCAAACGTTAAATTTGATTTTTATTTGTCGATGAGGCCAGTGGGCCAATTCCTACTGATGTTACCCAAATGACACGAAGCTACAACACAATAGCACTGGGAAGGGGACTACAAGACAAACACAACGCAGTAAGCTTCGAAAGGATAAAAGAGAAAACTATAAATAACTAAGACCCAAAACACAGAATATACCAAAAAAAAACCTCTAAATAATTAAATATTTGCAAGACAATATCGAAAACATACCCCATAATTTCATATTTACAAGTAAAACTCCATGAGGTGAGGGAATGAAAATAATAAGAGAAAAAAGCCTTTTTTTCTCAGCTCAACCAGTTTTTCAATAAAATAAAAATAAAAATAAAACAGTTTCAAAGAAAAACTGGTTGAGCTGAGCTAGAGAAAAAAAAAAAAAAAAAAAAAAAAAAAAAAAATGAGTCTTTGGAAATAGTGTAGGGCAGAGCATTTGGAAATATAATATAGTTCATCTCAACCATGGTAAAACCCATTCTTATTTAGAGATGATCAATGCTACCTGACCCAGGAAAAAAAATATATTTGTCAGTAGTTTTATTAATTCTAATTCTTTAGAGCCACTCTAGCCTAACTCAACTGGTCTTTGGGTCAGTAGTCTTCCTCTATCGGTTGCGAATTCTTTTTACTTGAACCTCTTTGTGCCTGTGTGCCTTCGTAGGTCTATGTTCTGTCAGTCTTTTTTTTTTCTTTTTTTTGCATTAAAAAAAAGGGCATTTGACTTGGTCTTTCGGAGCAAGGCCCATTGCAGACAAGAGCTGAAAAGGCAAAGCAACTCTTTCACAAATAAAGGTATGGATGAAAGGTAATTCGAAAATGAAAATTGTCACCTAATCTAAAATATTTTCTTGTACTAGGAGGGTTTCAAGTAAAATGAATTTAAATTTGTAGGGTGGAGCCTGGATGCATTGATGAATCTCTTGTTCCGATGTGACATGCCAATTCTGCTCCTTGTCTACTAATTCGTCTAACGCCATCTGCGTGATAAAATTTCCTGTCTACACACACGAGGATGAGCCTCTACATTTTATGTATTGCATATGGTTCACGAACTTGAGCACATAGAGTAGATGTCAAATCTTATTCTGACTAATAATGAACAAGGATATTCATTGAAACACCAGCATTCTCCACATGATGACACGATCGAGAAAGATAAAAGTAAACAAACACACAACAATTTAATAACGCGATTGAGAAAGATACAAGTAAACAAACACACAACAACCCAGATGGTTTGCAGCCAACTCTCCCTCATCTACTACTCTAATCTGCTAATTCTTTGTATTTATCTCTGCTATAGTTATTCTTTGCCTTTGTATTATCATTTACATGCTGATAAGACGTTTGTTTTTATCACAACATTGTACATTGTTTGTTATTATATGGGAACAAAATTCTTCATGGTATCAAGAGCGTTCTGGTCAACATCTTTTTTTTTTCCGATCCTATGTTCTTTCCTATTCTTCCATGGCTTGTAGTAGCAACTCTGCTGCTTCCTCTCTTGCTGCTGCCTCTACTGTTCCCAATGTTACCAATCGTCTTTCTAAAATGTTGTCTTACATGAAATGGGCTTATCTACTTTATCCCAAAAACCACAAAACCACATACTTGATTTCTTGGAGTTGGATTTGTTATGGACATTGGTGGTCCCACAATCAGCTCATTTTCCGATAATATTTGTACTAATTTTTTTCTGATGTAGTCTGGGGTAGCTAGCTAGGTTTGGGTTAGATTAATGGTGATAAGTTGGAAGTTCCTGATGTGTTGTATATCAATGTCATTAAAAGACTGGAATTTAGTTTTCTTAAGCACTTTCAATATAAACATATACAAGAAGGTTGCTAGCATATCATGAATTAATGGGAATCAAACAGCAATTCTTTCCTCAGGTAGTTTAGACACTTCTTCAACTTCAACCTTGAAGGGTATTGTTGCTCTCAGAGCCTTTGTACTTGTACCAATTTGCACACACCAGAAAGTAGTGGCTCCTAGAGCAGCAATCAAGTAATAGAAGTAATCCAATCTCCCCCAATTTCCAGTTGCAGTCCCCTCAGTCGTCCGATGAACTATGCTGATTAACAAGCTACCATTTCAGTGCCAAGATTTGGTTACCAACCTCACTGCCAAACCAATTGCATGAGTGACCTGTACAGGCTTTAACCTAAGACCTCAAATTTTACACATTATCAAAAAAGAAACGACAATGAAAACGGAAATTATTGGGAATTATAACAACAATAAATATATTAAAAAAGAAATTTTGCTTCCAAGTAAAAGGGCATACATATGTCCAATCCCTATCCCCTCCTTTCCTTGACAAAAAAGGAAAAGAACAAAGGGTCTCTAGTAAGGAACTAAAATGCAAGGTCTCCTTAAAGTTATAAACATAGCACTCTAGCACTACTAACCATCGATCTTTATCTATTTCCGAATAGGTATAATAAAGCCATCTAAACATAATAAACTAATTCTGGATCCTCTGCATCACCCTTGAATAAATAACCGGGGGAGACAAGGTTTTCATTACCTCTTTAACTACATACATCATAAGGCTCCCTACCTCTATCTCCCTCGTTGACTCCATCTTTTTCTTCAGTCACAAGGAATGCCCTTTCATGACTCAGGTTGCAATCTCTATGAAACCAGAGTAGCTCTTAGGAAATGATAAATCATCAGCTGTAAATATCTAATTGAGACACTCAGATTCCAAGTCCAATGTTATACTTTTTCCTCCTATGCCTTGGAACAACGTTCTTCTGTGTCACACCTCAAGCATATACATTCTTACCACTGCAACGAGTGAACTCTCCGGAGGGCACGGGCTGGTCTTCGCTTCTCCACAACTGGAATGACTTTTTCCATTAGCTGCAGCACACATACACAAGAAAGTCAACTACATGATAGTCGGTATTGTCCCTCATCTTCCAATATCCTATTCCTCTGAATCAATTTTTTATCTAACCTCACTCAGATGCATAAATGACACTGAAACCAATACTCATGGATGTCAAATATTGCCAAAACTCAAAAATTGGGAAACTATTCTTCTCTTCCCATATAAACTATATAAAGATGCAGACACATTCTTCAAAGAAATTAGTTTTAAAAAAAATACATTCAACCCACTTGATTATGATCTACTGCTGATCCATTAATCTTCAATATTTTCCCCTTCTACAATTTCATGAGGAAACAAATATCACCCACAAGTTTCTCAGAGTATAAAAGATGATTGAATATAACAGATATATCAATTTCCACAATCACACTAAGATAAAATCTCAAAGCATGTGTTTTCTTGTTTAGTTACATTAATACATGCAAACATGCATGGAAGTCTATAATAAAGCTTCTAACCAAACCATTTCCCAGTCATTATAAAGGTTCACCATAGTGATTGTCTTGACTACTCCAAACCCAAAGCTTAAATAATCTGGAGGACTGTGATCATATAATAAGAATGTTCCTTTTTATAATCATATTGACCATAGTGATACTTTCCTAGTGTCTTCCCTTGTGGACGTAGACAAGGATCCAACTGCACATATTGGTTGCACAGGTTCTTTCAATCATAAAAATATTTCTTGATCTATTTCAATTATCTCATAGCAGTGTCCCCATAAAACAAAATGCGCTCCCTCCAAAAAGAACCCATGTTTGGTAATATTAGACTAAACTAATACAAATTAATACACGTACATTCAAAATAACAAAGCTATCAGTCTTAAAAAATGAAACGACTGTGTAAACATTGGTCTGAGTAAAACATCCAAAACCTAAATAGTTATATATCATCAAAAGAAATGATCAACATGTCACTATGCATTCACGCTGTATGTTTGCCTCAGTCATGAAAAAAGGTGAACCAAATTTGATAGGCCAGGCTTTTGGATTAATTATTTGTTTCAATTTATTTTTTTTGGGGGGGGGGGGAAGGGAGGGAGGAAATGACACATGATCTTCTACAGTTTTAAAGAAATTTGAATAACAAAAATGAATGTTCATATGAAAAACAATACTTAGAGGTAATTGTTATTCAGGATTGACAAAAGATTCAGGCACACTTTGTACATTAAAGAATTTAGCTTGACAACAAAAGAGAATATCATACAGAGTCAAAAATTTATTATTATATTGGAAGCATTGAGAGATCATAGAAACCCCATTACTAATGAAAGATATTTTGAAAAGAAACCCACGCTTCCAACAGAAAAATGATAACAGATTTCCTCTGCTAAGTAGAAACTCTAAATATCTATCTCTAAACATCATGCTACATGAATAGATATTTTGAAAAGAAACCAATGCTTCCAACAGAAAAAAGATAACAGATTTCCTCTGTTAAATAGAAACTCTAAATATCCGATCTCTTAACATTATGCTACATCTATGCCACAAAATATATAGTTCAAAATGAACAAATGAAGGATTATTGGTGCCGATTTTCTAGTTTCCTCTTCCTTTTTTGAGCAGGAATTACAAAATAGTTATAATGTTTTATCATGATTTTGGCACTAGGTAATTTAAGGGTGATTATTGAATGCCAAAATCATCAGCTATTTTTTTTGGGTGCAGTGGAGATATAATTGTAACGTTTCACTTGTAATTTCTGCATTTTTCTGTTTAGGCCTAGATGGACACATTGTCTACCTCTTAACATATTTTTCATTTTATCAAAATTTTATGTTTCTTATCCTAAAAAGAATCGCTATAAGCCGAAGATCAGAGTCTGATAAAATGCAGTCCCTTGCCATATCAATAAATTACTTGCATCAGGAGCAGAATGAATACCTGCTTACGTCTTTCCTCAGTCCTCTCAGCCTGCAATAGAAAATATTTTGTTAAACAATGGAGCATGCAATAAATGTCAGGGCTACAGAAGTAAGCAAGTAAAACACAGACAACTCTGTTGAATATTTTCTGAATAATGTTTTTTCACTCTCAGTCTGGTGGCACGTTACATAATTTTAGTTAGTGATTTTTTTCTTTTTGGTGCTGGGCATCTGTTTGGCCAGCATGGCTAGGCTTCTTGGCTCTCTTTGTTATACTTTGTGGACTGCTTTGCAGTGTGTTTGTTCTTAATAAATTTCCTTCTTTCAGAAAAAAAAAGAAGAAGAAGCAAGACACAGATATGAAAGTACAAGGTCTTAACATCAACTTAAAAGCCAAACACATTACAATTAAGATAATTGAACAGTACATGACTTTGCTCCCACAAACTCATGAACCAAGTCTTTATGTACATACATTAGAATTCCAACCCCATTTCTCTTTGTATAGTATACCGAGCAAGACGAATGCAATTGAGACAACAGGCCAAGTATTAAATGTTCAATATTAGTTCACTAACTTTCAAAAGCACGCTTGAACAGGTTCACAGGCTTGATTATCTGTGTCATGGATTAAAATTATTTGTAAAATTCCGTAATGTTATAATGGAATTGAAACTCATTTGCCAGACTTGAGTTAAAATTCATGTAAACTTACTCAAATTTTCCTACTTAAATTAAATTGTCACTTAAGAACACCTAGATGACGTATGCAAGTACTTCAAATCATTTATCTGTGCACTTTGAAAAAACGTAATGAAATATAATACAGCCATTTTGTATGAATACATATGCATAACATAAATATGTAGATATCTACAAAGATTCATCTCTATAAAAAAAATTAAATAAGATCTCATAACATAAATATGTATATATATATACATATGCATAACATAAATATATATATATATATATATATATATATATCTTCAGTCAAGCCTCTTATTCAAGAGCTTGGTCATGAAACATAGCTTGACCCCGACTTAACTATCAAGCTTGAGTTTGTTCCCTTACAGCCCTGGTGACAAATGATAAATAAGTTTTCAATGGGATGAAACAGGACAGGGTAGTGGTATTTTCTGAAAGTATGACTATAATGCTTTAATGAAATACAAGTGGAACTTTGTCATAGCTGATCTTTTAATGACACAAATGAAAAATCAACAGCTTTCACCATAAAAGGCAGACTGGTATTATAAATAAGTCTTGAGATTGCCCTTCATCACCATATGTTTTTCTTTTGGAATTGTGTAGTTGTAATTGACACGGTGTTTGCAGCCTCAGAAAACGAGACAGATGAAAGAAAAACTAGTTTTGTTGCAAAAGTTTAACATTTAGTGTCAAACCACACTAACTATCCTGAATACTGATGGGGACTCAAATACAACTAATTTTGTCCCCATAACCCAGATGTTCGGTTCTGAAATCACACTACTAGAAGCACATTTGCAAACCACACAATTCAGTAGGCAACTAGAGAACAATACAATACCAATTTAATTACCTTCTCTTTCAAAAGCTGCTCGTTCTCCTCCTCTATCTGACCGCCAATGATTCCAACTCCACTTGGTATGCCTAAAATCCAAAAAAACCCACAAACAACAAAACACAAAATAAGTAAAAATAAATAAAAATATAATCACAAACACCACAATTTAACATTTCATCAAAACCCCATTTACACACCTGCTTCCTCTCTCGGGACCTGGCCGCTGATTCACGGTTCTTGATCATCCTTCGCTGTCTCTGCTGTGCCACCTTATCCATAGGCTCCAAAACGGCGCGCCCTCTCTTCCCTCTCCCCACTCCTCCACTCCCAACCATCTCAACCCCATTCCCAAACCCAATTATCGACCCTTCAACCTTATCAATCGAACTGAACGGGCTGAGCTGCGGCATCGGATCAAACGAAAATACACCGCCGCTCAATCTCTCCGTCTCCGGAGGCGGCATTGCAAGCGGCATATCCTTAATGTCGTCCTCCTCCACGGCCCCGGCCCGAGCCAAAAAGTCCTCCAGAGTCATCAAATCATCCGGAACTTCCTCTTTACACCCCTTCCGAGCCTCGCCGGACACAATTTCCCGCCAGACCTCATCGACGGTCTTCTGCGGCACCGCCGCAGAGGAGGTGCTCATTTCTGCGGCGGAGGCAGTGTTGATTAGGGTTATTTGGGCGTCGAGGAGGGTTGCGTCGGTCATGGGGGTGGGGTTCGGGTCATAGAGGAGGCCGTCGATGGTCATCGAGCCGATTGGCATGGACGACGTCGTATTGGTGCTGTGATAATCACTGATGCCGTTGCTGTGGTTGTTCAGGGTTTGGGGGTGAGCGGAGGAGGAAGATGGGGTTGCTGAGGGTTTGGGTTTTGTAGCGGGGGAATTGGAAGAAGGGCGTTGCGAGAGATCCGAGTTTCGTGATCTTGACGACGACGACACTAGTTTTGAAGACGCCATCTTTTCCGTCGCGGATTTGTAAGGCCTCTCTCTCCCCTCTACACTCTACACTGCCGACTCTGTCCACTCTCTCTCTCTCTAGAAAATGAAGTTTTTAGGGTTTGGTTTGTTTTTTCTGTTGGGATCAGGAACGAAAGAAGGCGCAGCAGAGCAGCAGCCTTTTTCAACGAGCGAGCAGTTTCACTTTCCAGAACCTGGTTTTTATTTATTTTGAATTTTTCGATGGGACCGACCAAACAGAATCATATAGTACCGCCGAGTACCGAGATTTATGATTGCGTTGTGTTGTGGGTCCTACGGAGTACCCACGCGGGCCCCACAGAATAGCGAAATCAAACAGGCGGGTGCAGTGAGTACGTAGGTGGTATCGTTGTAGGTGAGCATAGCCTGTTGGCCGAATTTGAATGCGTGTCCGAGTATACTGTTGATTGGAAAAAAAGAAACGAGTAATGTTGTTGGCTGGGGCTACAGTTCGGGAAATCCTAGCTGTACGGGCGGCTGAGACGGCTGTGAGCAACCCTTGGAAAGAGCATCACTGAAAACCCCAGCAATAATTTTTAGAGATTTTCTATTTAAACCCCACACTTCTCTTAGTTCACCCCATGTTCTAAGTTCACCTCAACTTTTAATTTAAATTTTCATAATTTCTAAGTAAACCCCATTATCTTCCCAAACTACCCTTAAATACACCCCAAGCTGAAAAAATAAAAAATAAAAGAGATTTTCTATTTAAACCCCACAAGCCTAATCGTAGTAGAAATAAGAAATATATAAACTTCATGCTCATCAAATTAAAAGGTACAAAACAAATTTGATATCTTTCCATACAATGGTTATCCCAAGCCTAATCGTAGTAGAATCAATATTCAATTCATTCTTATATACACTTGGAATGACTAAGAACTTTCATCTTCAGTCCTCGCTCCAGTCATGAACAGGAGCAGTTACATTCCAGTTCCAGTCATGGAACAGAAGCAATTCATTAACCTGGAGGCGTTGTCGTATTTAAGGGGAGAACATAAGCTTTTCCAGCTCCTTTCACTTGCTTAAATCTGTTTGGTACTTGCACTTTTTCAAACATCACCAAAGCAAACATTGCCGACTCTTCATGAAATAAAGAGAGAGCAACAGAAAGAAAGATGCAACAATTTTATTTTCCAAGGTTCAATTATAATAACAACGACAATCTTATTAGTTCCCTCAAGAAAATTTTAGGCCAGAAAACGTAAATGTAAGAAAGAATGTTCTTTCTTTTGGACTTGCACAGGCAGACTTATGTAATGTACTGTACAAACAAAAAAAAAAAAAAAAAAAAAAAAAAAACAACACAATATCAAAACACAACTGTATCAATACCAAGGAAAGATATCAATCCATTGCTCATAGCCAAAGTAGATGTACTTGTCTTTTGATATACGACGCACCTAGCAAATTGTAGGACCATTGTCAAAGCTTGGGCTTCTCTCCCCCTTCTCCGCAGGATAATAAAAACCCAACTTAACAATATTCCCATGAATCTCTTGGTTTCGTGCCTTTTAAATGTGTATGTCAATTAATATAATATGAACATACTTTCTAGAGAAAGAGAACAGTTTTACCAAAACATCAAGTATAAATTTTAAATCAAAAATCAAAAACAATCAAGCAATCACACAAGAGAACCAAAAAAAAAAAAAAAAAAAAAAAAAAAAAAAAAAAAAAAAATAAGAAAAAAAAAAAATAAGCGAAATCATTATCAACAAAATCAACTTTCCATTAGCTTTTGCGCAGATTTCAAAGTGGTAGGCTTGTCAATGTTCAACGTCTTTAAAAGAGAAAAGTAATCTGGCATAGGATGTAGAAGAGTTTGTATGTTTTTTTAAACTTAATTTGAAGAGTTGTGGGGTGTGTGGGGTGTGTGTATAGATGTATTAGGGTTAAGTATTAAGTTGGATGACCTTTTTTTGTCTTTTTACACAATAATAAAACTTACAGCTTAATGATTTAAATATTGGGGTGAACTAAGAGAAGTGTGGGGTTTAAATAGAAAAAATCTAATTTTTATTTGATATATTTAAATCGAGGAATGCTATCAACCTTCTTTCTAACCTTCTGTTTTAGACTTTCTTTTTTTTACTCATGACAAGTGTCACTTCTCTTTCACTTAAATCAATATTTTAATTACACAAAAGAACATTAATTGCATTTCCGTATTTGCCCTTTTTATTGTTTAAAATAATCAACAATAAAAAAAGGGGTTCTTCAATCACTCTATCCCCACCCCAACTCGCCCTCGCCCCACCTCTTCCTCCTCCTCCGGTAAAACCTAACAGTCAACAGGACGATCACACCCACAACTCATCTCTCCTTCTCTCACCTGCGCAGCCACCCCCACCTCCCAACCCAGCCACTAATTTCGTTTTTCCACCCACCCAGCAGCCACATACATTTTCCAACCCACCCATGTTTGGTATTTATTTTATTTTATTTTACAATACCTACTTCTTCACACATCTCTGCACAAAAATATGAATATGATGATTTTGTCATCTTTGTATTTTGTTATTTCGCAAAAACCCAAATTTCAGGGAGGATGGTGGGCTAGAACCGATACATAGAGATTGGGGAGGAGGTAGGGGTGGGTGTGGTGAGAAATTGCAGGGAGGGTGGGTGGGGTATGAGGGCAGGGACGATGGAGAAGGGAGGAAGGGACGGTGAGGTCTTCCAAATGGTTTTGAATTTGGGTTAAGGGGAGGGACCTGGAAAATTTTTTTTTCTGCAAAAGCAGCAAGCTTGCAAAGACTCAAGAGGTGCTGTGAAGTTTCATTTGTTGACTTTGCCAAAGCAAAAGAGTCAGTTTGCTTAATCAATGGAGTCCAAGTGTGAGGATGGGTCTGGGAGGAGTGGTGGGTTGTGAAGATGAGAGAGAGAGAGAGAGAGAGAGAGTGATAGTGGGAGAGTAATAAAAAAGTTGAAATATTTTTTGAATAAAAATACTCAATAAGGGTATATTTGGAAAAGAAAAGTTAGCTTCTTTTAAGTGTAAGGAGAATGACACATGTCAAACAAAAAAGAGAGAAGGTCCAAAAGAGAAGGTTGGAGAGAAGTTTGCTAGCATTCCCCTTAATCATATACTCATTTTCAATCCGTCTTCGCTCAGCTCTCATTGTCGATCTTTCTCAGTTTCTCTCTCTCTCTCTCTCTCTCTCTCTCTCTCTCTCTGACGCAGTGGTCTTCCTCCCTTAACGGTGTCTGTTTATCAAAGCTTAACTCCACTGTTTACATCCAAAAGGTACTGTTCATCATCATTTTCTTTGGGTTTAGGGGTTTCTTCGAAATTGATTTAGGGTTTAGGTGTTTGTCTGAAATTGGTTTAAAGGTTTGTCTAAAATTGGTTTAGGGTTTATGGGTTTCTATGAAATTGGTTTAGGGGTTTCAGGGTTTAAGGATTTCTCTGAAATTGTCTGATTATGATGATTCCTTGTTTGAAACAGTGAAGGAGTGTGTTCTTTGTTCTTCATTTGAAACTGCTATTGTTTTATTGATGTTGGATTGCCATTTTAGTGGTATTATATTGGCATCATAGTGTTGTGTTATTGCTAGTTTATTATTGTTTTATTCCCGTTCCATTGTGGTTTTAATGGTTTTGGCGATTTATGCAATTGGATTTTGTGTTTGTTTGTTGTTTTTGTTTCATCCAAAGAAGGGAAATTGTAGGTGTTCATTTATAGTCTCTACATTAGGCACATGAATCTTTATAGTTTGTTTTTACAGTTGCTGACAAGACCTGCCCCGAATTTCCTCGAAACCTGGAACGAATTCTGTGGAATTCCCAACATCAAACCTATGTCGGGCCCACTCACTAAAACTGTAACCTCCTTTTTCAAAAAGGAGTAAGGGCACGAGACTTTATGCCCAAAATTCGGCAGAGTCTCCCCTGTAAATCGAATATTTCCCAAAAATTTCAACCTGCATAAAACATATTTAATATCACCAACTGGCAGCATGCATAAGATGATTTCATGCAATTCACATAATCGGCCTCCGGCCTTCAAATACTTCAAAACAAACTACCAACACAGTCCTTAAGCCAAAATAATAAATTCAAACGCACTTACGAATGCCAAAAGTAATTTATATAATTTAACTTTCCCAACTATCCAATATGCGAGGTTTTAACCTCCTAATGCCAACACAAATAGTTTAAGGTCTTAGCCCAAATCATACAACAATCCAAATGGGTCTTGCCCCTAATTCATCCACAGCATACTAACCCCACCCTCCTATAGCCAAGTAGGAGTACGAATAATCATCTAATCACACCTCGGTCTCATTCGAGTTTCAGGACCAAAGACAAGGTTAGAACCCAACTCAAAAAAAGCACTTAAATAAAATCTAGTTTGCAGCTGCACCTAGGCACTACCCTAGGCTGCCTACGTACCCCTTGAGAGGGATCAAGCCATACGTAGTTCTTTTAACAACAATCCTGTTTCCAATAACATAAAAACCATTACAGCCACACAAATTCACACATTCTAGAATTTACTCCATTCCCTTTTTAATTTAAATCATAACTCACCAAATACAATCTTTTTCAAACCTCTTTCTAATAATCACATATACTCCCCATAAGCCGGAATATCCAACGCCACATATGGGGTCTGTCATGCCGAAAAATCCTACGCCACGTGGGACCTAGCCATCATATCACATAATCTCCCCATACGCCGGAAAATCCAATGCCATGTATGGGGTCTGTCAACACACTGGAAAATCCTATGCCATGTGTGACCTCTCATCTCATATCACATACTCTCCATACGCGGGAACATCCAACGCCACGTATGGGGTCTGTCAACACGCCGGAAAATCCTACGCCACGTGTGACCTATCATCTCATGTTACATAATCTCCCCATACGCCGGAACATCCAATGCCACGTATGGGGTTTGTATCAACTCTGGAAAATCCTACGCCACATGAGACCTCACAATCACAGGATGGTACTTACAGTGTAATCA